CCTTTGGTAGTGAGTTCTTCAAAGCCCTGGGATGTGCACTCTGATAATGGAGGAGTGTATTCCTATCTGTGGGTTTTGTATAAAGGGAATATTGAAAATGTGTTGCTCCCAATGAAATTTCCAAATCCAAATAATGCACCTTCTCTGTGCTAATATCCGCCGTGAATCTTACTGGTGTTGGTAAAAGATTGAGGTCTTGAACCATTTCATGGGCTGATTCACAAGTTCCACTCCATATGATGAACAGGTCGTCGATAAATCTATAGTACGCTATTATATTGCTTTGATATTTCTCCAATATATGTTCCTTCTCATACACATACATGTATGCATTAGCGTACATCGGCGCCATAGATGCGCCCATTTATGTGCCAGCCACTTGTAGATACCAGCTATTTTCAAAACGAAAATAATTGTTCTGTAAAGTTAAAGAAAGTAGTTCCAAAACATACTCTATAGGGGGGCCATGATACACAGGAGATTGGATCAAAACTTGCCGCATAGCTTCTACCCCAGCATCATGTGGTATCACTGTGTATAGACTATGTACGTCCATTGTTATTAAAACTGGTCTATAATTACCATAAGATAATTCATTGATTTTAGTGATGAGAGTTTGAGAGTCTTTAATGCAGGTAGATAGTTCTCCAACTGGACCTTGGAACAAATAATCGAGCCATTTTGCAATAGGCTCTAAAACGCCATCAATGGCTGACACTATAGGGCGTCCTGGCGGTGATTTTGGATTTTTATGAATTTTTGGAATTGAATATATGATAGGTGTGCGAGGGCATATCTTAATGAGATATTGATATAATTTGGAATCAATAAAGCCCGATCTCAGGCCCATTGATAGAACATCTTCAATTTTACTCTGAATATTACTAGTGGGATCCCTATCCAACAATATATAAGTAGTCCTATCAGATAACTGCACATTCAGATCTTTAGCGTAGTTTACGTAGTCCATGATGACAATTCCACCTCCCTTGTCAGCCGAACGGATGACTATTGATGGATCTGTTGCTAGTCCCTTTATAATTTTCCTTTGTTGTTTCGTAATATTGTGTTTCATTTTGTGTTCACGTTGCATAAGGGTTTGAACTTCTTTATTGGTCATAGTGAGGAAAGTCTTAATGGACGCCTTATTGGATATAGGGTCAAATGTGGACTTGGCCCGAAAACCATCTGTAACTACTGTACTACGTTCCACTGTGTTGGAAAAAAATTCTTTCAACCTCATAGTTCGCCCAAACTTATGTAATTCTATCTTCCATTTGAAAACATCAGCCTTAGATGTAGGCACAAATGAGAGGCCTTTACTAAGGAGTTCTATCTCAGTTGTATCAAGGGGCCTTTGAGAAAGATTAAATATAGGGATTACTTCCTGCGTGGGGGTTTCCCCTGTACGGGTGTTCTTTCCTTTGCGGCCTCGCCTCGTTCTTGGTCTACGTCGCCCCTGAACCGGCTCCTGGTTGTTGTACCTGCTTCGTCTGTGGCTAAAAAAAGAGCTTTTGAAGCTTCCGTGATACTTCTAGTATCTGAATCAGAGGCTGACTCTCCTGAGGTTACATCCACTGTTGGGACCCTAGGTCGCTGTATTCTTCTACGTTGTGTCCTAGGTCTATTGGCTCTAATGTTGCCAGTGAGCCAACCATAGACTCTGTGTTCCAAATAATCTTGTGTGACTTTTTCAAACTTCTGTTTTTTAAATCTCACTAATTCCATTTTATATTTCAAAACTTCCTCTTTAAGTTTTTGTATGGTCTTTAATCCTTCAGGTGTAGCCAATAATGTTGCATATTCAGTCTCTAATTCAGTAATTTTTAAATTAGTGTCAATCAGATCTGCCTTCACATCTCTAATAATGATGAGCATTAGATCAAGTGATGCTCTATTCAACACTTGCGTCCATTCTCTGCAAATAGTGGCTTTAGACCTTCCTATAGTGGGAACATTTAATATTCTGAATCCCCTAGGGATACGTTTAACTCTGTAATAATCCGAAAGGAAAAGACCATGCAGATCCAGGTCAATTTGTTTCCTACGTAAGCGTAATAGCTTAAAATATATGTCTTTAGTGGTAAGCTGATATGGAAGTTCTGAGCTAGACTGATGCCACAATATGTCATCCGCTTCTTCTTTGGAAAAATATAATGTCTCTGCCTGTTCTGAATATGCCCCCGCCTGTACTAAAAACTCATCCATAATGAAAAAAGTTTGCAGAATGAATTGTATGAAATTGGCTACTATGGCTTTAAATTGCTGGAATACTCAGTACAGCAATATGTAAATACAAAAAATTTTTTTTCTATATTGGTTGGTGCATAGGTTGGGGTGAAATGAGCCCACACCCCTACATACAAAGAAAAAAGCACTATACCTTGCACTCAAACTCCATGTGTCCAAACCGGGTGCACTCCCAGGGCTCCAAATATCCAAAAAGCTGAATCAATAGGTTGCACTCACGGATTCTTAAAACATAGCTTTTATTGTATACTCCTAAAAAAATCGACGTTTCAGTCCTGTTCAAGGACTTTCATCAGGATTATAAAGACATAACATAACAATTCAGCCATATATAGGATGCAGTAAATTACAATAACTCACCACAGATGTCATGAAAAAACCGGCGTCCCAGCCGGGAATGTGCGCATGTGCAGAATAGTCCCTCCCCTCGGCGTGACACGCAACGCCGCCGTTACCATAGTAACGCGGCTAACATATACTATACTGAAACCGGCATCTAAGCCGGAAGTATGCCGTGATGCGGAGAAGTTCCGCCCCCCAATGTGACGTCACATATACGCCGCCGTCGTTACCATAGTGACGCGGCTGTGAATAAAAAATACAACAAACCTATATGGAAACAAACTTATCAAAGTAATGACCTAGATGTGAACACCAAGGCTTTTATAGAATGTACCAAATTTGGTAAAGACAAGTGTGAATGTGATCTATGTATATTAATAGAGTGCTAATGGGTCGTTTAAAGTGCAATCAGAATAATCTCTTAAAGTGCCATGTACGTGCAAAATATTTAAAGTGCCACAGTGCTAATGTAAACATATTGTGACCCAATACAGTTTGTATGAATATTTACATTTAAATAACCCCAATGATTAGAGACTAATATTAATCAATCAAAAAAAGTATATACATATAGTTATATAAGGCTTTTTTACACAACTTTCGATCTTTTTCTTTCTGCTCCTCTGTCACATAGCAAATATATATATATTATTATTTTACTGAACAATTGTTGCAACAGCACTTATTGTATTATGCGTCAAAGATTATTGAACACATTTTAAAACAATAACTCTTAATGCTTGCAAAATATACGTGGTCAATTGTGTAATAATGGGACGGTCGCAGAATAATCGTAAAAATTGCATATAGAAAAACCTAAAATACACACAAATAAACACATGTATATATACATATATTAATTCTACATATATATTTACGTAATATTTTTACATATTTAGGTATCTTAATTAATTACAATTAGCGGGACCTGCCTGACAACCCATGCCGAAAGTATAGGGAATTTAATTTGCTAGCACTATATTTAACCCTATAACTTTCCAAGACACCATAAAACCTGTACATGGGGGGTCCTGTTTTACTCGGGAGACTTCGCTGAACACAAATATTAGTGTTTCGAAACAGTAAAATGTATTACAACGATGATATTGCCAGTAAAAGTGAAGTTTTTTGCATTTTTCATGCACAAACAGCACTTACACGGATGATATTATTGCTGTGATACTTTTTACTGTTTTGAAACACAAATATTTGTGTTCAGCTAAGTCTCCCGAGTTCAACAGTACCCCTCATGTACAGGTTTTATGGTGTTTTCAAAAGTTACAGCGTCAAACATAAGGCTTGTGTTTCATTTTTTTCACATTAAAATTCGCCAGATTGGTTACGTTGCCTTTGAGACCCTATGGTAGCCCAAGAATAAAAATTACCCCTATGATGGCATACCATTTGCAATAGTAGACAACCCAAGGTATTGCAAACGGGGTATGTCCAGTCTTTTTTAGTAGCCACTTAGTCACAAACACTGGCCAAAATTGGTGTTTTTTGCATTTTTCACACACAAACAAATACTAACGCTAACTTTGGCCAGTGTTTGTGACCAAATGGCTACTAAAAAAGACTGGACATACCCCATTTGCAATACCTTGGGTTGTCTACTATTGCAAATGGTATGCCATTATGGGTGTAAATTTAATTCCTGGGCTACTATACAGTCTCAAAGGCAACGTAACCAATCTTGCGTTTTCAATTTCAAATGTAACGTGCTATATTTGACCCTGTAACTTCCCAAAACACCATAAAACCTGTACATAGGGGGTACTGTTTTAAACATGAGACTTTGCTGAATACAAATATGTGTATTTTATTGCAGTAAAAGCAAACATTATTATGACATTGACAGTTAAAATGTCATGTAGAACTAAAAAAAAACAACATTTCTTATTTTCTCCCATTTTTTTGCATATTAAATTATGTTTCATAGCTAAATATTTGATATTAAATGAAAGCCCTGTTTCCCCTGAATAAAATGATATATAATAAGTGTGGGTGCATTTACTATGAAAGAGTTGAATTACGGTTGGACAGACATATAGCGCAAATGCCAGGTTTTGTTTACGTTTTGTTCACAACGTGTACATTTGGCTCAGTCCTTAAGGGGTTAGACTACAATAAATGTGTCTAGAAATCAGTCTGTCTAATAAGATACAAAGTTCTTGTTCTAAGTAACATTTTAGTTCCAGAATTTATCAATAATTCACCTAAATTTCTCAGAATATCTCCACCCCCTAAAATGTAAGTGCCCCTCTGTGTCTATTTGAAATGTTGGGAGGTATGGTAATCTGGCAATCAAACCTCCAAACTGGAAGAGGTGAAATTAGAGCGTCATAAGTCGGCACCGGAAAAACAATTAATGTTTGCATTCCAAGCCTCGATCTGGGGTTTGGACCCCCCTGCATTGGATTGGTTAATTCTGCTAAGCCTCGTATTGTCGTATGTCACGTGACCGCCCCTTTGCTAAACTCCCGGATGTAGAGAGTTAGTACGAGCCGCAGGAGCCGGTCAGCGGTCAGTCTCGGTATCGGAAGATGTTTGTTCCCAGAGCCGTGAAGAGGCGGCAGGAGACCGAGCGACCCGGGATGAAAAAGAAAATAGCGACAGATTTACCCAGAATTCATCACGGCACAGATTCTAACTCTCCTATTATTGTCTCTTCACCGGACATCTCCTCCTATAGCAATGCAGCATCCTCATCATCATCATCTAATGCCTCACCCACCGACCCTGTGTCTGTCTCTTTAAATCCTCCTGTGTCTTCTGTCTCACACACTGACCATGTGTCTGTCTCTTTAAATCCTCCTGTGTCTTCTGCTTCACACACTGACCCTGTGTCTGTCTCTTTAAACCTTCCTGTGTCTTCTGCCTCACACACTGACCCTGTGTCTGTCTCTTTAAACCTTCCTGTGTCTTCTGTCTCACACACTGACCATGTGTCTGTCTCTTTAAATCCTCCTGTCTCTTCTGCCTCAGACACTGACCCTGTGTCTGTCTCTTTAAATCCTCCTGTGTCTTCTGTCTCACACACTGACCATGTGTCTGTCTCTTTAAATCCTCCTGTGTCTTCTGCCTCACACACTGACCATGTGTCTGTCTCTTTAAATCCTCCTGTGTCTTCTGCCTCACACACTGACCCTGTGTCTGTCTCTTTAAACCTTCCTGTGTCTTCTGCCTCACACACTGACCCTGTGTCTGTCTCTTTAAACCTTCCTGTGTCTTCTGCCTCACACACTGACCCTGTGTCTGTCTCTTTAAACCTTCCTGTGTCTTCTGTCTCACACACTGACCATGTGTCTGTCTCTTTAAATCCTCCTGTCTCTTCTGCCTCAGACACTGACCCTGTGTCTGTCTCTTTAAATCCTCCTGTGTCTTCTGTCTCACACACTGACCATGTGTCTGTCTCTTTAAATCCTCCTGTGTCTTCTGTCTCACACACTGACCATGTGTCTGTCTCTTTAAATCCTCCTGTGTCTTCTGCCTCACACACTGACCCTGTGTCTGTCTCTTTAAACCTTCCTGTGTCTTCTGCCTCACACACTGACCCTATGTCCTCCACTGATCCTGTGTCCACTGACCATGTATCCTCCACTGGCTCTGTGTACACATCTATGTCTTCACCTGACTCTGTGCCCACCTTTTTACCATTAACATGCCCTCTGCCAATCTCTGTCTCATTATTAACCCCTGTGTCAAGCTCTCACCCTTTGTTACCATGTTCTGACTCTGTCTTACCATCTGCCCCTATTCCTCCCCCACTTTCACCATCTCCCTCTGCCCCTCCAAGCCACAGTGAAGATGCACAGGATGAACCCATAAAATCTTTCAGTAAAAGTCAACGATGGCCCCTCTCAGGGGAACCTGTTTGTGTAGTTTGTGGACGATATGGAGAATACATATGTGACCAAACTGACCACGATGTATGCAGTCTAGAGTGCAAAGCCAAAGACTTTTTACAAGCTGCACATTGTGGCAACATCCACAATCCTGCCACAACTAATGGCACAGTAAATCCACTTCCAACAAGTCCAATAACAGCTGGCACTTCAAATTCTCTAGTAAACACAACTACAAACAGCTATACAGAACTTACAACTCAGTCAATTTTGCCCATTGATACAGAACCTTCAGGTTTATTAGAGAACCTCCATAATACATCATATACCTACACTGAACATGATTTTATTGCCCAGTTGTCCTTACAACAAATTGATCAGCTAAGGCAACAACTTGGTTTATTTGTGCAAGGTAATGAAGTGTGCAGACCTATTATAGAGTTTGAACATTGTAACTTTCCTCTAATGCTCAGCTTAAACCTTAAGAAGTCTGGGTATGAAGTCCCAACACCTGTCCAAATGCAGATGATCCCTGTTGGTCTAATGGAACGAGACATATTGGCAAGTGCAGACACCGGCTCTGGAAAAACAGCTGCCTTCCTGCTTCCAGCTATTATCCAGTGTCTAAAACAGGTATAACATTTTATAGCGTGTCTACTATAGCTCTTTTTTATTTGTTTGATTGAAGAGTAATGTTGCAGCTTTGCCATAGCTTGTGCTACATTTTGGAAACTACTACTGAGCCTTAAACGTAATACAATTTCAAGAAACGTGAAAGAGGGCCTTGTTTTATGTTATTATGTACAGCTTCTTCACGAAAATGCACAAGTTGTTTATTCAGTAATAACTGGCTTATATATTATTAATAATTATACAACACAACATATTCCACCCTACTGTACAATATGTGGACAAACAAACTAGTTGTGACACATACCATAACAAAAGGTGGTAAGGGCCTTGCTAATACTTACTATTTGAGGGATGCAGACAGTGTGTTTACCATCTACAATAATTCTATTAACTTTTACATTATACTGTTTGTCTATCTGTTTAGAAAGATTCTCCAGCAGCACTTATTCTGACACCCACCAGAGAGCTTGCAGTACAGATTGAGGAACAGGTCAAGGAGCTGGTAGCTGGGATTCCAAACATGAGGACAGCCTTGCTTGTCGGTGGTATGCCTCTGCCTCCCCAACTACATCGCTTAAAACAAGGTGTTCAGGTAATTTTCAGGACCAAAGATCTTCAATTGCTTGCTGTGGTGAGGTGCATGCCTTAAATATTACTTGATACTCTACTCTGCTAAATTATTTATTAGTAGTTGACACATTTGTTAGTTGCTATTAATAATTATTGCTGTTTATAAGGTGCCAACAGATCCATCAAAACTGTACAATTGGGGAAAAAGACATAAAGGGTAGACATATATTTTATTTTATTTTTTTCATTTCAGACTTGTACCTGCTAAAGGGTAGACATATTAGTACAAAAGGAACAGAGGACCAGGTCCAAGAGCTGAGATTTAGCATGTAAGGTACATGGCAAAGTAGCCCATGAGCGTATAAACCAAAATGGAGATCTCAAATTTTGCCCAACCCCAGATGTTAATAACCTACAACTAGAATTCCTAGAATTCTTTGAATACAATAGATGGGCAAATAATCATGGGAGTTGTAGTTCAGGAATATTGGAAAGTGGACAGAATTTTAGATGCCTGATCTAAAGGTTATGACAAGAGGGTGCTGGTGGAATTTGTAGGCTATGGCCAGGGACCTTTAAAGCAGCACTACTATTGTCTTAGTATTTTCCCTTGGTTGACTAAGGGCAGAGCTACCTTTTGTGAAGCCTTCTGAGGGGAATAAGACTCTGTCTATGCAGTATCATTTCCATAGACCTCAAAGTTGTTCTCTCATGCATGTATGAGAGTACAACGCTGAGTTTGGCTCTTGATGACTGTGGTAGTGAAGGACTCACCTTCTCCTGCACCCCTCAGCCACCACACTGCCAGAGAAGGAGGCACTGTCGGGGTCTTTGCAAAGTTTGCAGACTGTGACAGAGCCACTTTAAAGAGCAATTGCAGCAAATGGTAATATGGTAAGCGATTTAAGGAAATAAACTGGAAAGTTGTCAAACACCTGCATAAAATATGCTGAAAACAGGTTTGGTGCTGAGTAAACATGGAGGTTATTTGCTTGAAAGTGGATGTTGTCTGAGGCACCTGATTGAAAAGTGCTGGGAAGAAGAAAAGGTGCAGTGGCTGAGGAAACCAGTTACTGGGAAACAAACCTATCTTTCCTTATCTATTGTCTTTCACCTGTGGATGAAGGTAAAAAAGTGAGTTGTTGTAGTTATCCCTCCCCACAATAATTTTGCAATAATTATAAGAGAAAGATGAAATATCTTACATTTTGACATGCAAAAAAATAAATAAAATGTTAAAGTCTTAATTTGAACAAAGTATAGCCAATGTGTCTTTCTTATCTGTTAAACTCCATTAAAAAATACACTTTTATCCTGTTTTACTGTTAGATTATAATTGCAACGCCGGGCAGACTGCTGGAAATTATTAAACAGGATTCCGTCAATGTCGCTGATCTAAAGATTCTGATTGTGGACGAGGCAAGTGGCAATATTATTTTGAGTAACAATATGACATCTAGATAATGTGCAGTTTTGCATATGTTCATTTTCAGATATTCCTAATTTTTATAGTTTACATTCTTTAAATGTAGAATGCCAAGAATCTTTGAGTTTTGAGGGTGATACAAACAGGGATATACAACATCTATGTAGTAAAGAGGATTTTAAAATATAAAGTAATGATTTTCATTAAAGGATCACTATAGGGTCAGGAACACAAACATGTATTCCTGACCCTATAGTGTTAAAACCACCACCTAGCCCCCCCGGGTCACTCATGCCTCCAAAAATATAACAAAATCTTACTGTATTCAAGCCTGAAGCTGTAACTCTGCATGCTGTTTGCCTCAAAACAACAAGCAGCCTGCTGACATCATCAGAATTGGAAGCCTGATCCAATCACAGTGCTTTCCCATTACCCATTATGATCTCTAACAGCTATCTGAGGAGTGGCCAGTGAAGTTATCACTGGGCTGTAATGTAAACACTGCATTTTCTCTGAAAAGACAGTGTTTACAGCAAAAAAAAGCCTGAAGGTAATGATTCTACTCACCAGAAAAAATTCAATAAGCTGTAGTTGTTCTGGTGAGTATAGTGTCCCTTTTAATTAAGACATAAAACCAAACTGCAGTGTATATTTAACTATTTTATTAAATGTTTTTAAAGTGTTTAGATAATGATTAGATAATTTAAACAACTTTTCAAGCAATGTGAAGTGCCACATTAAGCATGTTTTGAGTTGGGAAGAATAGCTGATGATGAAAAAAGATATTTAAAAAAAATTTTTTTTTTTTTTCTTTTTAAGGCAGATTCAATGTTGAAAATGGGGTTTCAGCAACAGGTCTTGGATATTTTGGAACACACCCCATATGACCGTCAGACTCTCTTGGTTTCAGCAACTATCCCAACAGGTATTGAGACATTTGCAAAACAACTTCTTAAGGAACCGGTACAGATCACAGTAGGTGCGAAGAACCAACCATGTTCGAATGTGCGTCAAATTGTACTCTGGGTGGAGGAGCCTTCAAAAAAGAAGAAACTCTTTGAAATTTTAAACGTAAGTATGTTGCTGTGTTTTTTTTTTTTTGCCTTAACGAAGTGATCCAACAGGTGCCTTTTAAGTAAGGAGTGGAAAGGGTTTTTTGTTTCTTCCCAAGAGATGCCAGCTGTGTAGGTCATTATAGCTTGGTACCACAGGTGCTCATCATATAACCTACAGCGTTACACCTCCCAAATGAAAACAAGTGGTGCATAGAAAAGGGAAATGTAGAGACAGAAGTTTAGAACAGGTTGAGGAGGGCGAGGTAGAAAGAAGGAAAATAAGAGAGAGAGGAGTGAGTGGTCCATCTTTTTTGCTTAGGAATACCCAAACATAACCATGAATAACATCCTTAAATCGCCTGGTATTTTACCCTGTCATATTCTCTCTGTGGCTCATTAATCCTAATCTGCATTCAAGTGAGGTAAGTGATATGCTGTATGTGTTCAATGTTGTGAAAGCAGGTCAAGCATATTGAAAATTTCCCTACTTTATATGTTTAAAATTGAGTTAAAACTATGGTGCTCGTTCTTGTTAATTTGGGTTGTGTGTATTTTTTGGGAAGGAACTATTACTTTTAAATTATATTACCAGCCTTTATTAAGCACACATAAGATGCTGTTCTCTCTCCACTACAGGATTCAAAGCTTTTCCAACCTCCAGTTCTTGTATTTGTGGGTTGTCGGATGGGAGCAGACCTGTTAAGTGACGCAGTGCATAAGATTACAGGACTAGAAAGTGTGGCAATACACTCTGAAAAATCACAGATAGAGAGAACAAAGATCCTGAAGGTAAAATCATCAATTTGTTTGCAAAAGTGCTGCAGATTTTTTTTGTTTTTCTTTTTTAATAATCATCATCATAAAAAAACAATGTAACAATAATTATTTTTCTGCATAGGGGTTGCTGCATGGAGAATATGATGTAGTTGTTAGCACAGGTGTCCTGGGGCGAGGCCTGGATTTGATAAACGTCAAGTTGGTGGTGAATTTCGATATGCCTTCTAATATGGATGAATATGTCCACCAGGTGAGGCGAGCATGATAAGCTGTATGTGTGAATATGTGCATATATAATACATATTATTCTGAAACAGAAATATTTGATTTAAATGGCTGCTCTAAGCATTACCACAACAGCCCATTGTAAGGGTTATGATGACAGGAATGCCCTGTCCCTGGCTCCTGGTAATGGGGCAAACCAGTTTGTCCTCTTACCTTGATCACTGCCGTGGCCAGTGCAAACATATAGATTCTGAAGAGCTGCAGAAGTTCGGAAGTCAATCCTGCCAGCCATTCATTGACTGAGAGTGTTATCTGACGGCTCTCAGCCAATGAACGCATTCGGTGCGTAGGAATATTCACACAATTGACATTAGCCAGCCCAGAAGAAGAGCTGATTAGAGGTGGAATAAAAATCCTAAAGCAAAGGGGTTAAATGCTACAGCGTTCCTTCGCAAAACGCTGCACATACAGATTCCAGACACTGATTACTTTAAATGTCTGAAGTGGTTATAGTGCTTGAAATAATCCTTTATTTTGTATTTTTTGGATTGTTTCTAAATGTACATTAAACTGCTAGAGGTAGTTTTTCCTAAATGCCTTAAAATACATAAATTTATATAAAATTATGTTATTGAGTGTTAGAGGTTTGCTGTTCTCTATTATCCTTTTGTGTATATAGCAGTTTTTTTTCCAGCAACTAAGATATGCAACTACATTTTAGATAAACATGATAAAACTACAGAGTGCAGATTTGAGCTTTTAGCGTTATTTTATTTTTTTCCCCATGAAATGTGTAGCCACTGTAATGCGCTGCGGAATTTATTGGCGCTATATAAATAATAACATAATAATAATAGCCCAAAATGAAACATGTCTACATAATGTTTTTCCTTTTCTTTATTTAAAAACAGATTGGCAGAGCAGGAAGACTTGGCCACAGAGGAACGGCATTAACTTTCATCAACAAAAATAATCGCAATCTCTTCTGGGACCTGGTGAAAAGGGTGCAACCAACAGGCTCCCTGCTCCCTCCACAGCTATTACATTCCCCTTATCTTGATGAACAGAAGAGGGTAGAGCAGAGAAAGCTTCAAAACAAAGATAAAATAGTGACAAGAGATCAAATCCTTAACCTGATTCGTAAACATGACAGAAGAAAATCCCACAAGTGATTTATTTGGAATTTACTGTCCTGCTAGGAACAGGCAACGTGTACTGTTTATGAGGAACCTGGATGTTTCTCAGTGTGTTTTGTGTACAAAGCAATGGATTTATTAAATATGTATACTTCAAGACTTCTGTTTTTCTAGTTTTACATAATCTGTGCAAATGCAAAATGGTTTGAACATGGTTTTATATTTGTGAGATTAATTTCCAATGTATTGTACACACTCTTTCAGTTTGAGTGGTATTTTATTGGAGGAAAAGGAGTGTGCATTTCCATACACACAAACCCGTCTCCCTATTTTATCTCTGTGAGTGGTATGATAAAAGCAGTGTCACAGTTCTACACGTTATCATACCACTCACACTATGGGAGCAGGAAGACAAGTGTCTGCAGCAGGAACTGCACACATCCTTCCTGCACCAGCCAATATGTTATCACCAAAGGGCACAAACAAGTGCAGCAAAGAAACTGATACAAATGTATCACATCAAACAGAAATTGTGCTCCTTTAATAGTGTAGTGATCATTTATGCAGCCTCCACAGATGCTAAGGCAGCAAGTGTTGGTTCTCTAACAGACCTTCTGTTTGAGGGATTATTGCCTTTTAGCTTACTTCACCCATGCCCCGCAACCTGTGAAGATTGGAATCATGTTGAAAACAATCATAGGCAGTGGTTTTCAGAATTGCAAACACTTTTTTTTTTCTTTTTTTTTTCACACATAGCTGAACTGCTTTAGGTGTCTGGAGTGTCCCTTTAACCGTTTGTATGTGCCTTGCTAACTGCTAGACATTACTCTCTATGTGACTCTAAACGCTTGTCATCATGCTACTAAAACAACTCTATCCTGTGACCAGTGGAATAATCAGTCAACTTAAAATCATTCCAAGTCATTACCCTCTACTAATTATTTTGACCCTACTCAAACATTTAATTTTTTTTCCCTGTGTAACATTGGTCTCTGTGAATACTACTTTTTCCTGGTTCCCACCACACCAATACATCTAGTGAGGTAACCAGGTATGCTATATTTGTCTACAATCTCTTCAGGAAACCATGAATAAAAAATTTTTTTTGTAACTAATCTGCTAGACCAGGCATAGGCAACCTTCTGCACTCTAGATGTTTTGCCGGCATTATGGGTGTAAAAGCATTATGGCAGATGTAGTCCACAACATCTGGAGTGCCGAAGGTTGCCTACCCCTGTGAAGCTAGACTAAAAGTTTGAGCTGTGCTTCACGGTTTTGTTTTTTTTGTTTTTTGTTTTTTAATGGTTTGCCTAAATTATTTGTATGTTACTGGTCACGTAAATCAAACCTGAAAAAAAAAAAAAGCATGATTTTTCATCTGTTAAACAATAACCGAAGTGTAAATATGCCCCACAACAGATAAAATCTTAAAGCGACACTATAGGAACCCAGACCACTTCAGCTCATTGAACTGTTCTAGGTACAATGTCCCTGTCCCCTTGGTCCTGCAATTTAAAACATTGCAGTTTTTGAGAAACTGCAATAATTACTTTGAAGTACTAAGACAGCCTTTAGTGGCTAGGGAGTTTACTAGATCCAGGGTTCCTTAAACGACGCTGGACGTCCTCAGGACATACAGCGTCGGAAAATCCCTATAGGAAAGCATTGAGACCATACTCTCCCATGGGGAGGGCCTAATGCGCTCAACGCGGTGGTGTCTATGGGTCTTAAAGTTCAAAACTTCATTGAACACATGATTCTAAATCCGTTACTAAATATGACTAAGATAGGAGGTAATATCAGAGGAGAGTTTACATAAATATTTGTAAGTGGATTTATTTCAGTTATGGTTTCTAGTGTAATATTTAAAAGTCCCTTATCAAAACACAAAATCAGATACTGAAAATTGTTATGATAGTTTTTTTTTTTTTTGTTTTTTTTTAAGTACTATGTTTTTCTGTGGATAAGATGACCCCTATTTTATGAACCCAAAATTAAGAAATACCTACACGTTGGCCCCATTACATATATTTCAAGTGCGTGCAACTGTGTTTCAATAGTAAGTATGATAAGCAACTACATTATGTAAAATAAAACGATGTGACCCCAGCATTCAGCTCCCGGTTGGGTGTAAGTCTTGAGTGTTAGGCAGGCGGTTTCGTCTCGGTGCGGTCACCAATTGGCCACACGCCGAGTTCAAGGGCAAAGGCCATATTAAGAAAAGAGAAGGAGGTGAAGAGGGAATGAGAGGAAGAGCTAGGGGAGAATGCGGTATTAAAGCTCCCGGTGTCTCCTATTGATGCATCCTCAGGTCCCTCCCCCTGTGGCTAGCTGGCCCCACCCCCTTTTTTCTAGTACAAAGGTATTATATGCTTTGCGATGTTAAGGATGCAGATGGTCAGGGAGCGTTTGTATTGGGATGTGGGGGGCATTTGTTACTATACTGTATATTTACATGCTTAAATATTTATAGGATTAAAAGGACTGAATGAGCAGCTTATAAATCAGAACCAGACTGCAGACAGAGAAACTACAAACAGGTTGTAATATTATTACTATATGTCTCCCTGATTGTCCACTCATCTAATTCAGTTTGCTATTAAGTTTAGATAAATCCGTTTTGTCAATGGCTGAGCTGCGTGCATGTTTGATACGGAAGTCTTAAAGGACCACTATAGTGCCAGGAAAACATACTCGTTTTCCTGGCACAATAGTGCCCTGAGGGTACCCCCTCTTGCCCGGCTCTGGAAGGGGGAAAGGGGAATAAACGTACCTTTTTCCAGCGCTGGGCGGGGAGCTCTCCTCCTCCGATCCTCCTCCGTTCCTCCCCGTCGGCTGAATGCGCACGCGCGGCAAGAGCTGCGCGCGCATTCAGCCGGACGCATAGGAAAGCATTCATAATGCTTTCCTATGGACGCTGGCGTGCTCTCACTGTGAAAATCACAGTGAGAAGCTCGCAAGCACCTCTAGAGGCTGTCAATGAGACAGCCACTAGAGGCTTTGGGGGAAGGCTTAACCCATTCATAACCATAGCAGTTTCTCTGAAACTGCTATGTTTATAAAAGAATGGGTTAACCCTAGCTTGACCTGGCACCCAGATCACTTCATTAAGCTGAAGTGGTCTGGGTGCCTAGAGTGGTCCTTTAAAGAGTCAGCCTTATTTTGAAGTAACAACACAAGTGGTATATCTAATAGTGATAAGAAGCTCAAAACACCTGTGTGGTGTCCCCTATACCAACACTAAAAACATGTATAATACAAACACAATAGGTGGAGCAAGTTGTATACTTTCCTCTCTTTTCAATCAGTCCAGCAATGCTGCAAAGACAGAGAGGTATACAGTCTTGCAGATAACTCAAAACCATATATGGAAATACTACATATATAATGATGCACTCACAAAGGTAGAGCCATATATTTAACCTGGCTCTGGTGTGAATGACCTTAGGATATTTTTAGGGTGATCCAAATCCCTCTGTGGGTGGTCTGGATACCTGGAGTGTAGTAGTCTCCTTCCAGCAGTAAATAGCAGGAAATCCAAATGGGTGTAAAACAAAAATTTATTGTATAAAATATACAGGTAAAATAAATGTAGATAAAATCTATTTAAATATCCAAAACTCCACCTATTGTGTTTGTATTATGGTGAAATATTCTGCAAATCATTTATTTTATTGGTCAAAAACCTTAAAGATTTAAGAATGCAATACAATAGAGCATCTTTATGAGGCGCAAAGCAAATGCATTAATAAGGTATTGGTGCTAAGAGTGTCCCTTTAAATGTGCAATTCATTGTTTACCAAATATAGTAACAATTCTAGGTCAAAAAGCCAAAACTAAAAACACTTGATTTGGATATTTTATTTTTTTTACCCCAATTCAGTTACTTTGATCTATGATATGAAATTCAGTTTCAATTCCTTTAGCGATTAACTTTAGATATTAACTCTTGTCAGCAAGGAACTTGTGCTCAAATTCTTTTCTGCTGGTAAAAACTAGTCAAATTCCTTTTAATTCATATATAAACTAATCGTTCAGTCCATGATTTACCCATACCTCCCAACATATCAAATGGATAAAGAGAGACACTTTCATTTTAGGCATCTAAGTGGGAGTGTGATCAGGGGCTTTCTAATAAAAATGTATTTAACTACAGTAAAATAAGAACAATGTATCTTTTTCACACAGTCTGACTTCTAAACACCTTTATTGTAATTTAAAGACACATTACTGTGAGTATTATTACACATTACACTCAGCCACACCAACAACATGGAACTCCTAGTTAAGAGGGATATAGGGATTCGGGACCAAAATAGGGACACTTGGAAGCAGTTGTGTTACGCGGCAAAGCAAGTATTTGGAAAATGACGCAATGCAACTATTAATGTTACACACATCAGGGAGACGAGGCGGGTAAGGAAGGAGGAGCAAGGCTATTTAGGTGCCCGTTACCGGTATGATACCATTCAATAGGCATTGACATATTTGCCTATTAATAGTGTGATTTCCCATTTGAAGATATTGGCGGTATCTTCAAATGGGAAATCACGATATTAATGGCATTATCTAATTACATGAGGATGGTACCGCTATAATTAGCAAGGAAAATACTGTAAAATGTTATGTGACAACATTTATTTGCCTGTCATGTAAAAATACTGTGTAGAATATTCCAATATTGGGTGATTTTATGTAGGAGGAGGAGGGTGCCCTAGTTTTTACTTATTATTGCTATGTTATTTTTTCTCAAAATAATTTGTGCACCAGTCTAGTTAGCAGTGACATTGTCAGTGTCCGCCTTTTACTATTTATCTTACAAATTAATAAGTTAAATTTTTTTTAAAAAAAGGCAAAACAAAATGACATTTGTAAAAGTCTGCCTCCAAATCCCCACATTTATGTCACTTGTCTATAAAGTCTCATTATTAGCATCATGTACAGGACATCTCTGTGGTCTTCGAACTTTTTTTTTTCTAAATTAAAATTCCAGACAGGAATAAATTTTTCTAACGTTATAGCTTTTTATTACTTCCTTGCAAAAAACAAACAAACCTGTATTGCCCTTAACAAATATGGCCGATGCGGATCGTGACGCCATCAGCTATGCGCCAGAGACCGCCTTTTTCCCCCCCCGAATCTCGACCAATAGCAATACGCGGAGGGGAAATTCAAATTCATTCGAGTCAAGCGGGCTGAGAGAGCTGAGCTACAGTGGGGTCTGCGGTGATGACGTCATCTAAGGTAACACCGCTGCTGAAGTGTATTGTGCCAGTATTAGGGAAGGGGTTACATTTAAAGGGTTTATTTTCCTAACTGGTCAGACTGTAGGATTTATTGTCAACTTCCCACACCCTTATCAGTGCCTGCATGTTTATTATATGTGAGTACCAGCCACTTATATTCTAGTTCTTTGAAAGTATACATTGTTTTCTCTGTGACAAACCACCTATATCAACAGGACACATCAGAATAAGTGTTACTATGTTTAGATTGCACTGCGGGTCTGGAATATTATATTACTATGTGTTGCAATAAATGAATGTACACTCCATGTTGATCTCTATGCATTTTGTATGTCTTCTTTGTATACATAATAAAAATGTGAGCATTTGTATATATGTACTCAGAATGCATACTTTTTATGAATCAACACTTTTACATTTGATATTGCTATTTTCTGTGTATATTAAAAACAGTTTTTAATGAAATATTCATATGTATGCTGCGGCTACTGGGAGATCGAATAAGTTATAGCTATTAGACTTCTCAAAAAGATAAAACATAAGTTTAAACAAATGTGTAATATGGGTCTACGTGCATTATTTTTTGTTAATAAAAAAAAAAAAAATAATTTTAAATTCTGAGGTAAAATACAGCTTTTCTTGTATGTTCAGAAGTGCAGAAATTTGTAATATTAGTACGGTATGTATTTTTATGAACGAAAATACAGCACATTACAAGGGCTACTTAGGATTTTTGAAAGCGAAAAACACAATTGTATTATCAAAAAACTGCAAATTTATGTTGCTGATTTTGTTCTTTCGCTTGACAGGTATTTGTCATCATGTGCTTTAAAGATGTAGGTGATTCTCAGCAGTGCATGTAGCCTATCCAGTCTTGTTCTCGAAGTACCAAGTTTTGTTATTGTCAAAAATACAAAATCACATGCTCAGAAAAAATTGTTGGAATTCTCATAAGGATATATTATTCGAATCTGTATAATTATTAAGAAGCTGTCATAATGACACAGAAAGGATTTACTTTTAACAAACCCAGAGAGATCAACCGAACATATGTACTCTCTGCATGTAAAAACTATTCAACACCACCGAAGCCAGAGACTAAATTAGTACTGCAGAAGAGGAAGACAATAACCAAGGAACCTCCTCATGTGGAGACTGGTCCAGACAGGAATGTTGGTGATCTGGATGTAACTGAAAAGCGTCTAACATTACAGAGGAGAGTGAGAGCTGGATCCACTGAAAAGGGATCTGTAGAAAATATTCCAGAAGATGTTTTAAAGCTAAAGATCTCTGTGGAACAGCAGGAGACAAAATCTGCTTTACTAATCACCCAGGAAGTTCAAATTAGCAAGGCTCCTGCAGACTCAAAATTTGATTCTAAATTGAAAGTATTGGACAATTTCATAGAAAAACCATCTCAAGTGAAGTCATCAGTGAATGGGATACAACTTCAAAATCACTTAAATGTTGAAAAATCTGAAGAGAATAGAAGACTGCAGGTCATCAAGGGGGTTACAATAGGATCAAAGAGAAATGATGTCCCAAGCAGTCCACGAAAGGTGGGGCAAGATGCTACAAAGATACCTGTACTAAAATGTGGCAGCCTGGACCGTCCAAAAACACCAAAGACTGATACACCTGGAATAATCAGGTCCTCATCGACTCGGGATACTAGAAGTCATTTGTTAACACCAAAGCGCCCAACAAGTACTCTGCCTAGTATCCAAAGTAAAAAGCCAAGTATGTTAAACCAAATGGAAAAGACACATGAAATAATCCGTCCTTCAGAGTCTCTGCGTGTTAAGGACGAATCGGCTAGCTTTCATCCTAATATACACAATCATGGCTCATCAGAGGAAAACTGTGCAGTGACTGTGGCTGTTCGTGTTCGGCCCTTCAGTAAAAGGTAAGTGAAACATTTCCAATCTATTTGCATGAATGTTTGCTCTAAGGGAGGGTTTGACAAATTTGCTTGGAATCTAGGAGCCAGTGTGTTTTTTTTTTCCTCTTCTTTCTTCAATGAAGCTTAATTTTCAACAACAAAAACACAATTCTTAAAGGTACATTATAATCACCAGAACCACTACCACTTAATGTAGTAGTTTTAGTATTTATAGTCTGTTCCGGCAGGCTGTTAAGTGTTTACATTGCTGCTTAGTAAGACCTCTAGTGACTGTTATTTAGATGGCCACTAAAGTGCTTTCTATCTCAGTGCTGCATAGTGTTCAGCACCTACATTGTGTCTCCACGTTCTGCATGGAGGCGCTGAATGTTCCATATGGAGATGCAATGATTCAGTGCATCTCAATGGGTCAAAGCTGATCAGCACAGCATTTTGCTGCGCGTGTGTAATAGCGTCTCAATGCTTTCCTATGGGAAAGTATTGAATTGACTGAGCATTAAGCTTAAGTGAGTAAAAACACCTTTTCCCATGCGATTGGAGGGGGCCAGTAAAAAAAAAAAAAAAAACACACACACACACACACACTTTTGTTTTAATACTATTTTATTCCACCCAGCCTTCCTACCTTTTGGGAGAGCTGGAGTGGATCATTTCCCTTGGGTCCAGTGAGGATCCTGTCCTTAAAGGGACACTATAGGCACCCAGACCACTTTGGTTCATTGAAGTGGATTGGGTGCAGTGTCCTAGGTCCCTTTTAATAAACTGCAATAATTATTTTTTGAGGGTTAAGTCCACCTGGTAGACAGCCACTAGAGGGACTTCCGGGTCGTTAGGTGATTTTTGGTTTACATCAGGGTACGCAAAGGAGTAGAGCAGGACTATTGCAGCTGGCCCGCTTCCACTGGAACAGGCTGACAAAACCCAGGTGCCATTGCAAAATTCCTAGTTGCGATGGCGACCTGGTGCTTGGGATTGTCAAGCCATGCCCTAGGGACTTATATTTTACGAAGGTAACTGATGTTTTCATTGTGATTCACATTGCAATTCCATTTTAAACATGCTTTTCTGATGGTTGATTAATTGATGCTAATGTCTAACTTGCCTGCTTATTTTTAGGGAAATAAATGAAAATGCCATGCAGGTGGTGTCTATGAACGGACAAGAGACGTCTGTGCAACATCCAGACTCCAAGCAGAATCACAGCTTCCAATATGACTTCTCCTTCTGGTCTTCTGAAAAGTCTCACGCTAGCTATGCTGGTCAAGAATTTGTATATGAAAAGCTAGCTTTACCTTTGTTAGAAAGGTCTATGCGGGGATACAACACCTGTTTGTTTGCTTATGGCCAGACTGGATCAGGAAAATCCTACACGTATGTTTGTGTTTTTTTTTTTTTTTGTTTATATATAGAATATGAAATATATATGTATTTCATTTTTTTTGTTTATATGCCGTATTTTTCTCTACATTCAAATTCACTAATGTAATTAAGTTGTCTAGACACACCCTCTCTTTAAAGAAAGTTAGTTACTTATTAGACCTAGTCTGAGTACATACTTGGCTCAGCCAATGAGAGATCATCCCCTTAGCACAGCTTTGATTTATCATACAGATAAGAAGACCATGGTTGGCTGTATGACAGTCAAGTCAGCAGCTCAGCTCACACTGATTTCTCATTGGATTAGCAAAACGTTTTGCTAGTGGAGAAAACCACAGCATGATTATGAGACCAAAAGAGATCAAATGAAGCTAAACTGTGTTGGTGCTCAGATTGTTTCTTTAACCCCTTAAGGACCAAACTTCTGGAATAAAAGGGAATCATGACATGTCACACATGTCATGTGTCCTTAAGGGGTTAAAGGAATATTACACACACCTAAACCATTTTAGCATAATAAGAGTGCTTCCAAATTACCCAATGTTGACATAGTCTTTTCAGTTTACTACAGTTTAATGTTTACTAAACTCGTGTGTTTTTGTAGATATTGGATCACAATACACCGATAATCCAGCAGGGTTATTCATTACACCTGGAAATGATCAAAGAACTACAATTTCAGCTCAAAGTAGCCTAACTGACAAATTTCTATGAAAAATTTGTATTTCATAAACATAGAATCTTTATGAAATACTCGTTTTTGATTGTGATGGAATTTCACAGAAATTCCAACACAGTCAAGGGATATCCAGAGATAAATTAGGGACTATTTTGTCTCTATATTTCTCCACCTGACTTTCTAAGAATCAGGGCGGAGTATAAGTGTCAATCCCGACAGCAGTCACCAGTAATGGCTGCAGGGAAATGGCTGTGTCTATGGAAGATCTCGCTGGATCCTCCATGGCCTTAATTCTATACTCTCGCTCATGCACCTGTGAGTGACAGGGTCAGGTAACTAAATCTTACCTTTACCTGAAACACTTCCAGCCACCGGACACCCAACAGTGATGCCATCGTCAGGGGTCTTTGCAAATTCGGCAAAGTCTCTAGACGGTGTCAGTGCCGCTTTAAAGGGAAGCTCTGGGGTGTTTAACAAGACATCCCCATTGTCCCAATTTATAAACGTGCTGGTTTAAAAAAAAGATATAAAATTAAAATCTGCGCTTTTATGACTGCGCTCACCCATCCCTCTGTCTTGCTTAATAGCATGCATTGTTCTACTTGAATGATCGTTCAAGTGGAAGTGCAAGCTTTGATAGGAATGACAGAATACTTATTTTATAGCAAGTTGTTGTGTAAGGGATAAATGTAAGGAAATAACCCATGGCTTATTGCTTTTCTGTTGGTTTTTTAGTATGATGGGTTTTGATGAAGAACCAGGTATTATTCCAAGGTTTTGTGCTGATCTATTTTCTCGGATTGACAAGCACCTAAAACAATCGGTAAGATCACCCATTTGCTGAGCTTTTAAATACTACCTCGGACTGATGTGATATTTTATTTGTATATAAAAAATGCTTTACCGGGAAAGATACGTTGAGATTTCTCTAGTCTTTAAGTATGTCCTGGTGATTGTAATAACTTCAAAACCAACCTCTTCCAAATTGACCCACGTCAACACCTGACTGAAAGGCAAACTTAAAGGGTTACTCCAAGCACCATGACCACTTGAGTAATTTGAAGTGGTGCTGCAAATACATAAATATTTATGCTAGTTGCAAGAGGGGTAACTCCACCTTCAGCAGTGTGATTAGCAAGCCCGGAACAATAGTTGAAAGCTGGCTATTGTAAATGTTGTGCATATACCATGCACAGACTGAGCTGACACTCTAAGCCAATGAATAACAGGCAGGATCAACATCCGACTTCTGCATATACTGGGGAACGGCATTCGGATACTCCTAGTATCATAAACATTTTATTTATTATGACACCCGGAGTATCCCTTTTTAACTTGGTAATAGTGAGTTAAAAGGCTCTGAGTCTTTGCAGTTACTCCCTATCAATTATTTATTTATGTTCATTCTTCTATGAATAAAAATATCAATATGGATTTTTAAAGTATTTTATGTCTGGTTCAAGCCACAGTAAATTTGTAAATCTTACAATGCCAAATAGTTTGTTTTGTGTCCTGAGCTTTTCACCAGAACAGAGGAAAAGCAGGACATTACAAATCTGGACAATATAGGATAAAGAGAAATATACCAAATATCACTCAAACTGCATACTTGTAGTCATTGTATCATGTTTTGCATTCAAATGTTGAAAATACAACAGTTTTACTTACCTTTTTGTGTTCTCTGTGGCCACCACTCTGCCCCAGCTTTGTTAGTCATTACTGACTCTCTCAGCCAATCAACATCTCCTTATAAGATGCTTTAAAAAAATGCATTTGCATGGAGAGTGTTTGGTGTCTGTCTGCTGAACATTGACCCTGTAAAGATTGCAGGACTGTGACAGCCACTAGAAATGTCCTTAGGCAGTCTCTTTGCACCAGAACAGCTGCATTAAACCAGGGCTAAACAAAATTTCTTTCAATCAAGGAGCCAGCTAAACATTTTAGGAGCCAGTTTTTTTCATCATGAAAAATACAATTCTTAAAGGGACTCTATAGTCACCAGAAACACTACCACTTAATCTATAACCTGTCCCTGTAGGTTTTTCAATGTAAGCTTTGCTTTTTCAGAGAAAAGGCAGTGTTTACCTTGCTGCCTAGTAACACCTCGTGTGGCAGTTACTCAAACTACATTCAGCATGGAGACAGCGCTGAACGTTCCCCATAGAGTTGCATTGCTTTAATGCTTCACTATGAGATGTTGATTGGTAATTGATAATCTCAGGTATGGAGGTGGGCCAGCTGCCTTGAGACTGGCACGGTGTTGGAAAACAGGGGAGTAAAAACACCATTCCCATGCGATTGGAAGACACACACAAACACACTGACACACATCCTCTCACACACTGACAAGATATTTATTATTTGATGCACACAGACAAATACACACACATGACAGATATACACCCAGAATAAAATAAATAACTGAAATAGATATTTTTAGATACTCTCCTGTTTTCTACCTTTTGGGCGCAGGAAAGTGGCTTCCCTGGGGTCCAGTGGGACTGAGCAGAGTAGCAGACATTAGATTGGTGGTGCTGGCTGCGGCTAATAGGAGTGGGCTGCTGCTGGTCAAGACTCCTGTCTTCCACCTGTCTCGATATCACATGCAGCTTATTGTGCGCCGGGAGGAAGTTAAGGGATCTGCAATTACTTCCTCCCGGTGCTGTAGCAGCGCAGGGGAACGAATGTGCGATCGGGTCTGTGAAATGTGTGCGGGCATTGGGTCTGTGAAATGGGGGCAGGTGGCGAGCAGAGGCGGTTACCTGCACACAGAGAGCTATGTGGGGATTGAAATAAAATGTTTGTTTTTGTATCAACCCATTCTTTAGACCTCCTTTCATTTGGAAATGAGCTACTTTGAAGTGTACAATGAGAAGATACATGACTTGCTAGCTTTTAAAGCAGACAATGGACAGACTAAGCAGGCGGTAAGAATTGGAATCCCAGATATGTGTTATGGTATGAAAATTTGCTTGTATTGCATTTATCCAAGATGCAATAATGTATACCCAGGGCATTTGGGACATTTTGTAAAATAAAAATAGGAATTCAAAGGAAAAAAGGCTTATTTTACAAAGTGTAAGTCCGCAAATGATATTATAAACGTAGTCTATGAAATGATCTTTTCACCTATACATTGTACGTGCAATCTAGCCAGCAAAGGTACTGATTAAAAGCTATGCTTCCTTGTCTTTTTGCTTCCTGATAAGCACACTGGGATGTGTGAGAATGCTTCCACACTTCTCTGGAACATGGCAATCATGAAGCATTCTGAGATTATGTGCTAGATGTTGTTTGTGTATAAAGTGAGGGGGAAAAAAAGTATTTGATCCCCTGCTGATTTTGAACGTTTGTCCACTGACAAAGAAATGATCAGTCTATAATTTTAATGGTAGGTGTATTTTAACAGTGAGAGAAAGAATAACCAAAAATAAATCCAGAAAACCGCATGTCAAAAGAGTTGTTTTACTTATTGACATGCAAATCAATTTATAAGTATTTGATCCCATATCAATCAGCAAGATTTCTGTCTCCCTGGGGTCAAAATCACTCCTGAGAAGTGTGCAAGCCTGGTGGCCAACAAGAAACATCTGACCTGAATGATTTGTAACAATGCTTTTGCCACCAAGTGCTAAGTCGAAGGGGTCAAATACTTATTTCACTCATTGACATGCAAATCAATTTCTAACTTTTGACTTGCATTTTTCTGGATTTTAAAAAAAATAAAAAAATTTTTTTTTTTTTTGTTCTGTCTCTCACTGGTAAAATACACCTACCATTAAAATTATAGGCTGATCATTTTTTATTTTTTATTTTTTCCCTCACTATGTATTAAAGAGGTTCACAGACTTCGATCTTGTGTCGTATCTCTACATCTAATTGGTACATCATATTAGACAGGTGGTTTTTAATGTTGTGGCTGGTCAGTGTAGTGGGCTTTGTAGTTATAGTACTTAGCATTCCCCTTTACTGTGTAGCATGGTTTGCATTATCAATATGAATGTTGACATTGATTGTTTGCTCTGGCAGATGAAGTTACCAGAATTCATGTGAACTCTTTCCCCTTCCATATTGTGCATTCTTGATTACTAGGCATGAGAGTTAAGAAGGCAGCCAACTTTACTGTTTGAACGTTAGAGCACCTTTGGAATATAACACATGCCGTTTGGATAGTTAAAGGGATACTATAGTCACCTGAACAACTTTAGCTTAATGAAGCAGTTTTGGTGTATAGAACATGCCCCATGCAGCCTCACTTCTCAATCCTCTGCCATTTAGGAGTTAAATCCCTTTGTTTATAAACCCTAGTCATACCTCCTTGCATGTGACTTGCACAGCCTTCCATAAACACTTCCTGTAAAGAGAGCCCTATTTAGGCTTTCTTTATTGCAAGTTCTGTTTAATTGAGATTTTCTTATCCCCTGCTATGTTAATAGCTTGCTAGACCCTGCAAGAGCCTCCTGTATGTGATTAAAGTTCAATTTAGAGATTGAGATACAATTGTTTAAGGTAAATTACATGTGTTTGAAAGTGAAACCAGTTTTTTTTTTTGTTTGTTTTTCATGCAGGCTCTGTCAATCATAGGTGTGGCTAGGGCTGCATAAACAGAAACAAAGTGATTTAACTCCTAAATGACAGTGAAATTGCAGGGGAATGATCTATACACTAAACTGCTTTATTTAGCTAAAGTAATTTAGGTGACTATAGTGTTCCTTTAAAGGGACACTCCACTGCCTAAACCAATAATAATAAAAAACAGATTAGTAGATATATCTCCAATGAAAAAATGCATGCATTTAATTTGAGGATATATCTGAAGCAGCTTGTCTGCTGCCTTTGCAAGTTCTCCTTCCCCTGCCCAGGCTTTCTGTGGCTGTCCACAGACTTTCCAATGTAGCTCAATGATAAGTCTTTGTGAGGCAGGTGGTCTGGGCAATTGCTGCCTCTTGAGTTTAGCTCCACTGAGCTAACCAAACCAAGTAGTAAAAGGACTGGTTGTCTGTAAAAGCACATTTAACAGTTGCCTGTTTAAAGTACATCCTGGGGCATAAAGAATAGAGCAGAGTAGTTACCACTAGGGCAACTACTGCTGGTAAACTGGTTACTATCTGAACTTGTTATTGTTTCCCTTTTGTCAGCTCCGAGTCAGGGAACATCCACTTCATGGACCTTATGTGGAAGATCTCTCAACGTAAGTCAACGTAATCTTGTCATCACTATTCAGATATTGATAGCGTTTCATCTTGGTGAATTTGTATTTTTCATTTCATAATGTATATATTATTTATTTTTTATTTTTTTTAGAAATGTAGTGTCATCCTTTCAAGATATTCAGGTAATTAATAGCTGCTCTCCCTTACCTTCTTGTTTTTTAGACTACCTTTCCAACTTGGTTAATTTCTATGTTTGTTGTTAACTCACCCCAACTTATACCAAAAATAAACCTTTTTATTTTTCTACTTGAAATGTTATCTGGTTATTGCTATTTGTTGTTAATCCTTTATGTCGTGTAAGGAGTAATGTTGAAAAAGTGGTGAGATGGAGAGACTTTCATATTGGTAGTTTGTTTCTAATTATCCTGTAGAGTTGGCTGGAGTTGGGGAACAAACAGAGAGCTACAGCTGCCACAGGAATGAATGACAAAAGCTCAAGGTCTCACTCTGTATTTACACTCACAGTGACTCAGTCCAAGGTAAGATCTGCAAGAATCTTTACTATAGATAATCTAGATAATTGAAATTTTTTTAATTTATTTTTTTGACACAGTATTACTTGTAGGTGTGGTATGGCAGGCATTGCGGCTATCCGTTTTTAGAGCACTTCCATTCATGTAATTAGTGGAACTGCTTGTTGATGATAAACCACTTATCCCATAAATGTCTTGCCGGACTGATGTTTATGTGATAAGATTCAGACTGAATAGACCATGAGAATTCCCTGATCACATGTTTCTACTCATTGTGGGTAGGATCTAAACAATAAGCAGTGATTTTTTTCATAGTATGTTTTAAGGTGTATACTTTATAAATGTGTGTTGTGTTTTTTTTTACACATTATCTATATACTTAAGGGTAAACATAAGGGTCTCAGTTGCACCTTAATCCATTAAATGTAATGGAACACCCCAAATGTTTTAAAGAACTTAAGCTTGCTGAAGTGCTTTAAGGATTAAGAGTGTTTCCTTTTTCGCATTTGTATAAAAAAAAAAAAAACCCCAAAACAAAGCTCTGCCCTTTTTGTAAAGGCACTAAGGTGCACTCTTCCAACAGTCATACAGTGTTGTGCCCTAACACCGCAGAAAGCAATGGTTCTTTATGAAAAGCATTGCTGGCACAGCATGGTGATTGTTATGCATATGTCACTGCCTTAACTGTTAAGTAGATTGTGGGTTTGTTTTTTTTCCGCATCCTTCCCTTTTTTTGAAGTGGTCTCTATTTTTGAGAGCTACATTGTGAAATAAATTTTTCTCTACAGACTGAGAGTGTTGCAGGAGAAGAACATGATTATCGTATTACTAGTAGAATTAACCTTGTGGATCTTGCGGGAAGTGAGAGGTGTGTTTCTGCGCAGACAAGTGGAGAGCGACTCAAGGTGGGCCTCTTTAATGTTTCTTCAAGATTTTGCATTCTGTGAATTTTCTTAGTTGTAGATCACTGGCTCTGTAAACCATTCTTAAAGAGGAAATGTCACTCTTCACTAGTAATGTGTATATTTGAATTCACCACAAATGTATTACCCCATGACTTTCCCTAAATGTTGCAAGACTTGAAGAGATCCATGTTTAACTTTGCCATATCAGCCGTCAAACTCACAACATTAATGACTGTAAAAAAAGTTGCCTTTGTGGGTTTTTCATTTGCATCTCAGTTTAAATGTTCTAGACACAGATTACCTGTGTAGATTAAACCAATTGTATTACCACCCACCACCAGGCTGGCTGGCAATCATTTTGGGGAGCAGCATTTAGGGGAAACTCATGTGCAGCGTAGTCCTGAAGGACTCTCGCAAGGATAAAAAGCACATCTACTACTGTGCTCTGCTGATGGTGGACAATTCCCTGGTGTCCACAGATGTAGGACACTAGAAAGCTAACCTAGAACCAGGACCGCTAAGAGGTATGCCCTAGTGTGTGTGTAAATCTAGTAATAAACATTGTTTTCAATTATTTGTTATGAAATTATGACTTAACTTCACATTAATAGTTGATTCTCTACTTATACTTACAGGAGGGTGTGAGTATCAACAAGTCCTTACTGACATTGGGTAAAGTGATATCTGCTCTCTCTGAAAACTCCCAGACGCGAAAGAAAGTTTTTATACCATACCGGGAATCTGTATTGACCTGGTAAGTTAGTCAGGACTTCTGATTCATTCAAATGTATTCATTCAAATCTCGTTTGAACAGTGATTAGAAATATTAAACACAATGGACTTATAGAATTTATCTTACTCCGTTACTATATAACAGTTTTTCGATCTTCTAAACATTTTCCATTTATCTTCTCAAAGGTTGTTGAAAGATAGTCTTGGGGGGAATTCCAAAACTACAATGATTGCCACAATCAGCCCTGCACTGAGTAATATCGAGGAGACGTTAAGCACGTTACGGTATGCGAAACAGGCTCGTCTCATCATTAATGTTGCCAAGGTGAATGAGGACATGAACACCAAACTTATTAGAGGTGAGTCCCATGATTAGGAGTTGGTAAAGCATTGCAGACTAGAACATGTAATGGCAGCATCTCTAGAGAAGTCTTGACAATGAGAGTTGGTAAGAAGGAAGAAGGAAAACGTCTTTCTTCATCTGAATAGAGGGGCTATTATGGGAGGCGTTCATTACTAAGAGAAGACCTATCCGTAGGGAATTTAAAACCTTTTTAGGTTAAAACTAATACTTTTAGTTAATGGATACAAGTCTCCAATGGGTGTTTGAAGTGTGCAATGTTTTATAATTAATATGATTTGTACGAGTAAATATTTTTTTGACTTTACATACTTTATTTGTCTGTGTCCTATAATCCTTAATTCATTATTATTGAAGTGAATGAACAGTCTACTAAACTATTAAATGGGACTCTCCGAGCACCATAGCCACTACAGCACATTGTAGTCATTATGGTGCCTGGAGTGCTCCTGCACCTTCCAAGGGAAAGTAGTCAAACTGTTTGAGAATGGTTTGACAATTTACCTGGGATCTGATGGATGCCTGTCGCTTACTCCTGTGTAGCTGGAAGCTCCTGCAAAGAGCTTCTGTTAGCTCCACTGACCTAAAAAGTGTAGTGCTTATTGGCTGAAAGAATAAGATGAACTGTCTCAGCCAAAGAGCTAAGCCCTGCACTTCCATGCTTAGCTGAATTCTAGGAGATTCTGGTGCACAGGGGGAGGCAACTAGAATCTACCAGATCACAAGTAAATTGCCAAACCATTCTCAAATGGTTGTCAGTCTTGCTGTGAGAGGGCAACTGGGCACTTCTGGCACCATAACAAGTACAGCACGCTGTAGTGGTTTGGAGTGTTCCTTTAAGGGCCAATGCATGCTGGCATCCCAATCTGGCTCCCTACGTACTGTCGTTGGCATAGAATATCCTGCATATTTATCATTGCCTGTTTTTGGTAAATGAGCAAAATTGTCACTTGCGAAATGTGGTGGCAATGAACAGACATCGAAGTCTGCCATTGGTCTTAAGGATAAACTGTAGGCAGTGACTGTCTGAACCATGTTTGAAAGCACAGTTTCTCTTTTCTATATATTCTTCATTCTTTCATTCAGAACTTAAATTGGAGATTGAAAAACTGAGGGCATCACAAATTTCTGGAAATAACGTAAATTCAGAAAAATACAAGCGCTGTCAACAGGAAATCTTTTCTCTGAAACTTAGAGAGAGGCAACTAGAAAGGGAGATGTGTGAACTGCAAAGGTGAGCAGTGAGAAATGTCATTACTGTTGTTCATCTGTTTTTTTTTATTTTTTTTCCCCTCTGAATAAAGTGCACCCCAACAGTGTGCTATGAATGCAGTGGAAATGCTGGGTAAGGAATAACACTAATTTTATATACGTGATTATCTCCCTGGGGGAACGCATACTGGTGTAGTCAAAAGGCAGACCCCAATTTCTAATTTCCAGGTTCTGAAGCTAAGAAAATGTAAGATTTTAGGCATTTAGGAAAATAATTTTGTAAAATGAACAAGTATATAATATGCGTTTTGCAACCTAAACGGAATATTTAAGGCTTGAAGTTTTACTTTAGATGGAGCTTTGCCTTTTTGGCCATTTGCGATCTACTTTACTAGTATTTTAGTTTCAGATATTTAAATCTCCATGAATGGTTTTCAACAAAACTTATCTAAATAAATCTGAAACAAATGTATTTATTTTAGTGATGCTGGTATCACCATGACTTTGTCTGTAATTAAACTGTCAACCGCTTTCCCTCCCCGCGCCCTGATTCCTCTCCTACAACTGTCATCAAAACATACAGTCCTCAGTGAATACTATCCTAGCAATGTACCTTTCTACCCTAACCTTACCTTTGTGTCATTTTACCCCACTCCCTCTAGCATGTAAGCTTATTGAGCAGGGCCCTCAACCCCTCTGTTCCTGTGTGTCCAACATGTCTAGTTTATAAATACGTGTCTGTTAGTCCACCCATTGCCCAGCATTGTGGAATTTGTTGGCGCTTTATAAATCATAATAATGTCCTTTCTTTTCTTTAATGTGGTATAAGGGCCTGGAAGGACAAACTTGAGCAAGCTGAAGAGAGAAAGAAAGTTGAGATGAAGGAGCTACAGGTGTGTTAACTGCTTTAGTAAACATTCCACTTCACTTTGCTCTCTGTGCTCTTTGACTTGGTGACCGAAATTTCCTCAGTTTGATACATGCATTTTTTTTTCCCTGTTATTTTTTTGGGGGATTTATCTTCCTAAATGTATACTGGGGTATAAAGAAGCCTGGGAACAAATATAACTCCAATACATTACACCACCCCAACCTGCATACAAGTTTGTTGTTCCATTATATAAACAGAATAGTATAAAATAAGGACAGTAAGGGGCGCGGGGCCTGGCCATCATGGTGTACATATGCACATTGTGTGTGCTCCTCAAACAATGCATGGAAACATTGAATTTCTGGTGGAATTTTACACTGACAAGCAACCCTGATAAACAACTAACCTGTTCCTGTCCGTTGAGAAGCCTTTTGGAGCAAGTTTGAAGCCCCACTCCATAGCCGGAGGCCAGAAATCGGTTTGCGGCCTAACCGTCTGGAGTGTTCCATGGAAGGGAGAAACTGCCGATCTCCTGGTCTGGAGCTACCAGCATTCGTGACATCTGCAGCTGCATAACAGCCCTGTTTCCCCTCCCTCTGAACCAGTGGGGGTTATTCCGGTCCCCACCAAGAAAAAAGCTACAGTGATTTCAGAGGCTGTTGCTCACTTCGACAGTGCAAGACCTCGTGGCATAATCAAGATAGCCACCACATTGACAAAACCTTCAAAACCACTATGGGAAGTTCCAGGTGGCCTTTGATGCAGCCTTTTGGAACTGGGTCGAGTCCCGCCAGAAAACACGAATGCTCATTTCGTCCATGGACACAGAGGTTCCCAGTGGCATCCCGGCGTGCTGCTCTCCTTCAGGGCTGAGAGCGAAGATGGCCACTGCACACATCCGCAACCCGCAGCTCTGTGAAACTGCCTGCACAATTAGAGTCCCAAAAGATTTTCTTCCCACCGCGGGAGATGGCAGGGTTCATAATCCACAGGCTCATACTCCATCCTGGGCTCGGGGAGCGTTGACACTGGTGTCTCGATGTATTGATCCTCGTAGTGTGAGAGGCCCCCTTGTGCGGATAGGAGGTGGTGCTCATTTCACAATGGAATACTAACTTAAAGACGTAAAGTACAAGTAAATAGAGACCTGGTGATATAAATTTATGATAAATCAAACTATTTTCTTAGGTATCAACACTCAGTTCACATAACCTATAACATTAATGTACATGTAATGCATATTTGGAAATCTTGTGTAATTTTTTTTTATTTCTTTTAATCTCTTGCATATAGAAAGCTGGAATCACTTTTAAGATGGACAATCGATTGCCAAATCTGGTTAACCTCAATGAAGACCCTCAGTTGTCAGAGATGCTATTGTATATGATAAAGGAAGGTCAAACCACAGTGGGCAAATACAGAGAGGGATCAGCTCATGATATCCAGCTCTCTGGGGCTCTCATTGCAGATAATCACTGGTACGTTCTGGCATGAGTCCTGATAACCCGCAGCTCTGTGGGACTGCCTGCAGAGTGAGAGTCCGGAAAGATGTCCATCCGACTGCGGGAGACGACGGGGTTCGTGATTGGATCCTTTTTGTGCATGTTGCGTGTGGGATGGATATCTAGGGAATAGAACGCCTTGATCAGCAATTTCCTGGTTTATTATTCTAGAAATAAAAAGATGACCTTTTAACGAATTAGTAGTGGAAGTGTTGTAAGTCACATGCCTTATCACTTATTTATTATTTATGTTTTTACAGCATGATCACAAATATAGAAAACACAGTGAGTTTAACACCTTCTGCAAATGCGAAAACCTTTGTTAATGGTAACGAGATTTCTGAGTCAACTATCCTACACCATGTGAGTTTAAAAGTGTATTGTTTTCCTGGCAATTACAGAAGCAGCACGTCCTGTATCGTGGTGTCTCCTTATTGTGTTATTTGTTTGTTTGCTTTTGGTAATGTGTTATCTACCTTATTTTATTTTGGGGACTCAATTCAAGTGACTATACATTCGGTTTGTCGGAGTACATTGTCAGAAAGCTTGGCAATTAAAATAAAGTTTCAATGAAAGTAGATCATCACTGCATAGAGTTAACGTTATTGAATTTGATCGAGTAATGCATTTAGGGGAAAAATTATCAGATTGAGCAGAGTCAATGTGGTTGTATAGTAAGTAACATCTGGACGAGAGAGAGCATCACTAAATGACAAGAAATGAAATTTAAAAAAAAAATGGTAGAAAAGAAAATTATACATTTTAAATCTTTAAATCAATCATGAAACATGAGCATCTATAACTAGACATAAAACCCAACCTACAAATATATACCCATTGTAATGAATCAAGAGCATGTCTGATTCTTTTGTGCAGAACTTTTGGTTCTATAAATAAAACGCACAAGAATCAGTATCTGTAGTTAGAGCTGTGTATATTTTGATTGAGTATTTGATAAAACTGTGCCAGGCATGGCCGCAAGCCTCCCCAGTTGTTGTACTCGTACAACGTCTATGACACATTGCTGTGCTGGTCTACGGAAAGTTCACCAATTTTCTTTTGTTAAGATTACAGATCACCACTTAACAGGGATGTTTTATTTATTTTAACAGGGTGATCGTGTGATCCTAGGAGGAGATCATTATTTTAGGTTCAATCATCCAGTGGAAGTTCAAATGCTAAAAGCTGCATCAACCACAACGTCTGAGGGACCTAAAGACTTTGAGTTTGCAAAGAATGAGCTGGTGACTGCACAGAGGTCAAAGTAAGTGATTGCCCTCCTCTCTGACACAGCACTTGCCCAAATACAAGTAAAATTTGATGGCAGTGGTGACCAGTCTAGACCACAAGGTGGCGACACAAGCCCTCTGACATAAATGGAGAATTCATTTATCTTCTCCTCCTCTGTTATCCAGGTTGGAAGAGGAAATTGAAGAAGCACGCTTAAGAGCCAAAGAAGAGATGATGAGAGAAATTCAGATTGCAAAAGAAATGGCCCAACAGGAGCTAACTTCCCAGAGGTCAGCCTATGAAGACAAGATTAGATCCCTGGAGTCTGAGCTGGTGGGTTTTTCTTTCCTTTTTCTTTGCAAGTGGAAGGGACACGCTGGGCTGCAGTCGATCCAATATTTTTTACTGCCTTATATAGTTGGTACATTACAATAAAGTTGATGGAAAAGCTATTACATTTTGTACTGTAGAAAAATGACAACTTACCGTATATACTCGAGTATAAGCCGACCCGAATATAAGCCGAGGCCCCTAATTTTACCCCAAAAAATGGGAAAACGTATTGACTCGAGTATAAGACTAGGGTGGGAAATGAAGCAGCTACGGGTAAATTTCTAAATAAAATTAGATCCTAAAAAAATTATATTGAATATTTATTTACAGTGTGTATATGATGAATGCAGTGTGTGTGTGTGTGTGTATGAATGCAGTGTGTGTATGAATGCAGTGTGTGTGTATGAATGCAGTGTGTGTGTGTGTGTGCAGTGTGTGTGTGTGTGTGTGAGTGCAGTGTGTGTGTGTGTGTGAGTGCAGTGTGTGTTTGTGTTGCAGAGCCTTGGTGGAGGGGGGGGCATTTTTATAAAAAAAAATTAATATTTAATTTTTTTTTTGTTATATTATTTTTTTATTATTATTTATATTTTTATATTATTTATTTATTTTTCGTCCCCCCCCCCTCCCTGCTTGATGCATGGCAGGGAGGGGGGCTCTCCTTCCCTGGTGGTCCAGTGGCATTGGCAGTTCAGTGGGGGGAGGAGGGGGGCTGGCAGAGCTGTTACTTACCTCTCCTGCAGCTCCTGTCAGCTCTCTCCTCCTCCGCGCCGGTCCGTGCAGCTCCTCTGTCAGCTCACACTGTAAGTCTCGCGAGAGCCGCACTATGACCCCGCGGCTCTCGCGAGACTTACACTGGGAGCTGACCGAGGTGCTGACCGGACCGGCGCGGAGGAGGAGAGAGCTGACAGGAGCTGCAGGAGAGGTAAGCGCTCGCTGCCAGCCCCCAGTCTGTATTATGGCAATGTAAATTGCCATAATACAGACACTGACTCGAGTATAAGCCGAGTTGGGGTTTTTCAGCACAAAAAATGTGCTGAAAAACTCGGCTTATACTCGAGTATATACGGTAACTAAAACTTGCCTATGTTCACAATATATGGCAGAGTAAAGGATTTTCTTTTGACGTATTTAAAGTTGTAAAATTATGGCTGCCGTGACCTTTGCAGATAATAGACTAATTGCAGGAATAGTGACTTCCTTGTACCATAACCTTTACAAGTAACATAAGTTGTTATAGTGCGTGGTGTGTTCCTTTAAAGGGTACCTGTCATGCCCCAAACAACTTATGTTCGTTAGATTGAGCATACGATTTTATCTTTATAGTGTGCTAGCAGTTTTGTTGGCAAATGCATGGATTAGGATAAAAACTCTATATAAAAATATTTTTTTTTCCACCAGATGTCAGTCAATGCATCAGCGTTCCGAGGCATTGTCTGACAAGGGAGAGCAGACCTCCAACAGGAGATCCCTCTGCTCTCCTCCCATAGCAACCGTGGCACATGTTCTGCTCTTCCTATGGAAACTCCTTAGCCAGTGCTTCTAGCTAGCTGTGGAGCAGAGGAACAAAGTGACGTGACTTTATATTTTACATTGGATACATCGTGTAGATTTGTGATGATGTATGGAATATTCAATGTATATGGGAGTGATTAAAGTAAACATGTGAAAAAAATTTACTTTAAATTTGTTTTAGTCTTCCGTGATCAGGGCCATCTGCATTTTTTTTTCTTTAGAAATCTTCAGTTTGAATAGTTTGTAATAATTTCAGCAACAGTATCTCTAACGTTTGTCTTAATTGTGCTATAAAAGCATTTCTTAAAAGGAAATGTATTTATTTTTTGCTGCTTTGTGGTCACATCTAATAGTGTCCCTGTAGGTGAATGGTGTGAGGAGCTTAACAGAAGAATTCCACATTTACATAGATAAAATAAATTGTGGGACACATGACAGAAGATGCATCTCCTATACAGTGGTGCACCTTTAATATAAGAAGTTATGCAAAATCCACATTAAGGGTCTCCTTGTGTTGAGCACCCTACCCCTCCACTTACAGATGCCCAATTCGAAGTGACTGCAGGAGAGCATGAATTTAAGAAGTATCTATAAGCAGTAAGTATTTTAGCTAGCATCTTTTGTCTCAAGATTAATGTAGAACCCACTGATATTGGAAGGCTTGTAAGTACTGGTAGGCTTAGACGGGGTATGGCCATCTGGTATGTATAAATCCTATAGTTATTTGCTAGAAACTGGTATATTTAAGTAAACTACTTCCATTTATGTGTATTTTGTATATTTCTATTATCAAGTTCAGTGGTACTGTGGGCTTTGTAAGGATGAATGGATTGAATTGATCTCCCCATTTTCCCCATGTGGGCAGAGACAGGTTATTAGACTTTTTGACCTAATATATTTTGTTGCATTGCTCGAACAGATGGAAGAAAGCCGTAAAAAACAGTTGCATGCAGTGAACACTCAGAAAGCAGCTAGTCGTATCCAGGAGCTGGAGGAAGTAAAGATAAATCTTCAACACGAGGTCCATATGAGTAGAAGACGACTGGAAATGGAGACCATAACAGCTAGACAGGTAGATCTTTACATTCCCTCATGATCTGTGACTTACATAAAGTGGCAAAGTGCTCAAAGTTGGCATTTTCTCGCTACAAAAATTATATTGTCTCTTCCTGTCCCAGTGATGGAATTCATACTACAAATTATATTTTATGGATGACATTCCATATTCTTTATTTGCTGTGACTGAGTAGGAGCTGTTCGATTTCATTTACATGTTTATTTCAAGGGAATGGTGATTTTCTGTTTTTTTTTGACAATCTTTATTTTGTTTTTTTCAATTATAAAGGAGAACAGTATGGAAGTTTCCATAGTATGCGGCTTGTACATAGTTACATTAACTAAACAATAATCTGTCAGGACCGCTTTCAATGGTTCATAAGCATTCCACATTGTGATTTTGACATTACAATAGAAAAGACCTGTGTGTGAGGTGTCAATATGCATCTACTTGGGGTGCTTGTTTCCCATTTTGTTCTTTGGGCGAGCAGAATGTCACTGGGCAGTTGGCCCTCTGCATGTATTTTGGAGTGGGCTATGGCTAACCATCTACTAAGTGTTTTGTTAAGAAACCGCATCTTTTTAGTGAGGCGTAGCTGTTGCTAAGTGTTGAGGTGTGGTTTTGGGAAGTTGGAAAGAGATTGGAATGATGGGAGAGAAGAGGGGGGGTGGGGAACGGAGTTTTAGGGGAAAGGTATAATTGAAGTGTGTTTGCAAAAGCTGTGGGGATTCTGCAGTTCCACTAGACCCCAAAACCGGTTGGAAAAGGCAACGATAGCTTAGGGAAATTTAAGGTGGGTGGTTCATCTTAGATGTGTAGTCTAGCCAAGGAGTCCAAATTAGGATGCACTTATCAGTACGGCCATGTAGGACTTCGGTCAGCGATTCCATTTCGTAAATTTGAGAAACTTAAAAAAAGGGAAAAACAAACACACTACCAATAGGTGTCTTTAAATAAATATGGTGTAGAGATCGTAATGTGGTTGTCACCAAACAAAATAAGTAAATTAAAACTTCACTTTTAATAGATAATTTTAAAAGCCATTTAAATAAAGATAAAGTAACAAAAAAGTAGAGACCAAGATATTTGGTCCTAAATGAAAATTATAGTCTTGCTATAGCAACACTAAGCATTCGTAATCAGTATGACTACCTGAAAGAGACAATGTGTCGACAAATAAAACTTTGTAATGAAAAGTATCTATTTGTACAATATATACAATACAGGGAGGGTGAGAGGCGATAACTAGACTCTGCTGGAGAAAGAGTCTAGTCAGATAGTTGAGCTGCCTCAGTTAGGCAGAATGTGTATATACAAATAGCTTAACTCCACCCAAATAGGAGTAAAAGAATGCCAAAAAGGTGTATAATATGAAAAAAGATTCCATAGAAGGGTAGACCCCTGATAGGAGTGATTCACAGAGATCAATAGGTGATAGTTGGTAACAGGAAAATATCACGTCCCTGTACCTAGACTGAACTTCTCAGTGCAAAACTATCACTCAACCCCCCCACTAAGTAGCAAGACAGAAAATAAATAGAAATAAAAACAAAAACGGGCATAGAGCCCAATCTCAGGATAGCCGTTTAGAAAAATAAACTGTCAAACGGCAGTGTGAAATAGAACACGGAGATATTGCCGACTATGGCATCCTGAGCCCCTGACGCGCGCGTTTCGTTCAGGTACTCATCAGAGGGAGATTTCGTAAATTTCCTCTATCTTGACTATCCATTTCTGGAAGGTGGGCACACCCGTCTGCCTCCAGTGAAGCAGGATTTTGCAGATATTTATTTAACCCCCTGTCCTTACACAAGAATGAGCAGCAGTAACGTTAAGGTGCGTCGGAAATGGCAATGAGACTATGAAATGTATCCAAAACCCGAGAACAAGGTTTGCCTTTATTGTATTAGAAAAACCGTAATGTAGCTTTTTTGATAAATACCCCTGTTCTGTCACTAAATCAAATAGAAGTAATAAACATTTTGGTAAGCAAGGAAAAGTGTCATTCAGTAAAATGAAATGGCAATGTGAGTCAGATGTATCATATTCAGACCATCAATGCCATTCAAATCAACATGAACTTGACATAGCTAATGTTTAAAGGACCACTATAGTCACCCAAACCACTTCAGCTCAATGAAGTGGTCTGGGTGCCAGGTCCCCCCGGGTTTTAACCCTTCAGATGTAAACATATTAGGTTCAGTGAAACCGCTATGTTTACATTGCAGGGTTAATCCAGCCTGTAGTGGCTGTCTCACTGACTGCCTCTAGAGGCGCTTCTGCGATTCTCTCTGTGAAAATCACAGTGAAAAGATGCTGGACGTCCATAGGAAAGCATTGAGTAATGCTTTTATATGGGCGGTTTGAATGTGCGCGCTGCTCTTGCCGCGATTGCGCGTTCGGATCCGACATCGGAGGGGGAGGAGAGGTCACCAGTGCCAAGGGAGCCTGGCGCTGGAGAAAGGTAAGTGGCTGAAGGGGTTTTAACCTCTTCAGCCCAGCGGGAGGGGGGACCCTAAGGATTATATAGTGCCAGGAAAACGGGTTTGTTTTCCTGACACAATAGTGGTCCTTTAAGTGAAACGTTTTAATTGGCAACCCAGCAAGTGAAATGAACATGCTAGTAGTGTTTTTGAAGGGAAGTGCTTGAGACTTTAATAGGATAGAAAATGAAACAAACCCTTATTCAAATCATTGATTCATGATTGAGGGAATTGGACCATGTTGACTGCCTCTTTAACAGCAGGGTGATTGGATAATTATTTAATTTTTTTTTTTGAAGTGTAAATAATCTATGTCAATGTCTAGGAATTAGAGGATCATACAGTTCGTCATGCCAAGATCCTTCAAGCTCTGGAGGCAGAAAAGCAAAAAATTGCTAAGGAAGTACAAACACTCCTTCAAGAGAAGAGCACCCGGGGTCGAAGTATTGCTGGTAACTTTCAATTATTTTGTAAAGCTTTTAGTCTTTTTAAACAAAGTCTGTTTGAGGTGAGGGTATGCACAGTTGACTTGTATAAAAGACCATCATTTGTAGAACCCATTAGATTAGTTGCAGTTCTAGTGGAATCACTGCCAAATTATTAACCTATATCCCGTAAAAAAAAAAAAAAAGCCAAGCATGGGTTTATGGGGTATACTCCGCACTCCTATTTAAAACAATGGCGTGTTTAGGATTGGCGGTCTGGTATCAACTAATTCCTATTCTGCACCCAGCTTTATGGTTTTATATAACGATACCTGTTAAGGAATGTTATGTTAATTATCTGAAACTAAGAGTTTAAGATGTGTTAATACACCGATGCTATTGAGGAATGCGCAGAGCACTGTGCTATATTGTAGCTCAATAGATTAGAGACCAGGTTTTGTGCCTAAATTTGTATATGTTTTGCTGTTTGCATGGCTTGCTTTGCTTATCAGCACTGATGTATGACAACTATGACTTTATATTCTACTACATAGCAAGTCCCAACTGGAGCTCTATGAAACTGTCCGTGATGATTCAGGAAGCGAACACGATCAGCAGTAAACTAAAGAAACACATGGTTTTCAGCAGGTAAAAAAAGAATAACACATTACTTAACTGTAGAAAAAGCTACTGTGCTCTCTTTTAATGACATATGCTTTAAAAAAAAAATGGTATCCTGCAAGACAAAATTGGTCCATATGAATTCCAAATTAGCTTGGCTTTAACACTCTAGGACAATGAAGGTGAGCCTTTTTGAGCCAGAGGGCAGCACAAAACCAGGATACACCACTGCCCTTAAGGACTGAGCCAAATGTACAGGTTGTGATCAAAACAAAAGTTAAACAAAACCTTGAATTTGACTATATGTCTGTTCAGGCATAATTCACCTCTTTCATATTATGTGCACCCACACTTATTATATATCATTTTATTCAGGGGAAACCAGGCTTTCATATAACATCAAATATTTAGGTATGAAACATAATTTAATATGAATAAAATTTTTAAAAATGGGAGAAAATAAGAATTTTAAAATGTTTTAAAATTTTTTTTTTAAGTTCTACGTGACATTTTAACTGTAAATGTCATAATACTGTTTGCTTTTACTGCAATAATATACACATATTTGTATTCAGTGATGTCTCACGTGTAAAACAGTACCCCCTATGTACAGGTTTTATGGTGTTTTGGGAAGTTACAGGGTCAAATATAGCATGTTACGTTTTCAGTTTTTTCACATTGAAATTCGCCAGATTGGTTACGTTGCCTTTGAGACTGTATGGTAGTCCAGGAATGAGAATTACCCTCATGATGGCATACCTTTTGCAAAAGTAGACAACCCAAGGTATTGCAAATGGGGTATGTCCAGTCTTTTTTTTTAGTAGCCACTTGGTCACAAACACTGGACAAAGTTAGTGTAAAATATTTGTTTGTGCAGTCTTCCATTCCTTGTCTACCACCACGATGTTTGGTTCGTTGGCCAGCACTTGCTTGTCTGTCTGGATCTGAAAGTTCCACAGGATCTTAGCCCTGTCATTCTCAACTACCCTTTGTGGTATCTTCCATCTGGACTTAGGCAGGTCCAATCCATATTCTCTGCAGATGTTTCGGTACACAATCCCAGTAACTTGGTTGTGTCTCTCCGTATATGCTGTTCCTGCTAACATCTTCCCTGGTTTGGTAGACTCCAGCTTCTATTGATCTGGTGTTGAGTGCCTGTTCCTGTGCTGCCTTTCAGTCCTGCCTTTTCCAACCAACTCTCATATAGTGTGTATGTATGTGTGTGTGTGTGTGTGTGTGTATGTGTATGTGTATATGTATGTATGTGTGTGTGTGTGTGTGTGTATGTATATATATATATATATATATATATATATATATATATATATATATATATATATATATATATATATATATATATATATAATATGTGTGTGTGTATATAAATTTAAGTTCTCCTGTAGAAAGCCCCTTTTATCCATTTTGCAGAACAGAGCTGCACAGGCATGGTATGACCAAAAGGGTCATGCTGAAGTGTTGCAGTTGTTGAAATTGTGTATTTATTCATAATGTCCATGTTGTGAGATAGCCCAGTGAATATGGCTCCAGTCATATCTCAGATTTGGTTCCTTTCAAAGTCAAATGTTTAGCCTTTTTAAACCGAACAAGTACAATTTAGCTTGGAAATGAAATGAAGACCTCAGAATATTCCTGAAATTTAGCGACAAACTAAAAAAATGTCCCTTTTCTGCTTAAATAATTTTTTTAAAAATACATGTTCATTAGGAATGTCAGTAAACAAGGTAAAATGACAAACCGAGAAATTAAGCAAGTGTACAATATGAAAAATACAATAATCAACATATTGCTTAAAAACTTTGATCGTATAATTCAATGCAAATCCAGATTAACTCTAAAGCACCTAATTTGATTGTGTGCATAAAATTAGTAATCTTGTTCACCTGATCAATGCATCCCCCTTTTGTTGTGTTGAATGCAGAAAAATTTAAACACTTTGGATTATTCTCTAAACTGAAAACTCTTGAATTAACATTAATTGCAACACAGTGTAATGATCTATTAACTTTTTTTTTAATATCCTTGTCATCCCTTGGGGTATATTTCAAGCACTTTTCTTGCAGAAAAATATAACCTGGTTTATTTCTAAAGTTTAATAAAAACATTTATGCATGCTCAGCAAAAACCTACTTAAAAGTAGGCAGGATGTTCCTAACGTCCTTATTTTGTGGATCTAAATATAAGGCTCTGAGAACTCATCAGCAAACTTGAAAAGGCTAGTATCAGGCGACATCGCAAAAGATATTGGTCATAACGTAACAGTTGACTATAATTTCCTGTTTAAGGTACATCCAGGCTGGAGTCGACCAACACATTTTAAAGTATTGAAATATGTATGCAAAAAATAAAATTTTAAACGTCATGCACAAATAATTTAGTAATTCTGGCACTTTCTGTAAATCACCAGGCTGTGCAGCTTCTGCTGTGAGCTCTAGCCAAGTCTAAGCTTATCAGATTTCTGAGCACTTCATGTTAAATCCCTGCATACATTACAACTCTCATCATAATGGTTTATAGGTCGATGACCGCAAATAAAGCAGTTTTATTTTAATAAAATAGAAACCGTGTTAGTTGGAGAAGAGGTGAGTGTGTTCACTAGATCTTGGAACTCTTACCCTTTATCGTTTCTCTTGATACGATATGGTACATAAAAAAAGAAGAAAAAAGAACATATACAGATAAAAGTGTAATATGTCTTTAAATGGAGCGATTGGTGAAATAAGTGAATATATAAACTCAAAAAATTCTAAGTCAAATCACTGGAAAACCAGTGATTTGAGCCTATACTGGAGATATAATATAAATAAGTAAATATCTAATGATAATAACAAGATATATACAACATAACCTCTTATCCAGATTGAAAGGTCATCCCAATGTGAAAAAAAGGTGTGGAAACAGCCAGTTAGGCAAAACCTCCCTTGTACTGATCCGTGACTACAATATACTATAGACTACTGACTTTATATTTGTTTGGTCAAAGTCTAATTAGAGTATACAATTTTCATCAAGAACTTCACGGAAAAAAGTATCTAATTCCAAACGTACTGCCTGATAACATCAGAATTGTGGGATACTCATTGTAACAACATAGTATCAATTGCTAGATAGGAGAATGTCTAAATATCCATATTGAACTAAATAGCTTAGTGTAGCCCTATGTTCGCTGAAATTGCTAAAGTAGCAATAGCTAAGTAGTTGAACTAAAAGGATATCTCACAGACTAATATGATGGAAACAGGTGAGTAGACTGTTTTAATAACTTATATCTACAGTCTAACTCACATAGTACTTAAAAATGAGTGGAATTAGAACAGAGAAAGGAGGTTAGAAAAATATATAAGTGCTAATGTGCAGAACCATACTTAGGATGTTGGTTGCCTGCACATAGTGAGAGTGCCCTGTGAAAGAGTGAATAGAGTGAAAAACGGAAAACCCGACGCGCGTTTCGGTGCTTGCGTGCACCTTCGTCAGGGGCCAAACTTGTATATAAATATATAAACTCACATTCGTTAGAGCCTTTTCTAGTGTTAGGCTCTAAACTTCTGCACGTCTGTGTCTTTTTTGGGTAGAACACACGACCCCTCTCTCACAAGGAAGATATGAATGTTCTCCACCGGATATATAAAAGACACAGATATATGTTTTATATATGAATTTAATATTAATGGCAAACTAAAGACCTTTAAGGCTTATGTAGATGAGTAAAAATGTCAAGAAAAAAAACTTAAACTATTAAAATAAGGGTCTCCTCTAAAGCTGCTGCAACAAATCTATAGAGACGTTACGACTGCAGCAGTAAACTATGCCTGGGCAAGGAAGTGATTCTGCTGATCAGGAGGCTCTTATCTATTCAACACAGTCCAAACATAACCAATATACAGCAGAAGTTTATGGGTATGCAGTTAAGTTTCTCATTAGATCAGATGGTTAAACATGCTGAATACGTTGACAGCCATACTCCAGCCTACTGAGCGCTTCATTTGCAGTTTTGTGAACAGTACCCCACACGTGCACAGTTACCTCTTGCCTCCCTAAACTATTTTAGATTAAGCAATGGCTTGGATGTACTGAGCTCATGCAGAATGTGCGTGTCATAAAACTGTGTAGGACAGAGCAGGAAGTATAGTTTACTCCTCTGATGTATGGCAGGCTGTATCTATTGTGAGTTTTGCAAATTACTGAAATGACAAACAACAAAGTGAGATGAAACATGGATGGGGGCTTTCTTGCACCATAATAGTGGTTTTTTTTTTCTTTTCTTTTTTCTTCATAATTTTCTGTTCACATAAGACAAATCAGGGACTACACATTCCTTTAAATTGTGCTGGCGTTTCAGTAAATGTGCATTTTATAAATTGCATGTTCAAGAAAACTCAGAAGTGATAGTGTCACTTTAATAATGGCATTCTATTTGTAGACATGATCCAACAGATAAGGAAAATGTACCGGACCATCCAGTACAGATAAAGGTCCGGAATTTGAAGCTAGGAATTGTAACCTTCTGGAGTGTGGAGAAGTTTGAAAATACCTTGGTTGCCATGAAAGATTTGTATGAGGTACGTGGCAATCCACTGGTACGTTCAGTACAGTACATGCAATTGGAAGGCTTTTTAAATGTGGATAATTATTGTATGTACTTTGTAAAGATGAGAACCTCTGGAAAGAAGGCTGGATATATAACTGTGTGCATATAGATGACTTATGACTTTGTGGATTTTGATAGAACTTTGACCACTAAAAACCATTTCAATAGAGACCTGTATAGCACTGATATATCAATTTTAACAACAGAATAATGGGGGAGCAAAGGATGATGATGATTTGTTTTGTGACCATGAAGATGAATGGGAACCTGACTTAGAAAACCCGTCTGTGTCCAACTTTTCTAGAAGAAGGTAAGGATCACACATCTGCTTATGGTTTTTTTAAACTAACATTGTTTTGGAAGAGGAAAGTTCAGAATGCATTTTGTTGGGTAACTAATAATTCTACTGAAAGGGACACTCCAAGCACCATGAGGTTATGGTGTCAGGATGTCCCTGTCACCGTCCCCTTGTGCTTAGCTGTTTAGAAATGCAACATTATGGAAAAATAATCACATTTATTTGCCCTTATCATCATGCAAAGTAATAACGAGCAAATTGCCTCCCCCAGCTTGTTCAGGTTCTCATATAAAACAAAAGAAAGGACTGCACTGTGTTAACCTCTACCACTTCAGCTGGAAGGCTATTCCATGCATCCACTACCCTCTCAGTAAAGTAATTCTTCCTGAAATTATTTTTAAACCTTTGCCCCTCTAATTTAAGACTGTGTCCTCTTGTTGTGGTAGTTTTTCTTCTTTTAAATATAGTCTCCTCCTTTACTGTGTTGACTTTTTTTTTTTTTGTTACAATGATTCATAACATTTTTTTAAAGTGATACTAAAAATAGGTGCATATGCAAAAATAAAAAACTTGACAAAAACCTATAAAAACGGTTGGATTGAAAATAATACAAATAGGTAAAAGTAATCCAAATAGATAAAAATGGTTTCCACTTCCCTGTTTAGATGTCCACTGCCTCCTGTGTAGTAGTTCATCAGACCTACTCATTAGCATCTGGACAGCTTCTGACACTGTAGTGAAAAATCCTTGAGGTTCACTCTGGCAGGGATGGTGTAAAAATCCTTTGAAAAAAAGCAACTTTTTCAAATGGTTTTCGCCTGTGCTGGTTTTATCAATGACACAAAATTTCAGCTCTCACTTCACTGAATATATAGGTTGTCTGCACAACTATGTGTGCAGACTCTGTGCCATTATTTTGGTACAGAATTATATAAAGCTTATTAGAAAAGAAAGACGAGTACATATTTAGCACAGACGGTTCTAATAAATGCACAGGTTTATTCTATATATGGTTTAATTTTAACAAGTGATCAGCCAAGTAACATACAGAATCTGCACACATGAGTGTGCAGACAACCTATACATACAGTGAAGTGAGAGCTGCAATTTTGTGTCATTGATAAAGCCAGCACAGGAGAAACGTGTTGGAACAAACTTTTCAAAGAATTTTTACTCTTCCTGCCAGGTTCACTACCTCAAGGCCTGATTAAGTACTACACAGGAGGCAATGGACATCTAAACAGGGAAGTAGAAACTATTTTTTTTTATTTTTTTTTTATTTTTTTATTATCTATCTATTATTTGTATCATTTTCAATTTTGAATCCTACAGTTTTTGTAGCTATCTGTCAAGTTTTTATTCTTGTTTTTGTTCCTGTATATGCACCTATTTTTAGTATTTCTTCAAAGTGTTTGTTTTTTTTTTTCTTTAATGATGCATTCTCAATAAATGGTTTAATTTTATGTCATATTGTGTGGGCACTTGTTCTTTATCTCACAAAGTCTATATTGCTGGGCATTAGTTTGTATTAAAGGACCACTATAGTGCCAGGAAAACATACTCGTTTTCCTGGCACTATAGTGCCCTGAGGGTGCCCCCACCCTCAGGGACCCCCTCCCGCCCAGCTCTGGAAGGGGGAAAGGGGTAATTACTTACCTTTTTCCAGCGCTGGGCGGAGAGCTCTCTGCCTCCTCTCCGCCTCCGATCCGCCCCGCCGGCTGAATGCGCACGCGCGGCAAGAGCTGCGCGCGCATTCAGCCGGTCTCATAGGAAAGCATTTACAATGCTTTCCTATGGACGCTGGCGTGCTCTCACTGTGATTTTCACATTGAGAAGCACGCAAGCGCCTCTAGTGGCTGTCAATGAGACAGCCACTAGAGGATTAGGGGGAAGGCTTAACCCATTCATAATTATAGCAGTTTCTCTGAAACTGCTATAATTATGAAAAAATGGGTTAACCCTAGAAGGATCTGGCACCCAGACCACTTCATTAAGCTGAAGTGGTCTGGGTGCCTAGAGTGGTCCTTTAAGAACTATTTCTGGAGGGGTGGCACAGTCCTTTTCTTTTTTTTTTTTTATATATATATATATATATATATATATATATATATATATATATATGTGTATATGTATATATATATATATATGTATATGTGTGTGTGTGTGTATATATATGTATATATATATATATGTGTGTGTATGTATATATATATGTATGTATATATATATCTATCTATATCTCTCTATATCTATCCCATTGGATGTGTATAGGTTAGTGGTATTTTCCTATCTAGGATTTGTAGCATCCCCTTTACTGTATTAGATGTATACAGTAGATATACAGATTATCTTAGCTGCTTCATTCATACCTGCTGCAGAGCTGTGAACTATATATTCTATAAACCCATTACAATTTGTATGATTGTGTTCTCACTGTTACGGTGTAGCAGGGTAGATGGTGCCTACTCAGTATAAATAATGCTTTCTCTAAATTGCAGAAGCCTAATGAAGAACAAGAGGATTTCTGGGTGCCTCTATGAAATCAGAGTTCACCCTATTCAGAGCTTACAGACTGGTCACAAATCAGGTAATCATGGAATTATTGGCTGGCTTCTTATAAATGGCAAGAAAGGTAGTGGGGAGGAGTCAGGCAACTATAGGCCAGTAAGCCTTACTTCAGTAGTGGGGAAAGTAATGGAAACCATGTTAAAGGGTAGAATTGTTGAACATCTAAAATCACATGGATTTAAAGATCAGAGACCACATGGGTTTACTTCAGGAAGATCATGCCAAATTAATCTTATTGATTTTTCTGATTGGGTAACTAAAATTATAGATCAGGGTGGTGCAGTAGACATTGCTTACCTAGATTCCAGTAAGTCTTTTGACACTGTTGCACATAGAAGGCTCATCAATAAACTGCAATCTCTGAGTTTGGATTCCAATATTGTTGAAAGGGTAAGGCTGAGTGACAGGCAACAGAGGGTTGTAGTCAATGGAGTATATTCAAAGCATGGTCTAGTCACCAGTGGGGTATCTCAGGGATCTGTACTTGGACCTCTTTAAGCCCTTAAGGACACAACTTCTGGAATAAAAGGGAATCATGACGGAATATTTCCGTCATATGTCCTTAAGGGGTTAATGTTTTTATTAGTGATATTGCAGAAGGTCTTGATGGTAAGGTATGTCTTTTTGCTGATGATTCTAAGATATGTAGCAGGGTTGATGTTCCAGGAAGGATAAGCCAAATGGAAACTGATTTCGGTAAGCTAGAAAAATGGTCAGAGTTGTGGCAGCTGACATTTAATGTGGATAAGTGCAAGATAATGCATCTTTGACGTAAAAACCCAAGGGCAGAGTGCAGAATATTTGATAGAGTCCTAACCTCAACATCTGAGGAAAGGAATTTCGGGGTAATTATTTCAGACGACTTAAAGGTAGGTGGACCATGTAATAGAGCAGCAGGAAATGCTAGCCGAATGCTTGGTTGTATAGTGGAGGTAATAGCAGTAGAAAGAGGGAAGTGCTTGTGCCATTGTACAGAACACTGGTGAGACCTCACTTGAAGTATTGTACGCAGTACTGGAAACTGTATCTCCAGAAGGATATTGATACTTTAGAGGGAGTTCAGAGAAGGGCTACTAAACTGGTTCATGGATTGCAGGATAAAACTTACAAGGAAAAGTTAAATGATCTTAACGTGTATAGCTTGGAGGAAAGACGAGACATTGGGGATATGATAGAAAATTTAAATACATAAAGGGAATCAACACAGTAAAGGAGGAGTCTATATTTCAAAGAAGAAAAACTATCATAACAAGAGGACATAGTCTTAAATTAGAGGTGCAAAGGTTTAAAAATATTAGGAAGTATTACTTTACTGAGAGGGTAGTGGATGCATGGAATAGCCTTCCAGCTGAAGTGGTAGAGGTTAACACAGTGAAGGAGTTTAAGCATGCGTGGGATAGGCATAAGGCTATCCTAACTATAAGATAAGGCCAGGGACTAATGAAAGTATTAAGAAAATTGGGCAGACTAGATGGGCCGAATGGTTCTTCTGCTGTCACATTCTATGTTTCTATGACCCTTTGCAAAGTTACTGCAGAAGTTGGGCAATCCTACAGGCAACACTTTCTGTTGGTTCATAGGAGTCTGTTTGCCATTTTTGAAAACTGGATTATTTGTTATTTATAAACTTTTAAGGATTTCATCAGATTTTAGATAAACTAATACAGTTTCCAATAAAGGTAAAAAAGGGAAGAATGAAAACTATTTTTAGTAAAGGAAACAAAGATATACTTATTTTTTTGTTCTGGTTTATCATTGGGTATATGTCTGTCTATTAGGGTGGCTTAAATTATGATCTCTGATTTAAGGGGCATATGGATAATTTCTTAACAAATATGGATATTTGCTACATTTTTGTTTATAAATATTATAGACATAGGTCTGTTGTCATGAAGGTTTGCACAACCATTTGCAGATTTTCCATGTAGGAAATGCTCCGTAATTGTGCAGCACGTTATTAATTTGTTCTCATTTATTAACAGGTCTAATGAACAAATCCACCAGTTTTCTAAGTAAATCGAGCAGTGTCTGCTCAAATACCCCAGATGCCCTCCTGCCTGGAATTTGTAAGGATTTGATTGGATCTGCCTTGGAATACCTGGGTCGAAGTTATGCTGATGAAAGTAACATGGCTGACTGTCTAATCCACTGTGTGTGTACTATATGTGCTGGGGTCCGTACCATCTCTCGAACATACGAAGAGCAAGATGCAGACAGCACAGATACCTGTAAGTGGCGTTACATAAAGGCAAGATGATATTTAATAAATAGAAATAAAAGGGAATGGTGAAGGAAAAAAAGGTACACAGTGCGTTTCTTAATTCCAATGTAAAGTGCAAAGATTATTTGCTGTCCATTTATTTATCCATCAGACTTTAGTCTACCTGGAAATAAAACATTACAAATGTTACATAATTACATAGCTGAAAAGAGACTTGCGTCCATCAAGTTCAGCCTTCACTAAAAAAAAAACCAATGAAATAGATACAGGGTAAAGATTCAATTTAAATGAGTAAACTCTGGGCAGCAACACTTAAAAAAAAATATATATTTTTTAAATCCACATTACACATTTCACATACCAGTCATAGATTTGTACAAGCGATCTATAATAAGCAAATCCGTACGTCAAGGAAAGGTTGGGTGAAAAACAAATATTTGCTTTGGTTTTATACATAATTCCAAATTTAGAAAATAGAGCACTTGAGAAAAATAGCTGGACTTGCCACTTTGTACTGTGCTTAGAACCATGTGAATACCAGAATAAAAGGTAAAGGATAGTTAGAAAGAGAGAATTAATGAGAGTGAAGGAAAGAGTTGGTTCAGTGAATCAGCCAATGAGAAATTAGGGTGGGTTGAGGGGCTGATTTGACTCCACACTCTAGCCCAGGGATAGCCAACCTTCGGCACTCCAGATGTTTTGAACTACATCTCCCATAATGCTGGCAAAGCATTATGGGAGGTGTAGTCCAAAACTTCTGGAGTGCCAAAGGTTGCCAATGCCTGCTTTATCCAATCACTGTCCACTTATTATTTGTATCAATGCCGTGGTAAGGGGAAAGCGGGCAAATAATAAAAGGACAGTGATTGGCTATGGACGAAGTCATGTCAGCAATTCAACTCATACTGATTTTTTATTGGCTATACTGAGTTTGTATCCTGAGTACTTAAATTAAGATGTCTTGTGAAAAAGGGGATGTGGGGCTAAGGGCAGGAGATATCTTGCAGAAAAGAGCAAATTTTTTTAGGTTTACTATATAATTTGAATATGGATAAAAATACAGCATGACTCTGAGGCCATAACCTCTTAAATGCACTTAAGATGTGTGGTTGCCTGCCCTAGAGTGTCCCTTTTTAAGGTGGCCACACAACAACCAGTCCATCTAACATGCACGCAGACTTCCTAGCCACTCGTATGCATATGAAAACCCCAAACTGTTCCAATATCCAGTGTGATCACCTTCTCTTATGTCCTTTTCAGTATTCCTGGTTAATCGTGAGGCCCAAGCTCATAGCATCCAGCTGACATCTGCATTTCAGCAGTTGGTGGTGATGACAAAGCTTTGGATAGACCATTTCCCGGCCAATGAGCAAAGTGCAAAACCTGTGGTTGACTTGGGGTTGTGCATCAAGAAGCTTGGGGGATATCTACAGCTCCTGCTACAGGTGAAACAGCATGGGCAGAATGGGAGACCTGGACAAAAGAGGTCTCTACTAACTGTTGATTGCAAGTAGTGGATTGGTCTGTACACTTGTATAACGGTGACCGTGGACAGCTGTGTCAAAGCTGGAAAATAATTTAATATAGGTCTTTTTGATCACTGAATGTATAAAATCACAGCTTATGTGATATAATGTGAAAATTATATTTTGATTATAAATCTTCATATTCTACTACATCTCCACATATCACTGACCTGATATATGCCAAGGGTTCCAGTTCTGACCCTCCAGTTTTTGTTGGACTTCAGTTCTCTGCCAATCTGACTGCTGCTAGTTGGAGGTGCATCCTTGGTGTGGCCCATGTTTTTAATAATAATTTTATTTAAAAAAGTATTTAAATCACTTTACTCAAGTTATGTTTATATTTACTGGGTTAAACAGCTCTTATTTGTTAAAAGCCAGGCGCCCTCTGATTTATTATCTATTGTTTGCTTTTATGTTCTAATCTTCTTCCTGTTCAGGCAGAATTCTGCCTCCCCCACTCACCTTCCATAACAACAAACAGCCTAGCCGTATATCTGTGGTTTGTAGCAGCTAAATTAGAAACTGGTGAAACGCACAATTAAGAGGAAATAATTATTGGAAATACTTACACAATACATGTGGGTGAAGTTCAAATAACGTTTTTGATGGTTTGTGGCACTCTGTGTAATTGAGAGAAGAAAATAAAACCCATTCTACTGTGTGTGTTCACTGCACTGAGAATCATCCAGGGGGGTTCAAATGTTAAACAAGACTAGCTGAATTGGAAAACATTTTATTTAATTTTTCCTTTTTTCAGTTCGCTTATTTTGACCTAAAATTTAAATTCCCAGACCATTTCCTCATAACAGTTTGTTTGAACAGGATAATTTATTTAAAGCATAGCTGTTGCATGCATCTATTTTTTATTTTTTATTTTTTAAATCTTCTCCCAATTATATTTTATAAAACTGAAACACCCCTGATTGTGTTTTACAATATTCATCTGCCACGTCTTGATCTTGTTTTAGAGAAAGAAGGTATGTCATTCATTTAAAGAGGGTATCTGTAAAAACAACATTTTAACAAGCGGAAACCATGGCGGCTGTGTGCTGTTACAATTTTTTTTCTTTTTTAAAGGGGAAAGTCCACCCAATATTTTCTATATTTATTTTTATATGTCAAGTTTGTTTTATGTCCCTGTCCTGGTCAAAATGAAGAATTTATACTTTTGTTTATCATTTAAATATTTTTTTTTATAATGTATCATTAAATTGTTTTTTTTTTTTTTGCTTGACTGTCTACTTTAATGATGTTGCCCACCTTCATTATTGTAGGGCTGCTGTTCTGATATTCCATCCATGGTTGTGGAAGCAAGAGACAAGACGAGCCAAACGGCAGAACAAATTCTACAGAACATAGGCCATTTGGCTGCACTGACCGTGATTGAATTACATCTTCCAGATAAGAAACTGGAAGATTGCCTCCAGGTACACGGTCTGCTTGTGGTTTTTAAAGAGCAATTGTTGTAGGGTTGTGTATATTTGTTTGACCACTTTTTATGTATGCAAGAAATCAAAATGTATGTGTACTAACATGCAATGCTGTCTCCCAACGTTAGAATAATTTAGCTCTCTATACTTGTCATGTGTTTTAGAAAGCCTTTTCTCGTGCCCTTTGTGATGGGGTGTTGCTTGGATGTAAATACATCATTGATGTTGGTATAAAGACTATCAATACCATGCAAGGAGAAATTCAGAAATGCAGCATTCACAAAGAGGTAAATCATGGATCTGTTATCATGTAGCATATTGTGTGTAAACCCATCAGGGTCACCATAAATTTTAAAGTAGGGATGTTATGTGCTTGCATTGAAGTGCTTACTAAGGTAGTTGTTTAATGCACGATGTCCGAGCTGCCATTTTGTTTCACATTCTTATAAATGTTTTATTTCAGCAAGTGTGAATTGGTGATGTGTTATTTACACTCCTACACATTGTCCTTTTAGTCACAAATATCGCTAATGACTCTGCTTTAGGAATTGAATGCAGTTTGAGTTACAAGCACTCTATGAATTAGGGTAACATTAAGTAATTTCTATAAGTGTCACATGCATATTTTTGCTGTATGATGTTGTGCAGAGGGGTAGGGTAGGCTTAAAATGCAATCTGTATATTTCCCTTACGTTTATTATTTGCAAAATGTAAATATTACCATTTTCTAGGCCAATTCTTTGGTATTCACAGAACAAGAGCCGTAAAGTAGAGGGATATTAAAGTGTAACGAGTAGTGTAGGTGCAAATGGACTTAGATTGGCATTTTTTTTTTTTATTTATTTATTTTTTTTTTTTTAGAGAGAGTACTCTAATACAGACTATTGGAGTATAAAATAGCACCACCATGGCAAAAAAATACATGTCGTCATTTAGTAACCAACTGGCTATCAGTAAGTGTATCCACTTGGCTTGTAAACTATGATCTCTTTTATTGAAGTAATGACCCCCTCCTTCCCCCATAGAAGCAGGATACCATAAAAATAACCCAGGTTGTTGGGACACACATCCCAAATTGGAACTGTCCTGTCAAATATAGGAAACCTTGGATGTATGGCTGTCTTGGTTTGTTCATAGCTATGAGAATTTGTAATTAGATCCATCATAATCTTTATCACCAGGCCTACTAGTGTCCTAATCAGCACTGTATCAATGTATTTGGTTTCCTCTTCATGATTCACTTGCTGAAATGCCACAAAGTGGACCTAAACCTGCGTACCTTCTCCTACAGCATGAATTATGGATCAGTAAGATCCCTGTTTGCCTTTCTGCATCTAGCATATGAAAACTATTTATTGTTAACCTGGTTGTCTTTTCTCTGTGGCTATCTTTATAGGTCGATACAGAAATTAGGAAGAATTTGCTTTCATTGTCCTCCTTTCTACATAATAGCCTGGCAAGTTGTGAAAAGGTATGATATGTCCCTGTACCTGTATTCATAAAAATAAGATTGTAACAAAACCGTGGATCTGTCACCACTGCCTTCAAATGACTGAAAATCTACTCTGAAATCTATATATATATTAATGAGTCTCTCCTCACATAACATTACTTTTTTTTTTTTTTTATAAATTGAGTCTGAGCCTTATTAGCTGGATGGCACCTAATGATATATTTATTTAGCAATAAATCTCTTGCTTGTCACCTTATCGCTGTTAGAATTTACACCATTTTTATTGGTTTTAGAAATAGGTTTAAAAATGAAATTTTAAAATACTTAACTGTGTAACATTCCTTCGATAAGAACAAAAACAGCAGACAATCCTTTTCTCCTCTATTTTCCCAGCTGGATTTGGCTTTGCTGTTGAGAGATTCTCAGTTTTGTGTTCCGAGTAGTCTATCAAGTGTGCTGAAGAACATGACACTGTGCTTGGAACGGTTAAGACTGACTGCAATTTCTGTATTAGAAGGTAATCGATTTATTCTCATTGGATATTTGCGCTTGGTTTGTTGCTTTTTTTTCCCCCCATGACGATAGTAAATATTGACAGAAATAATATAAACACCTTGCTTAGTAGCTAGATTCTATTATAAGTGATTATCACATCTCTGGCAATTGAATAGCAGTTATAGTTTGTTTCTTGCTTGTGACTATTTTATTTCTATATTCTCCCAACACAGATTCAGATGCTGAAGTCTCCCAGCTCCACGCAGCACTAGAAGATATTGCATCGGCTGCTTCAGAAATCAATAAGATCATTTTCGCCCGGTCTCCCCAAGTCATCTCTCTCACTGAACTGAGGACTTTCTCCAGATTAGTGATGCTTGCTCTTCGCAACAATGAACATTGCTCACATGTGAAACAAGTTCAAGCCTTGCACAAACTCACAGACTGTAACTCCTCACCTAACACTATACAGTGGGTGTAATCTTAATGCTCTGTCTATATAGGTAGACAAAGGATACATTTACTCCAATTGACACATTACAGATGGAGACATGCAATGCATCACAGAGGTTGAATTTCAATGATAATGGTTTAACTCACATAATATTGTAAGTACTGTATATCTATTGTGTGGATCTGAAAATATATATTTAAGATTTTATTTTTATGGATCAGTTTCCGAAGAGTGAGTGTACAAAATGCATGCAAGTAAGAGTGCCTCCCACTTTCCAATATGATTTGAGTCCAGGAACTGCATACAAAATAATATTGGATAAGTGGTTCTGGCAACTGAAGCTGAGTTTTTCACAAGGCACCAGTCCAGCTTAGGAGTCAAATACAGAATAACGAGTGCAGTAAAGTTCAACTAACAAGTAGATTGCACTAATAAAATAAAAAATAATATATATAGGATCACGCTTGTCACATGGTGTTTATAAATATATGCTCTCGCTCTCGCTCTCTCTCTCGCGCTCTCTCTAGCGCTCTCGCTCTCGCTCTGTGCTACCGAAGCATTAACCATTTTGTAAACAGAGTTTATTACCTTGTAGAGCAAATGGTTGAACATTTTCCAATCATAACTTTTGCCTAATGTAAATACCGATTTATTAAACTTTCTAAAAAACAAACCATACTGTTCCCTGAAGCCATCCATATAAGAATAAATATTAACAGGGTTATTCAATAAGTGAGAATTCAAAGTGAATTCAAAATTTAAGTCCAATATAGCCGAACTGGAAACATTCTGTAAGTCAGCTGTGTTTTCAGTTCAGCTGCTTTGGTCTAAAACTTTCAATTCACCCTGCATTCACTTAGAATTCTCACTTTTGTGAATAACCATGTAAATCGTCTTCCAATACATGTATTTCATATTTTCTATCCTTGCTAATGTTCCAATCACTAAATAAAACTCTTGTCTTTTTATAAACGTTTCACTGGGATTTAGTAGAATGTGGGAAGAGGATAGCCCAGATTTAATAGAAGGTCAAACACTACCTACCTACAGTCGAGTTCATATTGTATAAATTGTAATTATCTGTAGCCTCAGAGGGCTTTCTTTATGTTCTGGCAAATCTTTTGCACATCTGCTAAAATGATTATTACAGGGCTAATTGTTAGAAAAACAATACTGATTTTACAAACTGGTCTGGGGATTACTGTTTTGTCATTTTAATCCCAAGTTTGATTTGCAGAAAATGGAACCATATAGTCTCACTCTGACCCGACTCTCTAGACAGAAACCTGAAACTGACTTCCAGATCTGCTTACTGTCTTCAAAGAAAGCCCTCTGCGCCCTGTGGACCCGTCCACGTAGCCTTGTGATAGTAATTTTCCTGCTTTTGTGAAAGATTATGTCCTTAGTTCAACCTCTCTGTGACCAAAGGAGCAGACGGTGTATTGCAAATTTTATTAAAGGACACGGAGGCTCATATTAGGCTTTATCTCTTTCTTTATTCCTCAGCAGCAAAGAAAGGATATTGATATTTTTAATATAGCAATAACAAGAAAAAACAAATACCCTTAAGGGTTAACCATATAACATTCCAGATATATTAACCAATAAGATCAGTCCTTGTACTATGTTTCCTCATGTGACCTAAGCCACTCCCTCTTACTTTGCTGCTGCCTCCGCTAAGTACCTCATATTTTTCTGCTCTGAAAATATTGTACTTTATTTAGGTATTTTTCTAGTGTTAATGTACCTTGCAGATCATTTCATTAATTATTCTTGATTTGTTTTACTGCTTTAGTGTTTTGTTTCTGTTTTTCTTGTTCCTCAGTGCAGGGTACTTGCCCCTCCCCTGGGGCAAGCCTCCACTCTGCACTGCCGCATGGGTTGTTTATAACCCTTTTTTTTTTTTTCCACAGCTCTCCATCGGGTAGGGGACGAACCCTGGCCCCCTCCTCACCTCCGCAGCTCATAAGTAGCATCCTAGCCGCCTGATGGATCGCGGCCATTAATAACTGCTATCTAGTCTGCCCGCGCATGCGTGGTTCACTCCCACGCATCGCGGTGGCCATCTTACGATTCGCGATTTTGCCAAATTTTTCACCAGTCGCTCGCGCCGCTCGTTAAGGGAGGGGCACGAGCTGATTGGCTAGTGGAGGTGTTGGGCGGCTTACCAGTGTCCCCCAGGAGTCATTCCTGAGGGAACACTTGGTAAGCTGCCATATTATTTGTGCAATACCTTGTTTTATGTGCCATATAGTGTGCCTTTTGCCCTCAAGTGACTTAATACTGTGCAGGAAGAGTTTTTTTTTTTTTTTATACACTTGCTTTTTCATACCTAGGTCATAACCAACTATAAGGGGTGTCATTTGCCTGTGCCAGTCCCCATTAGCCACCATACTGACTAGTGTTTTTCCTCAACTCAAGCTTTGAATTAAATTCTGGCCAGTATGCAGTCCCAGGCTGACAAACAGGTTTCTGCTCCCTCCGCCTCTGCTAAGCCTAGCAACCATAATACAGCAGCCCTGCCTACAGGCATTGCGGCCATTGAGGGTGGTGAGGAAGCATCCCAGGACCAGGTGCTCCTGGATGCTACAATGAAAAAGTCAGTGACACAGGCTATATTTAATGCCATGGGAGTGATGTCAGACACCCTGTCACACACTATCTCCTCCGCCATCATGACATCCGGAAGAAGCCCCGGTTCAGCACCCCCTATACCCGCTGATAGCAAGCCAATGGTCCCTAGCGGCCGCAAGGTTACATGCAAATTACACCATCTAACAGGTGTCTCCTCCAAAACCAGTGTGACTGACAGGTTGTGCCCTGTTGAAACTGAGGACTCCCATGTAAAAGAGCCCCCCGCCGGGCAAAAGCGGTGCGGAATTGGAAGCGGGCAAAAGCCCTACCTGATTCGTCCGACTCTGATTCGGACTCAGAGGAGGCTTCAGATGGGTCCGAGGCAATCGAGCCGATTTACTCAGACAACTTGTCCCCTGAACGCAGTGAGACTGCACCCCTAGTGATAGACGCTGAACAGGAGGCGGATGAATCCGCTGTTTTAGACCCCCAAGGGGAACCCATCTTCGTCCCTGACACGTTGCACAATCTGCAACTCATGTGGCCATCTATATAGCAACCAGGATGAGAAAACACCTTGATAAAACCACGAGGAGTAAACGGAGGGCGGAATGCCCATGTCCCACGGTCCCGGACATGGCCTGCGTGACCCCCGAGGTGGACCCAAAGATCACACAGTTCTTGGGCAAGTTGGGATGGAAGGCCAAAAAGGGACTAGACTACTCCCTCAAACATTACCAAGACAAGGTCCTGGACATACTCGAGCCTATAGCCAAAATTTTTGACATAGTCGAAACGGCTCTTACTGAGGGGACCTCAATTGACTTGCTGGCCATCAGAGGGTGGATCCAGAGAGGCATTTGTCTAGTTGGAAATGCCATACTAATGAAAATCGAGCCCAAACTGATACATCTGGCAATTTCAGAGCCTGGCACACGGGGGCAAAAGGTCTCCTATTCGGAGACGACTTTGTCAAAACCCTTGGTAATTATGTCAGCACTTTCACGGCACTAGACAAGGCACAACATAATATGAAGCGTGTGTTCTCGCAAAAGGTTTTTGGTGGGGCCGGCAGACAGCAGGGCCTACTGTCCGGCCGCCCCTCCCGGACTTCGTACCGGGGCTACAAAGGCTCAGCCACAACACGGTTCCTTCCTCCCGAACCCAGAACACAGTCACCATTTTTCCCGACCAGGGGCAGGTCGTGGCATCCACGTAGAGCCAGGGGATCCTCCTATGGCCGTCTGCCTTATGGTGAGTCATTTTCCTTCACACACCCGTTCCTTATCACAGGTGGGGGGAAGACTGTTTCATTTCCATGATGCCTGGCACAAACTAACCTCAGATGCCTGGGCCCTAGAGACCATTCTAGGTTACCGCATCGAATTCACACAACAGCCGATCCAATTCTCATTGCCACATCAGATTGTTTTTTCCCCACAAGGCAAAAACCTGGTATCGGAAGAGGTTCGCACACTAAAAGAGAAAGTTGCAATCTACAAAGTCCCCACTACCGCCCCCGGGTTTCCTAAGCAACATCTTCTTAGTGCACAAGAAGAGTGGAGGCATGAGGCCAGTAATAAACTTACGACCTCTCAGCGCCTTTTGTCACATACCATCACTTCAAGATGGAATGGATACACTGCCTCCGGAGACTGGGAGACTGGATGGTGAAACTGGACCTCCAAGATGCATATCTCACGATACCGATCGCCGAAGAATGTCACCACTTACTTCAATTCCAAAGGGAAAAGACTGTGGCGGTTCAGATGCCTCCCCTTTGGCCTGTCGTCAGCCCCGTGGTGCTTCATCAAACTGCTGAAACCGGTAGTCGCCCTTCTCCGCAGCAGAGGTGTACATATGATCATATATCTTGACGACATGCTGATCATGGCCCACGACACCCATCTATTGAACCAACATCTATCCTGGGCATTGACCCTTCAGCAAAACCTGGGTTTCCGTATCAACTGGGACAAGTCAATCATGCAACCTTCACATTCGATAGAATTTCTAGGTTTCGATATAGACGCAATTCATGGAACGATCAGTCTGCCTACCACAAAGGTAAAACTCATCAAAAAGGAAATCCGGCGGACCTTGTCACGACCAGTCTTAACCTTACGACAACTGGCCAGGATAATTGGTCTGCTGTCCGCTTCCATCCAAGCGATTTTTTTTTTTTTTTTTTTAAATTTTTTTTTCTCTCTCCAGGGACCTCTCCATTACAGATCCCTGCAACAGCTCAAAGCCACCCATCTACTCTTGGGTCAATCTTACTCCGATTCTGTGCCTCTAGACTGCGCAGCAAAAGAGGAATTAGCATGGTGGCTTAAACATATGGAAGCATGAAACTGCAAAGCGATATTCGGAACTACCCCGGATCTCATCATAGAATCCGACGCGAGCAGAGTCGGATGTGGCTCTCGTTGTGGTCTCACCTCTACAGGTGGAAAATGGCCCTCACAGGAAAAGGAACTCCACATCAATGGTTTGGAACTCCTAGCAGGGTCATTCGCTCTCTGGAGCCTACTCGGACACATGACCAGTTGTTCCATACTGTTGCGCATGGACAATATCTCGGCCATTCGTTACATCAATCACTTGGGTGGCACGAGATCGACAATACTCACGAATCTAGCGAAATAATTTTGGCATTTCTGTCTGGGCCCCAACATATCAGTACAGGCAGAATACCTTCCAGGACTCTCCAACACCGTAGCAGATTGGAACTCCAGGCATTTACGAAACAACAGTGCTTGATGATTGTTGGAGTTTCTGGAATATCAAGTGAATCAATTCTGGGGCCCGATGCACATCGACCTTTTTGCCTCCCGGCTGAATGCTCAACTTCCTTTGTTCTTCAGCTGGAGACCGGACCCAGACTCCTTGGCAGTGGACACCTTCCTACAAAATTGGCCAAACAACCGGCTCTCTGCCTTCCCTCCCTTCTCACTCATAGCATGAACACCTACACCTACAACGCTCCCGAACATCGCTAGTTTTAATAACACCGTTCTGGACGGCACAGCCTTGGTTCCCTTCACTCATGAAAATGTCTATCGACTTTCCCAGACTGATCCCAGGAACCATGGACCTATTATCAGACCCCGATGGAAACTCTCACCCACTTCTGATACAAGGCCACCTCAGACTTCTAGCGTGGCTCCTCTCTGGGGACCCTGGTCCATGCTGAACATTCCACAAACAACTTTGGACTTATAGGCGGGAGCTTGGGCCACAGGTACAAGATGATCCTATACTCGTGCCTGGAACACATGGTGTAGTTGGTGCATGGAACTACACCATGGATCCCCTATGTGCTCCTGTAAATCACGTCCTGGTTTTCCTTACTACCCTGTATGACCGACCAAGGTTTGGCCTACTGCACCATAAATGTGTATAGATTGGTGATTTCAGCTGGCCACAGTGGATGGAAGGGTTTCCCAGCTGGGAAGCATTTATTGGTTTGTCGTCTTTTATGAGGCATAAAATTTGCGCGGCCACCACAACTTTCGATATACAGCCTTATGGGATGTTAATAGGGTCCTTCGCTTACTGGAAGACTGGCCTCCAAACTCTGATCTCACACTCAAGCAGGTGTCCGCAAATGGGCTATGCTTCTGTGCTTAATTTCCTGCAAAAGAGTGTCAGACGTTCGAGCCCTGAATATCGATGCACGGTCCTTCACCCCACGTGGTGTCCTGTTTAATCTCACCAGACGTACGAAGTAAAAAATCATGTCAGTCTTCTACCCATCATTTCCTCACAACGCTAACCTCTGCCCGGTGCATTGCCTTCAAGAGTACGAAAAAAGGACCCAGTCAGTTCGAAACCCTACAACACACGACCTATTCTTGGCGGTGAGGAAACCTTATCACCCAGTATCCACGGTAACTCTGGCACGCTGGGTGAAATGGATGTCAGCTGCTGGCATCGACACATCCGTTTACGGAGCACATTCTACTAGAGGCGCTATGGCCTCTAAAGCATTCTCAATTGGTTGTAAACTGGAGGACCTTCTCCGCACAGCTGATTGGTCCCGAGAATCGACATTTAAAGAATACTATTTTCGGCCAACAGAACATATCTCGTCTATGGTCATCTCCCAGCTTTAAACTAGCCTAATATGAGCCTCCATGTCCTTTAATAAAATTACCAGATTTTACGAATTACATGACGTAAAGTCATGATTTTATAAAGGACACGGAGGCGAGTATTAGCCTGCCCGATGACCGGTAAGCCATACATGTATCTTCCCACCCAATTGCCTATAAACTGGTAGGAGTGATTTGGATGTTCAGATGCAGTTATTTGCTAATAATAATAATTTTGAATTTGCTGGAGTTAAGAAAGATGTTTCAGATATGAACGCTTTTTAAAAAACTTGGACGGCTTATATGCATGATAACGATATTTGAATATATTTTACCATATATCTCTCCATCTCCTACAGCTTAACCCTGTGATGGAATAACCGGAATCATCCTCTACCCCCTAACTATACCGGAAGACTCACCGGAAACCCTCTACCGGAGACTACTCAAGTTTAAGAATTTTTCCCGTTGATGTGTTCAGCTTCGGCGTCAGCTAGAAAGAGGGAGTGGCTTAGGTCACATGAGGGGACATAGTACAAGGACTGATCCCATTGGTTAATATATCTGGAATGTTATATGGTTAACCCTTAAGGGTATTTGTTTTTTCTTGTTATTGCTATATTAAAAATATCAATATCCTTTCTTGCCTGCTGAGGAATAAAGAAAGAGATAAAGCCTAATACTCGCCTCCGTGTCCTTTATAAAATCATGACTTTACGTCATGTAATTAGTAAAATCTGGCAATTATGTAGATCTGGTCCAAAGGCTTTCAATAAGTTGCACAAAGCTCACCCCACCCAATTTTTAATACTTAACTGTTTTATTAAGTAGTTATGCTGATACAGAAAGAAAGGATTAGCAATAAAATGGAACCAAAATTTTATATTTAAATTTAAAGATCACATATCTCTTAAATGCAGAGGTGCAATCAATCAGTGATTAAATTAGAAAACCAATTAAAAAAAAGCAATCTATTGCTGTAGCTACTGTAGGTCATATGAAATCATTGAGGTAACTATATACCAATATTAAGATGAAAACAAATAACGCAACAGCATAGTAAAAAATTTGGAACTGGGTGAACATTTAAAGGGTAGATTATGCAATCACTTCATGAAAAACAGTTTACAGCATATAAAACACAGTTTGTCAAAAGTGTAATGGGTCACTTCTCCACCCTTTTGGTAGGCCACCAAGGGAAAACATTTCTTTGAATAAGACAAATGCCTCTGCTGAAACAAAAAAAGCGGGTAAATATTCTCCTCCCCCACACCTCCCTCCCTTAACATATTTACCTGCTTCTACTTTCCTTTGCTTTCTATGTTCTCTCCAGAGTGGACACTAATCTAACCTATTAATGTCCTATCCCTAGGAATACTGGAAAAGTGCATTGGGCATGCCTGGCAAATTTACATGTGTGCAATTGGAAGATCTATTCGCCTTACAACATGTTGATGGGGGGATAAGAGAGGAAGGCTGATTAGAGTGATCAGGCTCCTATGGTCTCTCTTCACTTGCTGCTGCTGCACAATTATCCCCTGTGTCTGTCATTAGTGGACTGGTCTGACCTTCACAAGAGGGAGAATGAGGGGTGGGGTTGAAGAAACTCCAACTGAGAGGCGTGACCATCAATGCAATCTGACCAAGTTTTACAGTAAAACCTTTTAAATACTTTTTCAAAGTTTTTTTTTTTTTTTGTGCTTTATTTTGGTTTGTATATTTGTTTAAAAGTGTTTGCTGGTTTACAAAAAAACAATTTTCAAGTGTTGCATGTGTCTGCATCATCCAGCATTGAGAACTCAAATTTGGCGATTTATGGACCCACTATTTTGGAGGTTGTAATGGCAGTGAGTGCGGTAGACTGTGCTTATAACGATATAGTCTAACTCTCATTTTCTCTTTGGGCTGGAATAATTCCTACTTGCCCAAGGTGGGATGGAAGCGAAGCAAATGTCAGCTCTAATTCTGAAGCCCAGGAGCATAACTGCATTGCTCTTGGCACACAAGGTGGAGCTGTCTGTCCCCGACAGAACTGCAGTTTGTTTGTAACTCCTACCCTCTTTGCATCTCACTAAATCCGCTTTGCCCTCTTGTGTCTCCAAATCTCCCACATACAGTGAGGGGAAAAAAAGTATTTGATCCCCTGCTAATTTTGAACATTTGCCCACTGACAAAGAAATGACCAGTCTATATCATTTTAATGGTAGGTGTATTTTAACAGTGAGAGACAGAATAACAACTCCCCCCCACCACCCCTGACAAATGCATGTCAAAGTTATAAATTGATTTGCATGTCTGAGTGAAATGAGTATTTGACCCCTTTGACTTAGTACTTGGTGGCAAAACCTTTGTTGGGAATCAGAGGTCAGGCATTTCTTGTAGTTGGCCATCTCAGGAGGGATTTTGTCCTACTTCTCTTTGCAGATCCTCTCCAAGTCATTAAGGTTTCGAGGCTGACGTTTGGCAACTCAAACCATCAGCTTCCTCCACAGATTCTGTATGGTATTAAGGTCTGGAGACTGGCTAGGTACATGGCCCCCTCCATCATCCCTTTGATACAGTGCAGTTGCCCTATCCCCTTAGCAGAAAAACACCCCAAAGCATAATCTTTCCACCTCCATGTTTGACGGTGGGTATGGTGTACTTGGGGTCATAGGCAACATTTGTCCTCCTCCAAACACGGTGAGTTGGGTTGATGCCAAAGAGCTTGATTTTGGTCTCCTCTGACCACAACACTTTCACCCAGTTCTCCTCTGAATCATTCAGATGTTCATTGGCAAACTTCAGATGGGCCAGTACATGTGCTTTCTTGAGCAGGGGGACATTGCAGGCGCTGCAGGATTTCAGTCATTCACGGCGTAGTGTGTTACCAATTGTTTTCTTGGTGATTATGGTCCCAGCTGCCTTGGGATCATTAACAAGATCCTCCCGTGTAGTTCTGGGATGGCTCCTTACTGTTCTCACGATCATTGAAGCTCCACGAGATGACTGAAAGTTATTTTGTGTTTCTTCCAGACTGACAGTTAATTTGGGTTTCTTCCAAAATTACAGTTATTTTGTGCTTCTTCCAGACTGACGGTTATTGTTTTTTTTAATATGCAAATAATCTCACCAACTGTTGTCACCCCCTCACCATGCTGCTTGGCGATGGTCTTGTAGCCCAATACAGCCTTCTGTATGTCTACAATCTTGTCCCTGACATCCTTGGACAGCTCTTTGGTCTTGGCCATGGTGGAGAGTTTAGAATCTGATTGATTGCTTCTGTGGACAGATGTCTTTTATACAGGTAAGGAGCTGAGATTAGGAGCACTTCCTTTAAGAGAGTGCTCCATATCTCAGCTCGTTACCTGCATAAAAGACACCTTGGAGCCAGAAATCTTGCTGATTATTTCACTCATGGACATACAAATCAATTTATAACTTTTTTTTGACATGCGTTTTTCTAGATTTTTGTTTTGTTGTGTTGTTCTGTCTCTCTGTTAAAATACACCTACCATTAAAATTATAGACTGATGATTTCTTTGTCCGTGAACAAACATTCAAAATCAGCAGGGGATCAAATACTTTTTCCCCATCACTGTATGTGCAACAACCAAAGAAAATCTGGAGAAGACCCCCTTTCATAATACCCTAAGCCCTATTTAGGGAACAAACACTAAGCAATGTATTTTTCTACATGCGCAGCTATTTGTAGAATGGGAAAACTAACTCAATGTTCTGTTTTTTTTTTTTTCTCTTGAACAGTAAAATATGGACTTAAAGGGTTACCCCATACCTCCTGGGAGGGAGGTCCTTCTGTGTAAAATGCTTTACTGGGTACTATGACTTAAATCCCCCTCCTTCTTTTGCCCTCCAATTGGCAAAAACCACAATTTTTACTTATCTGAAATCCAGCATATGTCGAAGCATGTGCTCAATCTTCGCTAGACGGGGTTGAAAAAAATAAATAAATAAAAGTACTCAACCCCAAAACAAAACACAATTTTATTGGGTCAGAGGGAAAAAACATTTCCCCTTCAATGAGAAGTTCAATACGTCCTGTTACCAGCGTGCAGTGCACTCTGACGAAGAATGTATTTTACGCACAGAAATTACATTTGGTAACCAGGAACAGAGTTTAACAGTGTTATTAGCCCCTGGAACATAATTAAAATATATTTGTGCAGGGTTTCAAACAGTATAACGGCACATCCTGGCTCCTACCACCATGACCACTTAAAATCACTGAAGTGGTTGGAGCTATTAAAAGCTATACCAAATTTTCTCAATAGATTCCCCATAAGTTACTACACTCATGATACCCCATAATCCTTATGTGTCTCTCCTGGACCCCCTTACCCACTTGGGTGTTTCTTAACCAACCGTTACCTTTTATATGTGTAATAAGCACCTAAAGCCGTTACCTCCACCTAACCATATTATAAAGTGGTCGAGCAGGATAGTGTTAGATGCCATATAATTATGCTCCTCTGCCAGGTGGTCTTTGAAGCTGTGACCAAATCAGTTACTGTTCTCAAGCAAAGTTCTAAACATGAAGTAATTACCATGGGAAACCAGTAGAATGCCTCTGACTTCTTAGCATTTACATAGTTACATAGTTACATAGTTACATAGCTGAAAAGAGACTTGCGTCCATCAAGTTCAGCCTTCCTCACATTTGTTTTTTGCTGTTGATCCAAAAGAAGGCAAAAAAAACCCAGTTTGAAGCACAATTTTGCAACAAGCTAGGAAAAAAATTCCTTCTTGACCCCAGAATGGCAGTCAGATTTATCCTTGGATCAAGCAGTTATTACCCTACATTGAAAGATTATATCCTTGAATATTCTGTTCTTGCAAGTATGCATCTAGTAGCCGTTTGAACATCTGTATGGACTCTGATAAAACCACTTCCTCAGGCAGAGAATTCCACATCCTGATTGTTCTTACAGTAAAAAAACCTTTCCTTTGCCTTAGACGAAATCTTCTTTCTTCCAGTCTAAACGCATGGCCTCGTGTCCTATGTAAAGTCCGGTTTGTGAATAGATTTCCACACAATGGTTTGTATTGGCCCCGAATATATTTGTATAATGTTATCATATCCCCTCTCAGGCGACGTTTTTCTAAACTAAATAGGTTTAAATTTGTTAACCTTTCTTCATAGCCGATATGTTCCATTCCTTTTATTAATTTTGTAGCCCGCCTCTGCACTTTTTCTAGTGCCATAATATCCTTCTTTAGAACAGGTGCTCAAAATTGCACAGCATATTCAATATGGGGTCTTACCAGTGATTTATAAAGAGGCAAAATTATATTCTTGTCCCGAGAATGAATGCCCTTTTTCATGCATGACAACACCTTACTGGCCTTGGCCACTGCTGATTGACATTGCACATTGTTGCATAGTTTGTTGTCTATAACAATTCCCAAGTCCTTTTCATGTGTTGTTATCCCTAATTCGCTTCCATTAAGGGTATACGTTGCTTGTGTATTCTTTACGCCGAAGTGCATAACTTTGCATTTTTCAACATTAAATTTCATCTGCCATTTGAGTGCCCAGTCTCCCAGTCTATCCAAATCCCTCTGCAGCAAAGCAACATCTTGCTCACATTGTATCGCTCTACAAAGTTTTGTGTCATCTGCAAACACTGAAACATGACTTTCAATGCGGTCTTCAAGATCATTTATAAACATGTTAAATAGAAGGGGTCCCAGAACAGACCCCTGAGGGACACCACTTGCCACCTCTGTCCAGCTTGAAAATTTACCATTAATGACAACTCTTTGTACTCTGTTTTTAAGCCAATGTTCTACCCAAGAACAAGCATTTTCATCTAGACCGATTTCCTTGAGTTTGAACACTAATCTATTGTGTGGAACTGTATCAAATGCCTTGGCAAAATCCAAAAAGATCACATCCACGGCAACACCCTGATCTATACTTCTACTTACTTCTTCGTAGAACGCAATCAATTTACTTCAGAATAACACATGTTTAACCTTGATAAATATGATCCCTGGTGGTTTATTACACATAATAATACATAGTTTAATGCACAACGCTACATAAAAAAAAAATCTCTCTTTCAGGCCTAAACATTTCAAATTGCTTGATGATCAAAAGCAAATACTTCATTGAGAAATGATGTTATATAAAAAGTAAACACAGGGTGGCAGTATTACTCTGTATATTACTTTCAAACTTTACAGGCGTGCAATTTAGCTAGGTTGCTATATTGGACACTTCATACTTTTACCAAGTGTTTTTTATTCTTTATTTTGTAAATTTTATATTTTTATAAGGAAATATTACATTTAGGAAGTGTTTTGTATGGAAATTGCATAATTGCATGAAATTACAGAAATAAAAGAAAAATTAACATGAATTGCTTCATTAGATACGTTTACAGGACCACGTGCTTTATTAAGAGATGTTCATTGCTTCACAATTCGAATACAATGCTGTGTGTACAGCACATAGTGCACAGGAATATGTGTCTGTAATAGTCAGTGGTGGGACTAATGAAGAGAGGGTCCTGCTGCATGAAATTGTTTTGGAACCCCCTCTAGCTCAAGGGTGGCCAAAAGGTATATCCCCATCTATCGTACAACTCCCATGATACAATAAAAGCTTGGCATCTACCATTTGCCCATCCTTGCAGGGTTGTATTAGTGTGCAGATTTGTGTGTTTGAATGTAATCGTGTGTGTGTGTATCCACATGTGTATTTGTATGTACTCTTGCAATGCAGTGAAGGACTGTGTTTGTATAGAATTTTGGCGATTGACTTTAGGGGTGTGTTTGTATGTAATGTTGGCATTTGATTGCAGGGGTGTGTTTGCAAGTAGTATTGTCGTTTACTTGGATGTATATGCACATACACTGCCACACATATACAGTATTTTCTGGCATATAAGATGACTTTTTAACCCTGGAAAATCTTCTCCAAAGTAGGGGGTTGTCTTATACGCCGGGTATAGGGTCTATATAGCTGCCGGGGGCGCCCTGCGCCCCCATCGCCGGCCCTTCTAATGCTGCAGCCGCCTGAGTGCTCTATAGAGAGCGCTCAGACGGCTGCCGCACTGCTTCTTTTCTCACCTCCCCTTCCCTGTGCAGAATGGGTGGCCGAGCTCCTCTTCGTCCTGTCAGTCCGGCCGGGTACCGCGCGGTACAGGAGATTCAGTTACCTGTTCCCTGTCGGACTGAAAGGAAGTGCACACTGAGTGCTCACTTCCTTTCAGTCCGGCCGGGAACAGGTAACTGAATCACCGGACACCGGACTGACAGGACGAAGAGGAGCTCGGCCACCCACTCTGCACATGGAAGGGGAGGTGAGAAGAACGTAGGGAAGGGGGGTGGAGTAAAAAGAATATATCGCAATTAGCCGCCTGTGTGCTAGACCAGCAGGCATGGATTATATGCCCAAACAGCCTGGCACATACCTGGGCTTTAAATGCTATTTCAGAATATCATTATTTAATGTCTTGCTGTGTAGCTCTGTCTGCTCACTGTACATCATGGCTAATTTTTATTTGGTGTGCATTGGAAGAGGGGAAGTCTTATACGGCGAGTATATCCCAAACTCTATATTTTGACTGGAAAAGTTGGGGGTCGTCTTATCAACCCAGTCGTCTTATACGCCGGAAAATACAGTATATATATACACCCACCCCCACCCCTTCTGTTAATACACATTTTATGTGCAGAAGCATGACTTCTTTGGTGTTGTGGGGCTAGAACTTGCTCTCCCTTCCCCTGTCTGTGCCTCCTTCTCTCTCCTTCCACTGTGGCGCTCTACCTGTATCTGGGACGTAGTGACCTGCACTCACTTCCTCCATGCTGCTACACCAGGGGGCCGGTAGCCCTGTTAAGGCTGAGCCCAGTGGCGTACACATGACCCATGGGGCCCCGGTGCGAAAATTGATCCATGGGCCCCCACCCCACCCCCGCGCTTACTCGGCGCAGGTTGGGGCCGCAACACATGGCAGTGGGCACCTGGTCGCAGGGGTTGCAGGGCTGCGACCCCGCGACCGCGGTATGCACACACACTTAAAGGACCACTACAGACACCCAGATCACATCAGCTCAATGAAGTGGTCTGGGTGCCAGGTCCCTCTAGTTTTAACCCTGCAGCTGAAAACATAGCCGTTTCATAGAAACGGCTATGTTTCACTGAGGGTTAATCCAGCCTCTGGTGGCTGTCTCACTAGCAGACACACACCCAATAACAGACACACTCACTGACACACACATGAACACAAACACACACACTAACACACAAACTAACACACAAACACACACACTAACACAATCACACACACTAATACACACACTAACACAAACACACACACTAACACACAAACACACTAACACACAAACACACACACTAACACAATCACACACACTAATACACACACTAACACACACACACACACACTAGCACACTAACACACACACACACTAACACACACACACACACTAACATTTTTTTTTTTATTTAATCCCCCCAGCCTCCTTACCTTTTGGAGTGCTGGGGGGATTCCCTGGGGTCCAGTGGTTCTGCTCACCCTGGCGGGCTGGGTGGCCGGTCGGGCAGGCAGGCGGGCGCGCGAGGGAGCACTCAGTGCTTCCTCTTCAGCTCCCTCGCGCGCCGCGTAGGGATGCCGGCGCCGGAAGATGACGTCATCTTCCGGCTCCGGCATCAGTGCGGTGCGCGAGGGAGCTGAAGAGGAAGCACTGAGTGCTCCCTCGCGCGCCCGCCCTGCCCGACCGCCGCCCGGGTCAGCAGGGCCAGCCTCAGGGGGGGCCTGGGGTGGCCGGCTCCTGGGCCCCCCAGGGGAAGAGGCTGGCCCTGTGGCTACATACCGGGTCGCTGCCGCGACCCCTGCGACCCTGGTATGTACGCCACTGGCTGAGCCTCTGTTCAGCAATACCCATTGAGTGGCCCTAAGTTCCTGGGCCAGACGATGGGCCCCTGAAGCATCGGGGTCCCGGTGCAGCAGCACTGACGGTAGTTCCACTGCTGCTAATAGTGATACATGTGATGGGAAACTTTTTTGTCCAAAATGCTTTTATTATTTAAAAAAATATATAAAGTGTTCATAGGCGTGCGCAGCCTATTGCATTAGGGTGTGCACCCTAAAGCACAAACACACGCCGCATGTATATGTATGTATATACACACATATATACACTGCTGTGTGTGTGTGAGGGTGCTGGTAGTGTGCTATGTGGATGAGGGTGTTTGTGTGTTTGTTAGGGTGCTGGTAGTGTGCTGTATGTGATGGTGTTTGTGTGTGTTAGGGTCCTGTTAGTGTGCTGTGTGTGGGTGCTGTGTGTGTGAGGGTGCTGTTTGTGTGGTGTGTGTGTGTGTGTGTTTGTGAGGGTGCGGTTAGTGTACTGTGTGTGTCAGGGTGCTGTATGTGTACTGTATGTGTGTGGGTGCTGTATGTTTGGAGGGTGCTGTTAGTGTGATGTGTGTGTGTGTGAGGGTGCTGGTAGTGTGCTATGTGGATGAGGGTGTTTGTGAGGGTGCTGGTAGTGTGCTGTGTGTGAGGGTGCTGTGTGTGTGGGTGTCGTGTATTTGTGAGGGTGCTGTTTGTGAGGGTGCAGTTAGTGTACTGTGTGTGTCAGGGTGCTTGATGTGTACTGTATGTGTGTGGGTGCTGTATGTGTGTGTGTGCTGTATGTTTGGAGGGATTGTGGAGGTGGGGGCAGATTAGTAAATATCCCCCCTCCCTTTTTACCTTATGTCATGTGCCATCCCTGGTGGTCCAGTGGAGAGTGAACTCTAGCCTGCGGGGCTAGAGTTAACTCTCACGAGATCTGAGCGTTGCCGTGGCAATGCTCAGATCTCGGAAGAGGAACCTGGCGGAGCTGCTGTCTAGAGCTCCCCAGGTCCTCTCCTGCCTCCCTCCATGCTGCTGTGGGCCAGTGCGGTAGATCTTTGATCGCCCCACCGGCCCATGGAGGCTTAGAGTAGAGCTGGCACTGAGATAGCACCGGCTTTGCGTGAGCCGACAGGGGAGATCCGGAGATCTCCAATGCCGACAGGGTACGAGTCCTGGGGAATAAAGTGTGGGAACTCTCCCAAGATTCCCACCCCGCCCCCAAAAAAATTATACACTCGTGTGTGTGAGTGTGTGTATGTATATGTGTGTATGTATATGTATATATATATATATATGTATATGTATATATATATATATATATATAAAAAAAAAAAAAAATTACAACGTGTGCTGGCACTCAATTACATATAGGTGCCGGTATTCGAGGTTAACCCCAAAGACAACCTCCAAACAACAATCCTAAAAACTATATAATGAATACCGCACTCAAATAGTAATAATTGATACTAGAAGTTATTGCTGTGAAAATTTCATGATATTTATTCTAAATAAAGTTATATAGAGTATGATAATAGAAATGTTCATTTCATCCTGAGTACACCAATTATATACATTGAATATATACAATATATACAGTATATACAGAATATTCCATATATTGGATAGAGTTCATCTAATGTGTATACACTTGGTGAAAATTCATTGAAAAATTGTTGAAAATACTGAAAAAATGAAAAATATGAAAAAATGAAACAGATAAGAAAATGAAAAAAATAAAAAATAATGAAAATAATGAAAAAATCCCCAATCCAAAACAGAAAAAAGGAAAGGGGAAATAAAAAGAAAATAAGGGATGGAAAAAAGGAAAAAAAGAAAAAATGAAAAAACAAGCAAAATAATCTGAAAGTCCTGGTAGTCCAATATAGTGCACTATATATAGCTATATCTGGATAGATCTCACCAATTGTAGAAATCTTTTTCTTGGTGTACCAAATCAAAGTTGTAATCAGATGATGATCTAAACGAAGGTGAAGGTAATAGTAGTTGTAACAAACGGACAGTCACTCCATCAGCTCCCAGTTGGTGTGTGGTCAGAAGCAGCTCCCAGTGGGTATGTGGTCTGAACGAACGGCAATGAACTAATGCAGGCAATCCAGTCTAGGGACGGGCTGCGCGCTCGGGACTTAACTGTCCCTTCGACGGCCCCTGTGTTCTGTCAAGCAAGGTAGAAAATTGTTTAAATACCTGTTTTTGGCGGCAAAACATAGCCGCATCCACTCCATAGTATTCGCCCACTTCCGCATTGTGACGTCAGCGAACGTTGCTGCGTCATGCGTTCTCTATACAACTTTATTAATTACTTAACATTGTGTGACACACAAACTTAGTAAAGATGCATAATAGAAAGATTGTTCACCCAATAGTATGATACATATAATTGAAGGGGAAACAATGAAGTGAATGCATATTTATACAAACGGTTGTGGTTACAGATGAACTGCCATAAGCTTCATATAGTACACATTAAAAATTATTAATTTTTAAATATTAAATTACATGAATATTAAACAAACCCAAAATGAAAAATTATAAATGTCTGACATTTATTTTAAAGCTCACCTGTTAATGCTGATCAAGGAGAAAGATTGTAAGAAAAAAATCGATATGAACCAGTTGGACAACCAGCTGGATAAATAAAAAGAAAAAAAGAAAAAAGAAAAAGACACAACATTTGTCATTATTCCAGATAATAAAAAATGCATGAAACTAGAAAAGTTATGAAATACTACCAAAAAAAGGAGAGGAGAGATCCATATGTGCAACTCACCTGCCACGCAATACCCCATAGTGCCCGAGGGCCATACACGTGAGGGACCCTGTGTCACTAGCAGGTAGCGGACCCCAAGCTGAGTCAAAATGTCGGCAGGAAAGAACTACGGACCAACATTGGTCAAGAGGAACCACTGTAAGGAGCACAAAATCATAGAGCAGACAATCATAAATATACACTTATAAAAAATGTTTAAGGTCATAGTCCTCATTGAGTCCTAGTGGTGACAAAGTCTCCAGAGTACTTATCCATTTCGTCTCTCTCTGAAGTAAAAGCTTCTGTCTGTCTCCACCCCTGCGTAGTGGTGGGATTCTGTCTATGACTTGAAACCTCAATTGGTTTACATTATGGCCATGCAACTTAAAGTGCCTTGGTACTGGAGCTTCCACTTTATTATGTTGAAATGCTGCCCTAATGCTCCTTTTGTGTTCCCCTATCCGCTCTTTCACTGGCCGGATGGTCTCCCCCACATATAAAAGCCCACAGGGACACTTAAGGGCATACACGACAAAGTCCGAGTTGCACGTATAAAAATCCTTAACGAAAATTTTTTTTCCTGACCGAGGGTGAACAAAATATTCCCCCTTGATCACGCTATTACAGTGTGAGCAATTGAGACATGGAAAAGTACCCTTCTTGGGTTCTGAAAAGAATCTGGTTTGTTTTTTAAAACTGCCAATGTCTGACCTCACTACAACATCTCTCAGGTTCGAGGCTCTCTGATATGAAAAAAGCGGAGGATGCTGGAATATCGAAGGTAATTGGGCATCTCCCTGAAATAATTGCCAGTGTTTCAATATGACTCGTCTTATATCCCTATTAAGTGGAGTATAAGGTGTCACTAATGTAAGCCTTTCTATTTTGTTTTTTGCTCCTGTACCTGAGAGAGTTTCCTGACGGGACAGGGTTTCAACTTTCTGTCGCTGATTATCTACTATATGTGTGGGATAGCCCCTCTCTAAGAATTTTTTAGCCATAAAGTCTAAACCTGTCATCACTTTGTCTTCCTGTGATACTATCCTCTTTACTCTTAACAGTTGGCTAAACGGTAAACCATTCTTGAGGTGAGTTGGGTGGAAACTAGCATACGTCAATAAGTTATTTCGGTCAGTAGGTTTTATATATAAGTCACTATGAAGACAATTCTGTACTCTCTGTACTTGTACATCTAGAAAAGGAACCGTAATCATGTCACAATACATAGTGAATTTAATATTGACATCTTGTGTATTTAATGACTCAAAAAAGTCCTGCAATTGGGCCCTCGTGCCGCTCCAACAGACAAACACATCATCAATATATCTTTTCCAAACTAAGCATTTGACGAATAAAGGATGCTGATAAATACAAGTTTCTTCCATTCGATTCATATAAATGTTTGCATATGTTGGAGCGACATTCGAGCCCATGGCTGTACCTTTAATTTGTTTGTAGTATCTGTCCCCAAATAGGAAATAATTTTCTGTTAGAATGAAAGTCAGTAATTCCCTAATGTATTTTCTAGTATCCCTTTGCTGGGTTAATCTAGGATCTTTATCCAGTGTCCACTCAACTGCCTCAATCCCTCTTTCGTGATCAATAGAAGTATATAAAGACTGAACGTCCATGGTCACCAGCCAAAAGTCACCTGGTGGAACCTGTATGTCTGCTAATAGTGTGAGGAACGTAGTAGTGTCCTTAAGGTAGGATTTCTGTAGCGAGACATATTTAATCAGAAATTTATCGAGTATCTCTGCCGGATGTTGAAATATAGACCCAGTTCCACTGACTATTGGTCTACCTGGGGGAAAGAGGGGATTCTTATGAATCTTTGGAAGTGTATAGAACACTGGGATTCTAGGGTATTATATACGCGTGCACACACACACTCACACATACACTCATAGACACACACTCATACATTCACAGACACACATACACATACACTCACATTCACAGACACACACACACACACACTGACACATATGCACTCATAGACACACACATACTTAGACACACACACACTCACAAATTATTATTTTTTTAATTAAAAAATGTCCACCCAGCCTCCCTACCTGGAGAGCTGGCGTGGACCTGTCCCTGGGGTCCAGTGGGTCGGGTGCCTATCTCCATATCAGGCGCGGCGAGGGAGCTGTGTTCTCTCTGCTCCCTCTCGCCGCGCGGGGTGTCTACAGTAGCTGGGAGCCGGAATATGACTCTCTGCACAATAACAATTTAAATAATCTCTCTCTACCAACCTCTGCTAACTGTCAAGAGGATTATTAAAGTCAGTTGGTACTTTTTCCAATTTCTATCAAAATATTTGTCAAAACAACAAATTAAAAATGCTGCCACTCTGTTGTTGGGTTTCTTATTTTTAAAGATTTTCAATTACTACAGACATAATTCTTCTTCAGTTTTTGAATTACTATGTATGACTATGTATGATTATCCAAGGAAGATATAGAAACATGTTATTTTTCACATTTGGGAGTAATTAAGAATACACACCACGTTGGCTATTTTACAGAGGATTAATATATCTCTGTGCCCATGTCCTTTGTTTTGTATATGGTGTTGTGGGACATTGGAAGGGGGGGTCCTAAATTAAAAATCCATTAATTCAGATTAATATCACTTTCAATGACATTCCAAAGCAGTCCAGAGATACCATAAGACAAAGTAGAGAGTACCGACCTTGCTCTTGGCAACCTAAATGATCAGGAGCCGAAGAGGACAGCAGGACGAAGATGGCGGCGGAGGCCGAGAGAGACAGCCTGAGGTAAGTAAAACTTACTTCCCCTTCCCTCTTTGGTTACTAGACCCACATCGGATTTGTTTATTGCAGGGGTCTATGTGAAATATGCAAAGACCCCAGAAAATGACAGAACCCACTTTAACAAGGTTTGGATTTTGCAGATCAGGCTCAGAACAACCCTGAATTTGGCCTGGATTTTAGCAAGACCTTTCAGAGCAGGATGAAATTCGGCACCGGGGGTAAACAGTCTACCCCCCACCCCCCTGTTATTTTGCATCTTTGACTTTTTAAAGACCTGGCAGCAATGGCTGCCCTGCCACCTATAAATGTACATAATGCTAGAATTATTTAACCATTAAATAAGTAAATAATGCTGGCATTCTCTTTATGTGACACATTTTGGAAAAACATTTTTGTTGCGAACTAAAATCATTTAGTAAAATGATATATCGTCTCTTTTATATTTTGCAGTAAATAAGTATATAACATTACATACTGATCAAAGATTCCAGTCTTATTACCTACTGCGGTGCTATTACTTATTTTACTAGTCTGATGATTAGAAAAAGAGATTTTGGTCTGAAAATGTTGGCTTTCTGAGCTTTAATAATGCTTTTAATCAGGGCCGCCACCAGAAATTTTGGGGCCCCTAACTCAGCTCGGGGTCTGGGCCCACCTCCAATCCCGCCCACAGGGTCCACCTCCAAATCCCGCCCACAGGAATACACACACAGACACAAAAACACACACTGATACAAAAGGACACAGATACACACAGATAGATACTAACAGACACACATACTGAAACAGACATACACACATATAGGCATACATACTGACACACACATACTGAGACATACACATATATACAGACACATACTAACATACATACAGACACACATGCATGAGGACATACACATACATACACCGACATACATACACACAGACATATATTCGTTCATATAGACACTGACATCCATACACACATACATACATAATGGCATACATTCATACTGGCATATATACAGACATACATAATGGCATACATGCATACTTACACATGTTCATAATGACATGCTGACATACATGCATACATACAGACATACATTCATATATACATACATACATATGCGGTTTCCCATAGAAATGCATTGAAAACCAATTAATCCGTTCTGGAGGTCAGAAATAAGTCAAAATGAGCTGGCATAGAAACCAACCCACAATGCAGAGCACAATAAAAGGCATGCAAACAACGAAGCTCAGCTCCCTACCTTTCCACAGCTTGAGAAATGCACCAAAAAGTCCCAAAACAACTGCACACAATATCCAGAATGGCTCCAAAATGCGATGCTATAGACGCTCCAACACCTCCACACTAGACGCCACGTGCTACCCACCGGCTCCAGCATGCAGAGGGCGGTGCTATAAACCTCCCAGGTGCAATACATCCTGGGAAAACACACTTTGTATTGTGAAAAGAATTTGTAAACCGAGGCATTATTTTCAATGGATTTTGATTTGTAAACCGAAAATGATGTTAACCGAGGCGTTTGTAAACCGAGGTCCCACTGTATATATTTTTTAGTTAAGCATTTCTTTTGTAATATTCAAGACACAACACTAGAGGGCGATCTTTACCTAATGGGGAATATGTGTAAAACTAGTGGAATGCATTTTAGAAATGCTTCACTGTCTTTCAGTCGGTCGTGCGTTGGTTTTTTTTCTGTCGATCATTTGTCAAGATAACCTTTATTTCCAGTTAGGTTTCTTCATTTAAAAGTGTACAGAAGGCTTAAAAACCTAAAGGCAGCACTCCTAAAGGATAGGACTCCCTCACAGGCCCTATAGGTATGTAGGTATAAGGAAGGAGAGAAAGGTGGCGCCACAGAGATAATATATAATATGAAATATAAGTAAGTAGTAATATAGAAATAAACAATGCCATATAATACAGAGAGAGAACAATAAAAATAATAGGTATATATGTATATATAAGAAAAAAAATTAAAACATTTAAAAATATATACATATACACTGCTCAAAAAAATAAAGGGAACACAAAAATAACACATCCTAGATCTGAATGAATTAAATATTCTTCTGAAATACTTTGTTCTTTGAATGTGCTGACAACAAAATCACACAAAAATTAAAAAATGGAAATCAAATTTTTCAACCCATGGAGGTCTGGATTTGGAGTCACACTCAAAATTAAAGTGGAAAAACACACTACAGGCTGATCCAACTTTGATGTAATGTCCTTAAAACAAGTCAAAATGAGGCTCAGTAGTGTGTGTGGCCTCCACATGCCTGTATGGCCTCCCTACAACGCCTGTGCATGCTCCTGGTGAGGTGGCAGATGGTCTCCTGAGGGATCTCCTCCCAGACCTGGACTAAAGCATCTGCCAACTCCTGGACAGTCTGTGGTGCAACGTGACGTTGGTGGATGGAGCGAGACATGATGTCCCAGATGTGCTCAATTGGATTCAGATCTGGGGAACGGGCGGGCCAGTCCATAGCATCAATGCCTTCGTCTTGCAGGAACTGCTGACACACTCCAGCCACATGAGGTCTAGCATTGTCTTGCATTAGGAGGAACGCAGGGCCAACCGCACCAGCATATGGTCTCACAAGGGGTCTGAGGATCTCATCTCGGTACCTAATGGCAGTCAAGCTACCTCTGGCGAGAACATGGAGGGCCGTGCAGCCCCCCAAAGAAATGCCACCCCACACCATTACTGACCCACTGCCAAACCGGTCATGCTGGAGGATGTTGCAGGCAGCAGAACGTTCTCCACGGCGTCTCCAGACTCTGTCACGTCTGTCACATGTGCTCAGTGTGAACCTGCTTTCATCTGTGAAGAGCACAGGGTGCCAGTGGCGAATTTGCCAATCTTGGTGTTCTCTGGCAAATGCCAAACGTCCTGCACGGTGTTGGGCTGTAAGCACAACCCGCACCTGTGGACATCGGGCACTCATACCACCCTCATGGAGTCTGTTTCTGACCGTTTGAGCAGACACATGCACATTTGTGGCCTGCTGGAGGTCATTTTGCAGGGCTCTGGCAGTGCTCCTCCTGTTCCTCCTTGCACAAAGGCGGAGGTAGCGGTTCTGCTGCTGGGTTGTTGCCCTCCTACGGCCTCCTCCATGTCTCCTGGTGTACTGGCCTGTCTCCTGGTAGCGCCTCCATGCTCTGGACACTACGCTGACAGACACAGCAAACCTTCTTGCCACAGCTCGCATTGATGTGCCATCCTGGATGAGCTGCACTACCTGAGCCACTTGTGTGGGTTGTAGACTCCGTCTCATGCTACCACTAGAGTGAAAGCACCGCCAGCATTCAAAAGTGACCAAAACATCAGCCAGGAAGCATAGGAGCTGAGAAGTGGTCTGTGGTCACCACCTGCAGAACCACTCCTTTATTGGGGGTGTCTTGCTAATTGCCTATAAATTCCACCTGTTGTCTATCCAATTTGCACAACAGCATGTGAAATTGATTGTCACTCAGTGTTGCTTCCTAAGTGGACAGTTTGATTTCACAGAAGTGTGATTGACTTGGAGTTACGTTGTGTTGTTTAAGTGTTCCCTTTATTTTTTTGAGCAGTGTATATATATATAACAGTCCAAAAAGAGTCCAGTAAAACCTTTGGATGAGAGAACAATCACAGTTCTATCTGAGGTAGAGACGTCTATAGAGTAGTGGGATTGAGGGTTCATGGGATCTGTATGAAAGAGAAAAGAAAATCTAATAGTGCAATAAAACCCAAATAGGTAGCAGCCGATAAAAGAGGTCTATATGGTTCTACTCACGTTTTTGAGAGCTAAAAACTAGCTTTAGTATAAACAGCGTACAGTAGTATAATTCCCATTTATGGGATACATGAGGGAGTGTCGTAAGTAGATATCTCATCAGATGGGGACCATATGTTATATAAAAAACAACAATAGAGCTCACTGTGATAAAACCTGGAGAGTGTATAAAAATACCAAACGGTTACTCACAATTAATTGGGAAGACGCACTGCTCAATGGTAGGGCGTAAGTGGTATAATCCCCACCAAGAATGCTTTGGAGTATTATCTCTCTGGAACAAGTAAAACTCAGATGCCAGGTAGTAAAATAATAAAAACGGTTAAAAAGATAAAACGGCTAACTCACAACAAAAAAAGTGGCCAAAATACCTTTATTAAAATAGTTAGTTAAAATTTCCACAACGTTTTTTATCCACTTGAGAAAGCCCTAAGTGGAGAAACGCGTTGTGGAAATGTTAACTAACTGTATTTTAATAAAGGTATTTTGGCCACTTTCTCTGTGGTGCCACCTTATTATCAATGAATATCCAGGAAAAAAACATCCCTTTAATACCCTGCCTTAGCAGCATTCAAAAAATGATGAATGTTAAATGAGGATAAAAAATTTTTTTTTGCAAAACTAAATTTGGAAAATTTAATTAAAAATGTTATACTTCAAAACATGAAGTTAATGGAAGCAAAAAAAAACAAACTTGCCATGCAAAAAAAACCCTGCATTAGTGGCAGAAATGTATTTTTCTTCAAATAATCACTTCCATTTTTTGCTTTTTAAAAAAAAAAATATATTGATAACACCAAAAACAATCTCCCCCCCACCCCCCCAAAAAAATACAAGGTCCAAAATCATCCAACATAAAATGTTGGCACAGACACAAAGGGTAATGCTCTAAGTCCATTCTTCATATTTCACATTTAAAAAAAAAAAAAAAAAAGAAATTCTTCTTATTCATTCAATTTGGGGGTTAGTTTACTGAACCCTCATCTGGAGTGGAAAAAAACATAATTTAGACCAAAATAAATCTGACTCAGTTAGGGCTTGACTATTTTTGCCTACATTTTGTGATATGGTTCAAAAGTCAATACAAGTGTGACTAGTGACTGTCTGACTGTATCCAAACGTTTTTTAAATTATTTGTGAGCATAATTAATAGGTGCAAAACACCATCCCACTAGCATTTTTTTCGTTTCATACATGGGGGCGGGAAGGCAACATTTCCACCTGTTACAGTAAATTCTAACCTGCCTTACACATCCCAGAGGAGGATAAACCCTAAATACCATGCTCTATACCTCTCACTAAACTAACATTTGAAGGGACATTCTAATCAGCCTAACCACTTCAGTGTGCCCCACAATTAAATATCACATTTAGGAATACTTTGACATAAATGGGGGCTCTTCCCAGTGCCTGCTGACCTCTTCGTCCTTGGTCGCATTGAAAACCTGGAATAAACACTTTTGCATTACGGATGTCAATCTCATCGAACCTGCATGAGAGTGAATTATACAGGGTTATTTCGCTAAACTGAGAAATGCCAAGGAATTCATTGTGAATATCATATAGGCCAAAGCAACCAAACTAAACACATTGTAGTTAACAAGGCTTTCTTTTCAGCTATTTTGGCCTTACATTTGAAATTTACTTTGAATTTGATTTGAATTTTCAGCAATTCCTCCCTTTAGTAAAAAGCCCTGTGAAAGTAAACGACGGTAAGACATTGACGGTCTAGGAGAGAAAAGGCTGCATTTCAAATTTAAACACTGTCCGACCCAGGATGTATGTATATGGCTGAAGGATCCTGACGTACACTGAAGGTAAGGATGAGATTTTCAAATTTTATTTACATATGCTTCATTTAACACAGAGTCTATTTCATTTCAAAACTTGATGAAAGGATCATTATATTAAAAAAAATCTATGCTCTCTTAAATGCTCTCATAGACAGGAAATATATGGTACAAAAACTAGATTCCTTTGAATATACCAATGATAAGCCCCATTGTTACAAAAGGAGGTAAGTGGGCAGGATGGAAAGTTACCGTTAGATACTCTCATTATTTTGATCTTAGTTACTAGAGTGCTCTAAAAGTGAGCTAAAAAGTGACAGTTTCTCTATAGTAAATTCTGCCAGTTTTCACAGAAATTTCTGTTTCGGAACACCACCAAATTTAAAGTGGAGGAAAGAAAAGAGAAGTGAAACAGAACAGAATTTAAAAGCCTGTTGCATCTCCCAAGTTCATGGCATACATTTAATAATGACAGTTTGGGCGCCCCAAAAAAATAAAATAAAGCAACAGGTGAATAAAATATCTGGCAGATTATATATATATATATATATATATATATATATACACACACATAAACAAAGCTTGGACTGCACTCACGGTCTTCCAATACAAAAAACTCTTTATTTCATCAAATCAGCAAATCGACGTTTGCGGACCAAAACATCGATTTGCTGATTTGATGAAATAAAGAGTTTTTTGTATTGGAAGACCGTGAGTGCAGTCCAAGCTTTGTTTATGTGAATATCAACTTCCCCAGAAGACTGGCACCCGGCAAGTAAAAGCTATTTGCTATTAACAATATTTAGCTTGAGTGCAAGGACTTTTGTATATTTTTATGTATATATATATATATTTTTTTTTTTCCCATAATAATAATAATAATAATAATTGTATATATATATAATTAATACATCTCCCCTACTGTATCTGTGATTTTGTCTGTGGCTGTTTGTGTGTCTGAGAATGTCTGTTAGAGCATCTGAATGTCCAGTAGTGTGTATGTGTGAAAATGTTCCCAAAAGTATCTGAATGTGTCTATAGGAGTGTCAGAGTATAAGTGTATGTATGAGTGTGTATACATAATAGTGTAAAACAGTAGAGTAACCTGATTGTCTGAGTGTCTATCTGTGAGTGTTTGTGAAAATATGTGTAAGACTGTGTCTACAAGAGTGGGATAAAGATTGTGCATTACTGTCTAAGAATGCTTCTAATGGTCTGTTAGTAAGTATATCTGATATGATTGATGTTATTTATTGCCTGATTCTATCTGAGCAGACTATACTTAGCACAAAGGCAATATGTGATATACAAAATACAAAAAGCATGCTAATTTTGAAACTGCTCGAACAGGATAAAGAGAGCATACGTGTCTTGCTTGCCAGCAATCACCTAAAGTGTTAATGAGTTTCCAAACAGTGAACCATGCTTTCAAAAGCCTGTAATATAGAACTGATGGCATGAAAGGGCAGTGACTCAGTGTATATATTGCTCTAGACTTGTGTGTGTATACAATGATGTGTTTATATCACTCATTGTTTGATGGAGTCCCCCGAGGTTTCATGCAAAGGCTCCTAAATTTGAAAAGAAGAGACAAGGGCTCACATTTCATTTACTTAAAGAGATGATTTTCAGGCCATCTAAAGTCACACATACGAGCAATCCTCTGTAAAATTATCTTTATTCTAGACACTCTGAGCACTTCTACAACCATTTGTTTCCAAAGCTGTTTTTTTAATGTTTTTTTCCTGTAGATCAGTATGTTTTAAACATTTCTGTAAGTTCCTCCTAATAACGTATTTTTCTAACCAGTAGTACCTAAGGTCAACTTTTTGTTAAACAAGTTCCTCCATTATATTCTGAAATTAGCAGCCAGGAGCAGATGATGGACATCCACTGTTGTTCTAATATGTTGATCAGTGGGATTTGGAACCACTTGGAACAATGTTAATAATTACCCACCTACCTCAAGGCACATGGGATAATTAAGAGGGTTATATATGAATTCTTCTTCTTAGTAGGATTAGGCAACTCTTTACGATAATACATTGGGATTGGAAAACAACTTGTATTGACATACAGAGAAGTGTTGATAGCAACAAAAGAGGGCCATGCTCAAATGATCTAATTATTAACCTTATCAGCACATCTGGTAATATAGCTCCAGCACTTACTGCTTTATTAGCCCCAGCTCTCCATATGCACCAAGAGGAGGGAGTGGGATGGCTCCTTGTCAGAGGGTCTAGAACACCCCACCATTATTTTCTTTACATTTGGTGAAAATGCATACACCAAGCATTGTGTGAACCTAAATACACAAATACGCTTACTCTTCTGTTGCGTGAAGCTACTCAGCCAGGATAGCAGGCTAAAGAAAGCACAATGATAGGTGACTATACTCAACTACATCATTTATTCACTAAACCACATGTTGACCCAAGTTGTAATAAGTGTCAGCTAAACCTCAAGAATTACTACCTTGGGTATTTATTTCCTTGGAACGGTTTCAGTGTTAAAGTAAAACTTTAGTGTTAGGAGTGCAAAGATGTATTCCTAACAGTAAAGGTGTCCCCCTCGGGTCAGGCTCTTCCTTCACCTACAGTTGTGAACCCTTTGGAATGATATGGATTTCTGCACAAATTGGTCATAAAATGTGATCTGATCATCATCTAAGTCACAACAATAGACAATCACAGTCTGCTTAAACTAATAACACACAAAGAATGAAATGTTGCCATGTTTTTATTGAACACACCATGTAAACATTCACAGTGCAGGTGGAAAAGTATGTGAACCCTTGGATTTAATAACTGGTTGAACCTCCTTTGGCAGCAATAACTTCAACCAAACGTTTCCTGTAGTTGCAGATCAGACGTGCACAACGGTCAGGAGTAATTCTTGACCATTCCTCTTTACAGAACTGTTTCAGTTCAGCAATATTCTTGGGATGTCTGGTGTGAATCGCTTTCTTGAGGTCATGCCACAGCATCTCAATCGGGTTGAGGTCAGGACTCTGACTGGGCCACTTCAGAAGGCGTATTTTCTTCTGTTTAAGCCATTCTGTTGTTGATTTACTTCTATGCTTTGGGTCATTGTCCTGTTGCAACACCCATCTTCTGTTGAGCTTCAGCTGGTAGACAGATGGCCTTAAGTTCTCCTGCAAAATGTCTTGATAAACTTGGGAATTCATTTTTCCTTCGATGATAGCAATCCGTCCAGGCCCTGACGCAGCAAAGCAGCCCCAAACCATGATGCCCCCACCACCATACTTCACAGTTGGGATGAGGTTTTGATGTTGGTGTGCTGTGCCTTTTTTTCGCCACACATAGTGTTGTGTGTTTCTTCCAAACAACTCAACTTTGGTTTCATCTGTCCACAGAATATTCTGCCAGTACTGCTGTGGAACATCCAGGTGCTCTTGTGCAAACTGTAAACGTGCAGCAATGTTTTGTTTGGACAGCAGTGGCTTCCTCTGTGGTATCCTCCCATGAAATCCATTCTTGTTTAATGTTTTACGTATTGTAGATTCGCTAACAGGGATGTTAGCACTTGCCAGTGACTTTTGTAAGTCTTTAGCTGACACTCTAGGATTCTTCTTCACCTCATTGAGCAGTCTGTGCTGTGCTCTTGCAGTCATCTTTACAGGACGGCAACTCCTAGGGAGAGTAGCAGCAGTGCTGAACTTTCTCCATTTATAGACAATTTGTCTTACCGTGGACTGATGAACAGCAAAGCTTTTGGAGATACTTTTATAACCCTTTCCAGCTTTATGCAAGTCAACAATTCATAATCATAGGTCTTCTGAGAGCTCTTTTGTGCGTGGCATCATTCACATCAGGCAATGCTTCTTGTGAAAAGCAAACCCAGAACTGGTGTGTGTTTTTTATAGGGCAGGGCAGCTGTAACCAACACCTCCAATCTCATCTCATTGATTGGACTGACATCTCACTCCAATTAGCTCTTGGAGATGTCATTAGTCTAGGTGTTCACATACTTTTTCCACCTGCACTGTGAATGTTTACACGGTGTGTTCAATAAAAACATGGCAACATTTCATTCTTTGTGTGTTATTAGTTTAAGCAGACTATGATTGTCTATTCTTGTGACTTAGATGATGATCAAATCACATACTTTTTCTTGCAACTGTATGTCAGATGATTTGGGTGGGGCGGTGCCTAATGCTCATGTCCTTTAACATGTGGTAAAATTCATATAAATATAAAATAACACATATAATTTGAAGAACAAGCAACATGATAATGCCTCAAATGTATAACACAATCACAACTTTTAAAACTATGAAAAAACATAGATATACAAATGCAACTGATCGGTTGTTTGCAATTTCCTAATTTGCATATTGTGTTTATACAAATCAATGTATTTGCCAGTTTCAGCAACAGAGGGCGATGGAAAGTCATCACAAGTCTGAAAAAAAATCTTTTAAAACACGGGGATCCAAACTGTGCAGCAAGAAGAGGCCATCTTAACTAGTTTGTCTGAAACTGCAATATGTGCAGCCGCAGGGCTAAGGGGACAGGGACAGGGACAGTGCACCCAGACCACCTCAATGAGATGAAGAGGTCAGTGTGCCTTTACTGTCCCTTTAAATTTGACTGGATCACTTGGTGAAGCAAATTGTAGTGTCTGTATGTGGACACTGTGCCAAAACTTTACAAAGATATGGTCAAATGCAGCATGAAAGGCCTCCCTTTAGCCCTTCAAGGAATCCGCCTTCAAGGTCGATAGTGACATATGGTCTGCTGCCATCTTGAGCCTTGACAGTTCACGCAGATGTGGATCACCCAGGTGAGAGCTAAGTAGTAAGGGTTGCAGTAGTGGGGAATGGGGCATGCTCACAATCTGGCCAGCGAGATCCCGTCAAAGAGGTCTGCCGCAACTCCCAGCCGGGTCCACGCTAGGCCACAAGTCAGGAATGTCGGAACGCTGCATCAGCCATCCACCAGAATGCCTCCACAAGATGCCTGATTCCTCTCAGACTTCACCTGGTATCCACACAGTCCGGTATAGCAGCTGTCGAGTCTCAAGTTCAGCGATCCCGGGCAGAGCTTGTTGTTGCGGACCCGGGAACCCGACTCTTTACCTCCGCTATACCTTCCTTCAGCTGCTCAGGAACCCTTACAACAAGCAGGTATCCATTTGCACCGGGTGCCTCCGTTCCCTGCCCCTCACACTGCCACTGGGGAACGAGACCAGTTGTTTCCATTTCCTGGCCCTCACACTGCTGCTGGGGAACAAGACCGGTTGTCTCCATTCCCTGGACCTCACACTGCCGCTGGGGAGGAAGGACCTCACACTTCTCTCCCTGTGATGCACACTGCTGCTGGGGAACAAGACCGGGAGTCTTTGTTCCCTGGACCTCAAACTGCCGCTGGGGAGGAAGGACGGAACACTTCTCTCCTTGGGATGCACACTGTTACTGGGGAACAAAACCGGGTGTCTCTGTTCCCAATAACACACTCTGTCGCTGGGGAGAGAGACCGACTCTCTCTTCTCCCTGGCCCCCACGCTGCCGCTGGGGTGGAAGCATGACACCCTTCTCTCCCTGTAAAGCACTCTGCAGCTGGGGAGAGAGACCGACTGTCTCTTCTCCCAATAACACACTCTGACGCTGGGGAGAGAGACTGACTGTCTCTTCTCCATGTACCTCACACTGCCACTGGGGAGGAAGGACGGAACGCTTCTCTCCGTGTGCTGCACTCTGCCGCTGGGGAGCGAGACCGGTTGTCTTCACTCCCAATAACTTCCACTGCCGCTCTGCTTTGTGCTGCAGGTGCCTGGCCCCAATATTCCTTGTTTCCTGTACGTATTCCTCAGCAGGGCTGGGTCCATAGAAAGCCAGCAGCTTCGTCAGCAGATTGTCAAACTCTGCCTTACTGTAGCTGGGCACCAGGCTTGTTCCATTAATGAATGCTGGTTCAGTTTGGCTAAGAAGTGCCATCCCACTGCTTGCCACCAGTTGTAGCGGACCCCGGGTAACGCGACCGGTTACCTCCACTAATACCTTCAGACGCTCAGGAATCCTTACAACAAGCAGGCATCCATTTCCCCCCAGTAACTGGATGACACACAGCTCTGGGAGTCAGGGCCGGTGCAAAGATTTTTGGGTACATAGGCGAAGATGTATCTTTCCACCCCCCCCCCAAAAATAACATCTTCACCTATGTGCCTCTTAACCAGCCCCTCTCCCCGTCCATTAGTGGTCCCCTCCCTTCCCTGTCCCTTAGTGTTCTTCTAAGCTCTCCCCTCTTTTTCCTGTCCCTTGGTGTTTCTCTCCCCTCCCCTCCCTGTCCCTTGGTGCACCCCCCACCCCTTTAGTGGTCGCACTCCCCTTCCTGGTGTGCCTCCTACCTCTCTTGTAGCGTTGCCGAGTGGAGGATATCCCCTACAGGAGCTTCAATTTTCTGTACCTGGCCAGACTGACAGGCAGGGCCGGTGCAAGGAATTTTGCCGCCCTAGGCAAAAGAAGGATTGCCCCCCCCCCCAGAACATCGCAATTCCCCACCCAAATGAACTAATGCCAGTGCTGCACATTAAAAAGCCTGCAGGGACAAACTATAGACACCAGAACAACTTTATTAAGCTTCAGTGGTTCTGGGGACTATAGTGTCCATTTAATGTGAGGTAAATTAGAGATTAGTGTCACTAATAACATACTAGATTGCCTACTTACAATCAGATGAGGATGGTGATGGGCTCTGGCTGCAGTCTGGCTCCACTGGTCTGGTGTAGAACAGGATCTCTGGAGGCTGTTTGTAACTGTGGTCACAAAATTCAATGTTCTGGGAGAACGGGAAGCAGCTCCATTTTTGGGGCCTCTTACATAGCTCAAGGTCTGGGCCCCAGGGCCTGACGGTGAGTATGCCCATAAAGCCCACCCATAAGTCCACCTACATGTTCCACCCATGAGTTTGCTCACAGGGAGTAGAGTGTGTAGGGGATGTGTTATATGTTACTGTAGAGGATCTAATGTGTGTGCTTATGGAATGTAGTGTATAGGGATACCAGTTTGTGTAGGTGATGCAGTGTGTTTGTGTGTAGTGGAAGCAGTGTGTGTGTGTGTATAAGGGATGTATTGTGTGTTTCTTGTTGTGTGTAAGGGATGCATTGTGTGAATCTGTGTTTGTATGTAAGAGAAGCAGTGTGTGTTTGCATATGTGTGTAAGGGATGCATTGTCTTTATGTGTAAAGGTTGCATTGTGTGTTTCTCTGTGTGTGTGTGTGCGTGGTGTGAAAGAGCTCCCTGTCCCCCTGTCCTATAGAGCTCTCCCTTCCATTCCTTAGAGATCTCTCCTGACCCATAGTGGTCTCTCCACCGCCCCCTCCCTCCCCTACGTTCTCATCTCCCATCATCTCTCCCCCCCCTCCCTCCCATCATCTCATCTCCCCCTCCCTTAATCTCTCCCCCACTCCATCATCTCATCTCCCCCCTCCCATCATCTCATCTCCCCATCATCTCATCTCCCCCTCCATCATCTCATCTCCCCCCCTCCATCATCTCATCTCCCCTCCCATCATCTCCTCTCCCCCACTCCCATCATCTCTCTCCCCCCCCTCCCATCATCTCATCTCCCCCCCCCTCCATCATCTCATCTCCCCCTCCATCATCTCATCTCCCCCCTCCATCATCTCCCCCCTCCCGTCATCTCATCTCCCCCCTCCATCATCCTCCTCTCCCCATCATCTCATCCCCCACCCATCATCTCCTCTCCCCTCTCCTATCATCTCCTCTCCCCCCCCTCCATCATCTCCTCCCCCCCCACTCCCATCATCTCATCTCCCCATCATCTCATCTCCCCTCCCATCATCTCATCTCCCCTCCCATCATCTCATCTCATCTCCCCTCCCATCATCTCATCTCATCTCCCTCCCATCATCTCATCTCCCCACCCATCATCTCCTCTCCCCCCTCCATCATCTCCTCCTCCCCCCTCCCATCATCTCATCTCCCCCCTCCATCATCTCATCTCCCCCCCCTCCCATCATCTCATCTCCCCCTCCATCATCTCATCTCATCTCCCCTCCCATCATCTCATCTCATCTCCCCTCCATCATCTCATCTCCCCTCCCATCATCTCATCTCCCCCCTCCCATCATCTCATCTCCCCTCCATCATCTCATCCTCCCCCCATCATCTCATCTCCCCATCATCTCATCCCCCCCTCCCATCATCTCATCTCCCCATCAGCTTCTCCTCACCTCCCCTGCCCTGTAGCGTGGCCGAGCTCCCCCCCCCATCAGCTTCTCCTCACCTCTCCTGCCCTGTAGCGTGGCCGAGCACTGAGTGTGCACTTCCTGTCAGTCCCGCCGGGTCGCAGACCGGAAAGGAGCTCGGCCACGCTACAGGGCAGGGGAGGTGAGGCACTGCGGCAGCCGCCTGAGCGCTCTATAGACTGCAGAATTTAAAGGGATGGCGATGGGGGCGCAGGGCGCCCCCTCCTATATGGCGCCCTAGGCGGCTGCCTAGTTCGCCTTATAGGAAGCGCCGGCCCTGCTGACAGGGAGTGCTCTCTCAGTGAGCACCTCCGGTCAGTCTGGCCGGGTACAGGAAACAGAAGCTCCTGTACTGCGCTCCGCCACGCTACACTCAGTGGTGTATACACACTGACAGTCACACACACTCAATGACAAACACACAGACTCACTGATCTGACACACACTCATTCATTGACAGACACACTGATACTCACACACAGACTCAATGACAAAGATACTCTCACTGATTTGACAGACACTCACAAACACATACTGACAGACACACATACACTGCCACACTCATACACTCACATGCAGTACTCATACAAGCACTCACAGACACACACACACACACTCATACAATCACTCACAGACACACACATACACTCACAGACACACTCACTCACAGACACACATACTCATGCACACAGTCACTCACAGGCACACATACACTCACACACAGACACACATACACACACACACACACAGACACACACTCAATCACAGACAGTCACTCACAGACACACAGTCACTCAGGCACACATACACTCACACACACACAGTCACACACAGACACTCACACACAGACACACACTCAATCACAGACAGTCACTCACAGGCACACGGCCACTCAGGCACACATACACTCACACACAGACACACACACACACAGTCACACACAGCCACTCACACAAGACACACACTCAATCACAGACAGTCACTCACAGACACATAGTCACTCAGGCACACATACATTCACACACAGACACACACACACACACAGTCACACACAGACACACACTCAATCACAGACAGTCACTCACAGACACACATACACACACAGTCACACACAGACACTCACACACAGACAGACACACACTCAATCACAGACAGTCACTCACAGACAAACAGACACGCATACACACACTCACTAATTATTTTAATAAATAAACATTTTCCACCCAGACTCCCTACCTGGAGAGCTGGTGTGGATGATGAATCATTCCCTGGGGTCCAGTGGGGCTGCTGGGAGGCGTGCGGCAGTGCTGTGATCAGACGCGGCGAGGGAGCTCTAATCTCCACGCTCTGCTCCCTCGCGGCTGCCTTCTGACACCGCGGGAGCCGGTATATGACGTCATATTCCGGCTCCCGCGGCATCAGCAGACAGCGCGCGAGGGAGCAGAGCAGAGAGGTTAGAGCTCCCTCGCCGCGTCTGATCACAGCACTGCCGCACGCTGCGCCGGGGGTCGAGATAGTGGCCTGGCAGGAGGGAGAGCTTCCCTCCTGCCAGTCACTGAAATATTGCGCCCCCGAAACCGGTGCGCCCTAAGGCGGCCGCCTGTGCCGCCTTATGGACGCGCCGGCCCTGCTGGGAGTACAACATAACTAACTCTTTATTCAGGGCCACACACGGCCTTTTATGCAAAAGCCCAGTGCAAGGGGTTTCCAACACAACATTACAGGGTCATCTCTCCCATGATCCTCTGTTCCTGAGAGATAATTCAGTCCCCTCTCAGGTACAGAGAAATCCTTTTATTTTGTCACACATGGTTTGTTAGGCACCGAGCCCTACATAGGCTCTTCAACACTATACAACAGGAAGGAAGGGGGAGAGGCACAGACCAACAATACATTCAGAAAAGAAAGGGGAGAGGCAGAGACAAGCAATACATTGTTAAATAGTCCTGACCTGAAAACAATAAGCAGGCAAACATGTGGGCATGGTACGCAGTGACGGCGTTCCGTCACACTTGTATCTTATGCATCCGCTCACCAGGGTGGTCCTATTCCAATCACTGAAGTGGTCATGTTGGTTAGGGTAACCCTTTAAGTGAATATCTTCCCCCTCAAAGTTATGGAAAAAATGCATATACAGAACTCTGCAGAGAAGTATCATTTTTAACCATTGCTGAGGTACGGTAACAGTGAGCTGTACTGTATGCCACAGATTCCTAGTCCTCAATGCACAATAACAGTTAGGAATTTGTCAGCATCCCCAATGGAACAGAACTGGAAAATATAAGTTAGCAATCAAAGTGAATTCAAAGTGCTTGACTCTCCTATATGCTTGTTTATTTATTTTTTAACGCACATCCAGATATAATTGAACAGCCTGTGTCGTCATTGATCATGTTTGTAAAAAATGGTGCACTATTTCTGCTTTGTATAATCTAGAAATATTAGTTTCTGTACATCAGGACCTTGTTTCATGTCCAATATAAGAAAATTATGCGCCTCAAAAATAAAGATTAAAGAAAAGTGAATTTCCCATTTTAAGCCAAGGTAGGGTACCGAAAGCTGGTTTGGAGAATTTTTCCATTTAGGCTATCTCTTCAATCCACTGTGAAATCTCAGTTTAGTAAATAAACCTGTCAATCTTGGACTGTTGCTGTGCCTTGCGGTCTAGGTTGGAAACTAATACAGTTCCAAAAAGAGATGCAAGGAGATCCAAGCATAACATTGGTCCATGTCCAGGTTTGTTTTGTAATATTTCCTTTACAAAGTTAAACAGCAGATGCAGCCAATTAACAAAAACAACAAAATGTTTCCATCAATTCTTGATTTTTTTTAACGTATCCCCAAGCAAGGCATTTTTTCCAGTTTGTGTTTCAGCGGATCCTCCAGGAAAACACTGGTCAAATGGTCATAGTGATTTTCTACTGTAATATATAGTACTCAAGGGGAGCCTTACTTTTGGTGATGATTAATTAAGGGTTACTCTATCCCTTTGTAATATTTACATTTTTAAAATTTTAAAATTAAATTTTAGTTTATAATGCCCTACTAGACATTATGTACTAGCATCCCCGCCTCCTTATATACTTTAGTGGAATCCAGCACCAGGTAAAGCTTCTAGTACTGCTTTCCATGCCCCGTTTAACATCAGCAAGTCCCCGCATTGCCTGCACGGGGAAAGATGACCACGTCTGTCGCCAGTTGCAAGTTTTGCACAGAATTGACATTTGCCAGTCCGGGAAGGAGTGCTCGGCTTCAAAAGTCATGTGTGCCGATGGTGTAACAAGTGCAAATATCTCAGTATGTGCAGCGTTTCAAGCAGAAACGCTGCACGTACTGACTCCTACCACCATGACCATTTCTAAAAGCAGATGTGGTCATGGTGGTTGGAGTAACTCTTTAGTTTGGATGTATTCAGTGAGCTTTATTAGGGAATATTTGATAATGATAATGTCCATGGTCGTGAAAGGCACACTACAGCTTGCTGACATACTTTAGGGGTAATGTCCTTAAAACTCAGTGCTTGTTTTAACAAACGTGTTGATTTCAAGAGAAATCAGCACTTTCATAAAACATCTGTCTTTCAAAACAGTAATGCGTGCTTCTCATAGAGAAGTATTAGTTTATGTATCTCAAAATATTCTGGTGCACATCCCAAAATTTTTTTTCCTATTTATATATATATTTTTTAAATGATGTTTGCTTCTGTGTTATACATAATTTTCCATTATATTTGTCAGAAAGTAAAGAACATTTTTATTTTTGTAATCATAAGCATGGTAACATCAGTCAAGTGCATCTGTTTAAACATCACTCAACACAACATTAATTAAACTGTGTAGTAGCAGAGTCTGTACTCGTCTTCTCAGGGTTAGCTACAGGAAGGCCACTTAAAGGTGTGATGGCCGAAGATTGGGCCTGCAGTAAGGGAGTGCCCCTGGCAGCGCTCCCAGGTATTTTATTGGGCAAATGTCCTCTTGTAACCTGTCATGGGACTGGAGTATCCCCTGGGCTGTGAGTTTGCAGATCTAGTGTCTTCAAAAATGTTTCTGCCTCTCCTGACGATGTCAGCGACAGACTCTGTCCTCTTTTATCCACTAGCAGGAATCCCTCCATTCCCCAGGAGTATTTTAGAGAGCAGTATTTTAGAGAGCTATCGGTGCCAATCTCTGTCTTTCTGTCAGGACGACAAACGGTAGGTCTGCATAAATAGCCACCTCATGCCGGATTGTCCCCCGAGCTCTGAAGCCGTTCATAATCGCTGATCTTACCGCGATGTCTCGTATTACAGCAATCGTATCCCTGGGTGTCTCGCTCTGCACTTCTGCCGATTTACATACTCTGTATGCTGTCATGATTTGTGGGCTGCTGGAACTATTTGTAATGCCTAGTGAGGTTATGAGGCTATGTAGATATTTTGGGAGCTCACCACTGCCGACTGTCTCCAGAAGTCCTCTGAAGTGCAAATTCCGACGCCTGTGGCACGTTTCTATCGTGGTCACCACAAGGCTCAGTTTCTGTACTTGAGAGGTAAGGCTTTCAATTTGGCTGCTTGTGTTTTGCATTTTTTTGTCTCTGGAGGTTTCTCTTGTTTCCAGCTCTCTGGCCTTTTGGTGTACCACTCCAATTTCTGTTTGGACCACGTGGAGGAATCCTTCCAGACCTTCCATAGGTCTATGAGGAGCTTTCTGATGTCTCCCTTTGTTGATAGGCTGTGTCTTCTTCTAGCTCTGATGAGCTTTCGTCGCCTTCAGACCTGGGTGATGCAGGAGGCTCCCCTTCCTCCCGCGAGTCATCCGAGGCCTCGGACTCCCCTCTAGGCCTCAGGCGCCATCTTTGGTTGTTGCTGCCGGGCTGGCCGCTTGAAAGTGAGCCATATATCAGGCAGCTGTTGGGTTTATTGGCGATACTGCCGTCTATTTTTTCGTCCCATTGTGTCTCCTTGTGGGGGTAAGTGTTTCTGGCTTAAAAGGGTCTATTTTTTGTGGCTTAAATCGGTTTGTTTGTAGGGTATTTGTGTCATATTTACTAGATAGCGTATGTTGCACAGCATTTGGTTAACGGCAGATTACTGGAAATAGAACTAGATGACAAGAATGACTGTTTATGTGAATGTCCGAAATTTCATTTTTTTTTTTTATAAAATATGAATTAATGTTTCAGAATCAATCCAACATACAAAGGTATCTCATCAAGAGTCCAAAAGAGTAAAAGTATTGTATTTGTATTCCTAACGCTACAGTCCTAATGTCCCTTATCATTTTGCCCCCTCCCTTCTGTACAAAAAAAAAAAAAATTATAAATTTTTATTTTTACAAAATAAAATAATTAATCACCTTTTCTCCAGTACCAAGTCTCTCTTTGGTGTTGCCACAACCTCCTTGTAAGGTTGCATCATCATGATGGGCTAATCCAGTGCTCTTCATGCACACTGTGAATGCGGGCATGATGTCACGGTATGTTATGGTATGAAAGACGGGAAGTAAGATTTCTGGCTCTCCAAACCTTCTAATTGATTTAATATTAGGTTTTGGGCGGTAGGACAGGGAGGCATCAATAAGAGGAAGTTGTTAAAGTGTCTAAAGTGTCCCTTTGATTATCAATGTTTTTATGGGGCATTACAATTTTTAATATAATATTAGGTGACGGGTCTAATTCGTGTTGATGTATTAATTATACGTTGCATAACCGCATATATACACCAAATAATCCATTTAACGCCAGCAGCTTGTGAATGATACATGCTACTGGATGCTAATTGTCTAGTTCAGGAGCTATTAGCAAATGGCTGAGGTGGTAATTGTGAGTCATGTGCACTTTTGTGGATGAAGTTTCCAGTCTAAATCTATCTCCCTTCAAATCTTTTTATTTTTTTATTCCCACTATATCTTTTATTCTTCTTAATGAGTGTTTACAGGAACGTGTTGATACCAATTAACCTGCTTCTCGTCGAGCTGGCTCTAGGCCAGAGGCATGGCTGGCATGTTCTTGTAGGCCGCAGATGGTTACATAGAGCAGACTGGCTTCACGTTTGTTATTCTTTTTAATTACAGTCATTAAGTAAACGCCTGTGCCAATCACACATCCTCCGTCACTAGGCCAGCTGGAGAACATGACAAGTATGTATTTTTACAAGCCAGGAATCAGTCCTTTGAACCCTATCACTACCAGGGAGTCACGCAGAATTATTTCACCAAATAAATGTTTTAATGCAGGACTTACTTAAACGCATGTGAATACTTAAAAGTAGTTGTCACATTAAAACAAACCGAAAGCATACAATTTTCCCTTGCATGACAAAGCAACATTTTGGTGATTCTGACACTCAGTAGAAATCACAACAATGTTTTACCCCTAACAGAATCTAATGAAAATCTTTAAAGTGTCCAAAATGTTTTACCTTAATTTTACTGTTTTATTTGTACAGTTCAATGAAAAGATGACCCACATTTTCAAATTACATGATGCATACCTCCCAAGTGTCCATAGTAAAGAAGGAGAGTCCCTATATCCCTCTGTCCATCTTTTCTGTTCTAACGGCGCTCGACATTGTTAGTGTGTCTGAGTGAATAACAGTGGTAATACACACAGTAATGTTTTTCAACTACAACAAATGTGTTTAGAATAGTTTGTGTAAATTAAATACAATGTTCTTGTTCTAAATTTCATTTAAGTTGCATACATTTTCTGAATCACTTAACAGCCCCGCCCCTAACCACACACCCACTCACACCCCGATAATTTTATGGGACACTGTAGTCACCAGAACCACTGCAGCTTAATTTAGTGGTTCTGGTGTCTGTAGCATGTCCCTGCAGGCTGAGCAATGTAAACACTGCATTTTCAGAGAATAATAATTAATAATAATTTAATATATGTATATATATATATATATATATATATATATATATATATCTTTATAATGTTTCCCCCCGTTAAGATGGGGTTTACACAAATAGAAAAAAAGAAAAAGGGGGAACCAGTGTTTCTAAATGTATATATATATATATATATATATATATATAGTGTAAATGGACAAAATCACAGTATTGCTTATTGCTTGTAGTTGAGGGTGCAGGGATAATAAGTGCAGATCTGTAATTATCTTTATAAGATAATTCTTTCTTTTGAAAATACTATGAAAAATGATTCCCCTGAATGTTAATTGTATGAAAAAATGTATTAGATACCATAAAATAAATAATATACAAACAAAAAGTCCAAAAAAGAAGGTAAGAAAATGTTCAAAGTGCAGAGTAATTGTCAGGCTCCCGCGGGCGGCTGCGAGGGGAGGCTGCACTCCGCTCGCAGTACTCACCCTCCAGCCGTCCGCGGTCCCCTCCGCCTCGTGGGTACGGCGAGCGGCATCCTTCCAGCCTCGGATGCCGCCCGCCGTTCCCTCCACGTCCCCCAGCTGCAGCATGCATGACGCTGCACGCTGGGAGACCGCCCAGGGTTATACACGCCGGGGTCAGTCACCTGACCCGGCGTTAAAGGCAAAGTGCCACAATCACAGTGGGAGGTCTAAATATCTCCCACGTGTGATTGTTAATTCTGATTGGAAATCATCCAATCAGAATTAACCTGATGGTTTAATACTTACCTTTCCTGTTCCTCCTTGCCCTGTTGTGGTCTTTGCTTGCTAGTATTGCTACTTACCTTGTGCTTCTGGTTACGTACTCTCTGGCTTGTTTATCTGACTCTGTGACTTTCTCCTACCCTTTGACCTCGGCTTGTTTCACGTTATTCTGTCTTCTGGTTCCCTTACTCGGCTTGTCTCCTGACTATTCTGTGTGTGCTTAGCCCGGCCACTCTAAGGTCTGGTACTGCACCTTTTCTGTGTGTGTGTGTGTGTGTGTGTGTGTTAGCGTGTTGGGTTCCCAGAATCGTGACATTACAACAGGGCCATAATGGAACCTGCTGACATACCACAGCTCCTAGTTAATCAAGAGGCTAGAATGGATGGCTTAGACCACCGTATGGATCAGTTTGCTCAAGCTTTACAAACCATTCTGGCTCGTACTGCACACTTGCAACCGGCCGTTCAGGAGGCTGCTGCTGCTGTGCCCGAACCCATTCCCACTCCAGTACCTGTTCCCGCTCATGTAGTTCACATGACGCCGCCACAGCGCTACAGTGGTGACCCAGCATTGTGTCGTGGTTTCCTCAACCAAATCGACATCCATTTGGTGATGAATCCACGCTCCTATCCCACTGACAGATCTAAAATTGCCTTTTTGATAAACCATTTGTCCGGGAGAGCTTTAGCATGGGCCAACCCTATTTGGGAAAATACGTCTCCTATGTCCTTTGCAGATTTCCTGACAGCTTTCAGACGCACGTTTGATCAACCCGGTAGGGTTGCTTCTGCTGGCAAGGCTCTGCTTAGGGTCCGACAGGGTAACAGGTCTGTAGCAGATTACACTATCGAATTTCGTACTCTAGCAGCTGAAGTGGTTTGGAATAATGACGCTCTCGTAACAGCCTTTCAGGAGGGTCTGGCCGCTTATATACTGGATGAAATAGCATCCAGGGAATTACCTGCTCTTCTAGATGATGTTATAGACTATGTGATTCTTATAGATAACCGTATTAGAGAGAGGCGTAGCCAAAGATGGTTGGATACACGGGTGTTACCTGCTCTACCCAGTACTTCCCTGCTAGCGTTACCCGCTCCTGTGCAGCCATCCCCTGAACCCATGCAGTTGGGTGCTACAGGGTTAACTGAGGCCGAAAGAGCGTACCGTAGAAGGGAGGGGTTATGCCTTTATTGTGGGAAGAGGGGGCATCACTGTAAAGCCTGCCCTAAACTACAGGGAAACTGCAGCACCTAAGGCCTAGAGAGGGGTCGGCCTCGGGTGTTATGACTTTGTCCCCTCATATGTCCATCTCTAGACCGTTTATTACGGTTTCTCTCTTGGTCAATAAAACCACTATAACAACCAAAGCCCTGATCGATTCGGGTGCGGCAGACAACCTTATGGATGAGACCTTTGCCAAAACCGCAGCCCTGAATTTGATCCGAAAGGAGACACCCTTGGCCGTTGAGGCCATAGATGGTAGACCACTGGAGAAACCTCTGGTGACCCATGAAACCCAGGAAATAGTTATGTCTGTGGGTGTTTTGCACAAAGAGAAGTTAACCTTCCAAATAATTGACTCCCCAACAGCCTCCATCGTTCTAGGTTTTCCCTGGTTAGTTAAACACAACCCTGTTCTTGATTGGGGTTGTTTAGACATACTCTCCTGGGGGGAATCTTGTCAGCGAGACTGTGTGGCTCATGTACGTCCTGTCTGTTTACTTAACGTACCCACGGCTAAACCACTCTCGGTTTCTGTGCCCTCTGTTTATGCAGACCTTGCCTTGGTTTTTGAAAAGAGGGAGGCAGATAAGCTACCTCCACATCGTGAGTATGATTGTGCCATAAACCTCTTACCGGGCACTATGCCTCCTAGGGGAAAGGTCTACCCTCTTTCTGAAAAAGAGAACCAAATCATGGAGGAGTACATACAGGAATCCCTAAGAAAAGGTTTTATTAGAAGGTCCTCCTCTCCTGCTGGTGCTGGTTTCTTTTTTGTGGCTAAGAAGGAGGGTGATTTGAGGCCATGTATAGACTACAGGGGTCTGAACAATATAACGGTTAAAAACGCCTACCCTATCCCCCTCATCACTGAGTTGTTTGATCGTGTTAAAGGTTCTAAATTTTCACCAAATTAGACCTCAGGGGGGCTTATAACCTTGTCCGTATAAAGGAGAATGACGAGTGGAAGACAGCGTTCAACACACGCAGTGGGCATTACGAATATCTGGTCATGCCTTTTGGATTGTGTAATGCTCCTGCCGTGTTTCAGGACCTCATAAATGATGTCCTTAGGGATCTATTGCATGCCTGTGCTGTAGTGTACCTTGACGACATACTTGTGTATTCTCCTGATTTGAAGTCACACCATAACCATGTTAGGATGGTGCTCAAAAGGCTATTGCAGAACGGACTCTACTGTAAGTTAGAAAAATGTTTATTCGATCAGACCTCTGTGCAATTCCTAGGATATATCATTACTGAACAGGGTTTCAGTATGGATCCTGCTAAATTGGAAGCTATAATGTCCTGGCCACTTCCCCAAGGACTAAAGGCTATCCAGCGTTTTATAGGATTTGCCAACTATTATAGGAAATTTATAAAAAACTTTTCACCACTCATATCTCCCATAACGAAGTTGACAAAAAAAGGTCTACATCCTAGGGTTTGGACTCCTGAAGCCCTTAAGGCCTTCGAAACCCTCAAGAAGGCATTTGCCTCTGCTCCAGTGCTGCACCACCCTGATCCTTCTCTTCCCTTTGTTATGGAAGTAGACGCCTCGGAGTCAGGAGTGGGAGCCGTACTGTCACAGAGGTTGTCTTATGACAAACCCCTCCATCCCTGTTGTTATTTTTCTAAAAGGTTGTCTGATTCAGAGAAGAATTATGATGTTGGGAATAGGGAACTATTAGCTATTGTGTTAGCTTTCAAGGAATGGAGGTACTTATTAGAGGGTTCTAGACACAAAATTATGGTTATAACAGATCATAAGAATCTATCCTATATTGCTGATGCTAGAAGGTTATCTGCCCGGCAGGCTAGATGGTCTCTATTTCTCTCACGCTTCCAATATGTTATCACCTATAGACCTGGTTGCCGTAATGCCAAAGCTGACGCCATCTCTCGGCAGCATGAACCAGTAGAATTTGTTAACCCGACTCCTGAACCTATTGTACCTGAGTCTCAGATAATAGCTGCTACCCGTTTGGTTGTTTCTTCACCTTTCCTTAACAGTATTAAGACATACCAAACCCAGGCACCCCCTGAGACGCCGGTTGGTAAACTATACGTTGAAGCTAATGACAGAAAAAAGTTGTTAACTTTATTTCACACAGCCAAAACTGCTGGTCATCCGGGGGTTACCAAAACCTACAAGGGCCTCCTTCAACAGTTCTGGTGGCCTTCACTCAAGCGAGACGTAGTGGATTTTGTTCAGGCTTGTCAGGTCTGCACGCAATGTAAGTCCCTTAATGTGAGACCCCAGGGTTTTCTGATGCCTCTATCTATACCCAAGAAACCATGGACCCACTTATCCATGGATTTCATTGTAGACCTGCCTCTTTCTGATGGTCAGACGGTGATACTGACTGTGACGGATAGGTTCTCTAAAATGGCGCACTTCATTCCGCTTAAGAAACTGCCTTCTGCGGTTCAGTTAGCTCAGGTATTTGCCAAAGAAGTGTTCCGATTGCATGGGGTACCCCAGGATATCATATCTGACAGGGGTCCTCAATTTGTCTCTCGGTTCTGGAGGGGCTTTTGTGCTGAGATGGGGGTATCCTTGTCGTTTTCTTCCTCCTATCACCCGCAATCTAATGGTGCGGCCGAACGTGCTAATCAGTCTGTGGAATTGTATTTGCGCTGCTTCACTAATGCGCACCAGGATGACTGGTCTCGCCTTCTTCCGTGGGCTGAATTTGCCAGGAATACGGTGTCTCATTCGTCTACTGGCTTAAGTCCTTTTGAGGTTGCTTATGGGTTTCGTCCTTCTGTCCTTCCCGGTGCGTTCTCCGACAAGGGAATGCCCGCCTTGGACCAGCACCTCGCCTCTTTGCGGAAGACCTGGGATCAAGTCCATGTTGCGCTGTCTCGTTCAGCAGCTGCTCAGAAAAAGTTTGCTGATCGCCGTAGGGTTGCGGCCCCTTCCTATGTTCCGGGTGATAGGGTATGGTTGTCCTCCCGGAACCTCCGTCTCAAGGTTCCCTCGATGAAATTTGCCCCCAGGTTTCTTGGTCCCTTCAAGGTGTTACGTAGGGTTAATCCCGTTTCCTACTCCCTTGATTTGCCTCCTTCCATGCGTGTCCCGAACACGTTTCACGTCTCGCTTTTGAAACCCTTGCTGTGTAACCGGTTCTCTCGTCCCCTCGGGCGGCCCGTTTCCCCTCGAGCTGTCTCTGACGACGTGTACGAGGTGGCTGCCCTTCTCGACTCTCGTGTTTCTAGGGGTCGGCTGCAATATTTGGTGGACTGGAAGGGGTACGGCCCTGAGGAGCGGTCCTGGGTTTCAAGCTCCGATGTGCACGCTCCCTCTTTGGTCCGCTCCTTTCATGCCCGCTTTCCTTTGAAGCCTTCCGCTTCCCGCCCCCTGGGCGGTCTTCGAGGGGGGGGTAATGTCAGGCTCCCGCGGGCGGCTGCGAGGGGAGGCTGCACTCCGCTCGCAGTACTCACCCTCCAGCCGTCCGCGGTCCCCTCCGCCTCGTGGGTACGGCGAGCGGCATCCTTCCAGCCTCGGATGCCGCCCGCCGTTCCCTCCACGTCCCCCAGCGGCAGCATGCATGACGCTGCACGCTGGGAGACCGCCCAGGTTTATACACGCCGGGGTCAGTCACCTGACCCGGCGTTAAAGGCAAAGTGCCTCAATCACAGTGGGAGGTCTAAATATCTCCCACGTGTGATTGTTAATTCTGATTGGAAATCATCCAATCAGAATTAACCTGATGGTTTAAATACTTACCTTTCCTGTTCCTCCTTGCCCTGTTGTGGTCTTTGCTTGCTAGTATTGCTACTTACCTTGTGCTTCTGGTTACGTACTCTCTGGCTTGTTTATCTGACTCTGTGACTTTCTCCTACCCTTTGACCTCGGCTCGTTTTACGTTATTCTGTCTTCTGGTTCCCCTTTACTTGGCTTGTCTCCTGACTATTCTGTGTGTGCTTAGCCCGGCCACTCTAAGGTCCGGTACGGCACCTTTTGTGTGTGTGTGTGTGCCAGCGTGTTGGGTTCCCCGAATCGTGACAGTAATAATCTGAAACATGTTTCGCCCAATGGCTTCCTCAGTTGGATTGATTTTGAAAAGATGTTGCCTCTTTTTTTTAATGAAGATCTCATTCATATGTGGGGTGGATAGCAATCCTTCTTCCTGTTTCCGATTGGCATGTCACTTCCTGTAAAGATGCACAAATGCACATCACTTCCCCTCTGTATTCTGGGGTGAGATGGGGTTTACTCACTAAATACAAAATTGTATGACATTGAAAAATGAATTGCAACAATTAAGGTTAAAAAGCCAAGTTCAGTTGAGTTGGAAAATTTTCAATATTAGCTACTTAAGTCAAAATGTTTCAACTTTTGCAATTCAAAAAATGTGGTGTTTAGTAAATAAAACCATTTGTGCTACACATTGATTATAGCACAGTGATCATCACTCATGTTTTACCTCCTCTCCACTGCTAGAAACCTAATCAAGAGAAATGATTCTCAACATTTTGACTTTGCATAAACAAGTGTCAATCAAAAGTTGTTCGGCCTGACGATTGGCTGTCACTTTTATCTCGAACATTCCTGTTTTTATGGCAGTGTTACCATCTCTGTGTAGTCTCACTCATAATACTCAACTTATTTCTATTAAAATGACATTGCTGGATTTTAGTTGATGAAAAGCGTACTTCTCTTTTTCCACTTTTGCAATGTTCTTATGAACTTTATGTGACAGTTTCCATTTCTGCAAGTAGATTGGCTTTGTTTCTTTCTTGTACATAACGTATGATGGGGGACATTTTCTAAAGACAGCCATGATTTTCTAACCAAACAAATCAAGGGAGAATTTGTTCATTGCTAAACGCAATGTTCTTTGCAAGCAAAGTTAGTTACCCTTGCCTCACCTAATAAAATGTACCCCTATTCATGGCATTGCCCTCTATATGTTAAAAGGACACTCCAAGCCAGTGGTCTCACTAGGGTTGGTGTCATCCACTGCAGAATCCTTAGTAATATTGTAATATTTTTAATTCTAATGTTACTCACAAATCATAATTCATATATATCACTATGTATAAGGACAACAGAAGAATGTCTGGGAGCCAGTGTGCATGTATGTGGGAGGTGGTGAGTGTTTGTGTGTAGGGGAATGCAGTTAGTGTATAGGATACAGTATGTGTGATTGTGTGTAAGGGATGCAGTACGTAGGTGGTGTATTGTGAGATTAGGGCTGTTTGTGTGTGGGAAGTTGAGATGGGGATTTCTGAGAGGATTTAATATTTTTATAGCTATAAAAAGTGCATCGTATATTTAAAATATTATACAGTATCTAACAAAAGTGAGTACACCCCTCACATTTTTGTAAATATTTTATTCAGTCCGTGAAGGACTGAAATCCTGCAGTGCCCGTGTAATGGAACTCCCCGTTAAGTCAGCTTAAAGGAACACTCGAAATGAAGTTGCTGTGGTGGTAAGAGGCCCCCAGAGCACTCGTACCATAAGGAATTAAACAGTTCTTGAACAATTTAACTCCAAAGTTGCCTCCAGCACTGATCTCAGCATCCGGCTTCTAAAGTTTCAGGAAGTGCGGAGTGCTGAGCCAATCAGTGACTCCCCATTTACAAAAATTCACATATCTTACCCTGTTGGTGGGAAGCTGAGATGGGAGCTGGAGGCAACTTTGGGGTTAAACATTTTGAGAACAGTATAATCCCTTGAGGTAACAGTGTGCCGGAGGCCTCCTGGCACCATAACAACTTCATTTAGATGTAGTTGTTTTGGCGCCTTAAGGTGACTAAATTGTCCCTTTAATGCTATTTCACAGCTAGTCAGTCAGCACATATTTTCCTCCCTGTATCCCCCTTCAGTTCCCATATTCAATTATTTCCTTTGCACAACATCATAGAGCAAGAACATGTGAGCAGTAGCAAAAAAATTAAAGGACCACTATAGTGCCAGGAAAACATACTTGTTTTCCTGGCACTATAGTGCCCTGAGGGTGCCCCCACCCTCAGGGACCCCCTCCTGCCCGGCTCTGGAAGGGGGAAAGGGGTAAAAACTTACCTTTTTCCAGCGCTGGGCGGAGAGCTCTCCTCCTCCTCTCCGCCTCCGTTACGCCCCGCCGGCTGAATGCGCACGCGCGGCAAGAGCTGCGCGCGCATTCAGCCGGTCACATAGGAAAGCATTCATAATGCTTTCCTATGGACGCTGGCGTGCTCTCACTGTGAAAATCACAGTGAGAAGCACGCAAGCGCTTCTAGTGGCTGTCAATGAGACAGCCACTAGAGGATTAGGGGGAAGGCTTAACCCATTCATAATTATAGCAGTTTCTCTGAAACTGCTATAATTATGAAAAAATGGGTTAACCCTAGAAGGACCTGGCACCCAGACCACTTCATTAAGCTGAAGTGGTCTGGGTGCCTAGAGTGGTCCTTTAATAAATAAAATAACAGTCCCTCTTTTCCTGATTTTGGAATTCTGTCCCATTATCCCGCTTTAGTTTCCTGGTGTCACACTTCTGGGGATAGCAGCGAACCTTCCCAAGGCAGCACTTTGTGGCGGGCACTAGGACTGGGTCCTGAAGGTTTGGGGCTGACCAGGCAGTGTGTCAGTGGGCAGGCCAGCCATTTTCTCAATGAGTCATCCCATTATGGCCATCACTAGTGATGCAGGCTGTGGCCCTCTGTGGCCCGCCCTACTGTTCTAATTCCGCAGGTCGGTATGTCGGGATGTATGCATGCCGCTTCAGTAGGCTCCTGCACTGAGTGAAACCTGGCCAATCAGGGAGTTGCTCTTGGATAAGAGCGCTCAGCTAAAACATTATAATGTTTTGATAGATGCCTTGCAAAACATAGGCTAAGATAAATAGAAAAATTGTTTTAAAAAAACCTTCAATCTGGGGTAATCTGGATTTTTATTGTGACTATTTACAGTTATGCGGAGCTACAAAATCCATAGTCACTGCTTTGTGAACAATGGCTTTTCAGTAGCTTTACAAGAGATTTCCAATGTACAGCTTACAAATTGCATTATCCGTGGCATTATGATTGATAGGATCTTACGAGATATGGGTCTCTTGTATTAAAGGAGAGCATCTCTTACCCAATGATCCATACAAAATCGGGTCATTAAAATGTTTATCTGCCTGGCTGCGTAATGCAAAGGAAACTTCATTTCTGATTTATAAATGGGATTTAAACACATTTTGTATTCATATTATTGTATTTGTAATAACTCTGATGAATTGCTGTGTCTGCATCTCCTATGAATATTGCCCAGATAAAAGATCATCAGAGTTAACGCATTTATTGCCATACCAAGCTTCTTTTAAATATTATCTCAACTGATTTCAATTTATATTCCTGTTCCTGCACCGAAGGAGTGCGAGTAGCTGGTTTGCCAATTTGGTACTGAAATATTAACCTTTTCGCTGACAGAAAACTGTGCTTGTTCCCAAGTCAAATGAATCAAACTGACTTTTTGGGGAATATTTTGGTTTGGGAAGAGGGGGGGGGGGTGGAGGGCAGAGTGCTGGAGTTCCTAAGGGAAACCCTCACACTGAGCCTAAATTAGACTTTATAGTTCTCTTTTCTGGGCAGCGCTCATGTCTATACCCTGAGGAATACTCTGCCAATCTTTTCAGCCCTTTTCCGCATGCATATGGCTGATCCAGCTCGAGACTGCTCTTTCTGAGGCCTACAGTGGCACCTGAGGACCGGGAGGCAGCCTATTCCAAACCTTGTGCTGCAACTGGCAAGCTCTGAGCCCTGCCCCCCCGGACCGTGTGGGATATCCCGGTTCCCGCTAGTGTTCTGACACATGCACCTCACCCGGTGTAGCGGAGAGCTGATTTTCCACAGCTTAACTCCACTGGTGCATTAGAATAATTCAGGAACAAGTAGTACATCCAATAGGGTAACAAACACAATCACAAGGCAATCCAATAATATCCCATCACCTCTCCCAATAACTGGACGACACACAGTATCAGGAGTAGAACTGAGGTTTAATGACACAATCCCTGCTTTTATGTGATTCTCCCATGCAATGGAGGCACCCACCATAATTATTATAGTAACCAATCACATAGATGTTACCTCCCACACATCTCCTCCCCTTAGCTTAACAGTTAACATAATTATAATATGCATACTTTTCCCCAATTCTTGGATGTACCCCAAATATGGTAGGTACACCTTTAAATGTGGTACCCCCTGGTAGCCCTGATCTGGGTGAGAAACATATTAAAAAATCACCCAGATCAGACCAGGGGTTCGGGAGTTATGGGGAATCAAAGATTTGACCTACCGCACGGGCAAAATAGCCGAAAATAGTTCCATGAGTTTTAGCCCTGCGGTCGGTCTCTGTTCGTGCATAAAAAGTCCCAAAAGTATCTGCCATCCAGGGTTGGGTCAGCATTCGGATGAATCCCCTGGTTCGTGGGATTCATCCTACCGAACGACGGGCTGTTCGTGAGTTCCAGTCGTCACTTTCTGAAGCTGAGTCGAGGCCTATCACCCAAAATGGCCACTACCCCAGACCCTGCTGCCATGAGCACACCACCTACGTATGTGGAACCAATACTCCTGACATTTTACCGCATCTGCAATCTATTTTGGATGAAGCTCTATGGCAGGGGACTCACCTAACTTCCTGCAGAATACCAGTGATACTCCAGAGCAGACCTGCGGACTCTCGCCAAGTATATATATCTTTACCACATGTTTCCAGACCAAGGCAATACAAGCAACAGCAAAAGGTGCTGCAGTGGCGGCGAATGGCTATAAGACACCGGTTACATGCCTGCCCACTACCGCTTACCTCTCCTGCAGAGGAACACGCCCCTTCACTCCTGGCAGGACCGGTCTGAACTGGAGGCTTACAATTCGTACGGCCAGGCGCGTGGGGGGCACAACACCGCAGACATGAGCTAGATTCCTGTTCTGGAGCTGATCACGGCAGAACATCGGATGGATAGGGCTCCTTGTGGCGGCTTCTCTCAGAATGCTCTGACGTGGGGGGCTGTGACTCTCTATCTTCGGGCATTGGCTGAGGGTCATAGGGGCATTAATGGCAGTTAGGCTGTTATCTCAAAGTGTAGCTGACCTGACAAGTCTATGCTGTTTGACTTCAACACTGTGTTCTAATTGCTCAGATGCTATACTCTTGCCTATCAACCTAGCGGTATTTACATGTTTTTACTTAACTCTAGTAGTGTGTTCAGCTTGTTTCTACATTTGTTTATCTCACAAAAAAAAATTAAACTGTTTGCTCAGGAATATATATCTTCTGTATTTCTGTATATTTGCATAATACCTCTCTCCCTATTCTGTACTGTATAACACAATATCTCAATACAATAAAGATTGACAAAAAAGTTTTAATTCACTATGAATTCATGTTAATTCACACTTTAGTGAACAATCCCTCCTACCCATCCCAGTACACCGTGGTTGGCAAACAGAAGCTTAAAGGGATATTCAAGGCCCCTAAAGCACTTCAGCTTGCTGAAGTGTTTCATGTGTGAAGAGTATGTCTTGTTTTTCCATTTTATAAAAAGCGCAGTTTAAATAGAAATTGACACTAATATAAATTCATCTTGTTACATTAAATCAAACAACCAGTCCTGTTACTTCCTGGTTTGGTTAGCTGACTGAAGCTAAACTCAAGAAGCAGGCAATTCCACTGAGCACCTTACTTGCCAAGACTTCTCAATGAGCTGCATTGGGGAGTTTGTGATTGGATAGTCACAGAACATATGGGTGGAGTTAGGATGGGAGGGCTTCAGACAAAAGATCTGCAGCTTTTGCATTCTGTCTTTACATATACTTCCAATGGAAAAAAAAAATACATCTCTTAAACAGTGATCACAGTTTTTTTTATTTTATTTGGGCAGTGAAGTGTCCCTTTTTATAGAACCGTACTCTTTTCAGTAAATTGTTTTAATAATACATTTCCTTTTGAATTACTTCTACTGTTTTCTTCTGCAGTTTACAGGCTTAACAGGTGAGACAGCATGCCTAATTCTATAGAACCCTGTTTTATTTTAACCAGCAATATGCACTGTTATTGTCACAATTACGGCAGCTAAAATGACACCCACCAGAGCTTACTGGCTGTTTACATGCTACAAAATTATATGTTTAGCAACTGGTAATTAATGGCTGCTGAATTTTTTAACATCTGTTGTAGAGATTCATATAGTCTCCAAGTGCTAAATAACACGGTTTTTAAATACTAAACTTTAAAAATGGAGCAAGTTTGGTGTATGTAAACACGAAAAGCATAATTTACTTGAGTGAAATTTAGGACAGACCTGCTAACTGACCTAAATTTTCATAGGACTGTACCTATTTTAGGGTCCTGTCCCACTGTGGTAGGTTTGTTCCCTGGTGTCCTGCATTTGGGACCACCCTTGGTGGGCTGGCCTGTTTAATTGACAGTTAGCTTGGTGTCCATTCATGCCGAGCTAACCTGCCAATTCGTTGGGTGTACACCCCTCCCCCTTTCTGGACTGTTTTGTGATTTGCCTCATTGGCTTCCCTGTTTTCAACCCTGCTACTGGTGTGCCACTTCAAGAGATGCTGATGTTGGCCGATGTCGGGAGGTGTGTGAAAAAATAACTGACTTATAGAATTCTCCCACTTTGGCTATTTTGAACTTTTTCTTTGAATTCACTTTGAATACTCACCTTAGTGAATTACTCTATGTTGGCAACTTGCCCAGGGGACCGCAGGTGAGGTTGAGTAAACCTTTTATAATGCCCTGGTTAGTATGCTATTAAAATAAAAATTTTGTTCTATTTTTATCTGATATGCAAAATGGGGAATTCTAAGTGATGGTTGGCATTAGTGGATGTAGATGTGAAAGGAAAGTCCTGGCCATAGAAATCTATTGATATTTTTTACCCTATATTTTTACATCAACCACAGAAATAAGCCCAACATCGATAATTCTCTAGCAGGACTGCCAAATGTCTATCAATTCTTCATGAAGTGTACTTCAGTTATTACATTTATTGATATCCTTTATGTGCCTTAAAGTTTGTATCATATCTCCCCAAACCCAGCTCTTAAAAAGTTCTAACATCATATAAACCTAAATTAAAAAGGAGGTACTAAAGAAAATTCTTATAAATCTAAAAATAACACACTAAAAGGTTGTGTATGAAATGTCATAGGAACTCTATCCATCTTCCAAGTGATGGATTTCTGTATATTTGTTTCCTATTTAGACTTCTCTGAGCAGTAATTATTTTGACCTTTCTGGTTTAAAAAAGCGTACAAGACTTATTATGGGCTGAAAGCAGTAAATGAATTCTTGTCGCCTTTCTTACGGATGAGTAAAAAGTGAGAAAAATTATCTGAGTCTAACAGGATGTCAGTGGAAAATATTTTCCTCCAGTAGAGCTCCGCTAACATCCCTGTAAATTATATAGCAAAACAGTGGGATCTACTGTCTAAACAGCGAGTTTCAATATTTTATACCAAAATAGCAGAGTTATAAATAAATCTCCATTTATTATTATTTTTTTCTCTCTTGGGATCTATTCCTGCTCTGGTTCTATTCTCGACTGTGTGGCTAACTTGAAAGGAACAGAGTAGTTTGTCCTGGTCCAGTTTCTGAATAGTATCTGGGGTTCTACTCGAAACCTGTTCATGATCCTGTATGAGGGTACATTTTGGCCTGTTCTGGCTCTTCAACTTCCTTATGGTCCCCACTTTCAAGATGGAGACCCTGCAATCTCTCTTTCTATTGGTACAAGTGGGGCACTTCAGGGGTCAAGTCCTGGGGAATAAAGTGTGGGACTCACCCAAGATCCACCTCACCCCCCCAAAAATAATATACACTCGTATGCATATATAAACGCATGCACACACACACTGACAGGTGTGTGCGCACACTCTGACACACACATACACTCACTCACAGACACACACACACATACACTCATACACACACACAGACACACACACACACATACACACAGATACATTCACAGACACATATACACTCACACACACAGACACATACACTCACACTCACAGATACACACACACATACTCAGACACATACTCACAGACACACACACACACACACACACACACACTCACAGACACACATACACTCACATTTTTTAATTTTTCTGCACATACACAGATGGACCCTTAGTCAAAAGACTTCAACTATCACTCTTACCAATTTCCTAAAGACTCTGGTCCAGAAGTCTTATGGATAACAAACCTGGACAGGGTTATTGCTCATTCCATTTGGGAGGCAGCTACCTCGTGCGGTGGGTATTTCTATTTACTAGTTTTACAAGCCGTCACTTAGTCATCCTTGCATACATTTTACATGTTTTATTGTTTAGATCAGTGGTTTCCAAACGTTTTAGGTTCAAGGAGCCCTTAATATTTCAGTATTTTTCCAAGGCACCCCAAGTCCAAATTTCTATGTTGTATATCTGTACAGCACTGCGGCATTTACTGGCGCCGTAGTGTAATGTACAGTGTTGGTGTTTGAAACGGTGTTTGGATACATTTATTGTGTTTGTATGTAATGTTTGCGTTTGATTGCAGGGGTGTGTCTGAATGTAATGTTCACTTTTAAATGGGGATGTACATTTGTGTGAATATTTGAGTTTGAGTGCAGGGGTGTGTTTGTATGTAATATTTGTTTTAGGTTGCAGGAGTGTGCTTATATGTTGTGCTGAAGTTTGACTGTTTGGATGTATGCACATACATATATACATACATACATACATAATACATACTTACACAGACATTCATGCCCATTAACACAAATACAGAAATTCATATAGACACCGACACATACACACATATAGATACAAACCGACACATACACACACATAGATACACACCAACATATACACACATGCACCCTGACACACACAAACATTGATACATGCCCACACCATACACCACACAGATACACACACTGACATAAATACACACATCTGGCACAAATACACACATCTGGCACACAGATGCACATACACAAAATCTCTTGGTTTCATTTAGATGCACATACACAGATGTGTGCGCACACACAGACACAGAAGCACACTGATATATATATATATATATACATATATATATATATATACACATACACTCGTACACACACTCAAACTCATACACACACCCATACACACACATACTCACACACATACAAACACTCATACACACACTCAAACTCATACTCATACACTCACACTGACACTCAAATTCACACATACACACACCCATACACTCATACTCACACTAAAACACACACTCATACGCATACACTCAAACCCAGACACACACTCACATACACACTCATTCACACAAGTGATTTTTTTAATATCTCCAGCCACCTCCTGTTATCTTACCTTATATGCCAGGGGGTGGCTTGAAGTACTGCTGCTGTGGGAGTGAGGGGTCTGGAGCTCTTCATGCTCCTCTCCCCTCACACTGCGGCTGCCTCCTCTTCCTCCCGCGCTGTCTCTCTGCAGGATGCTGGGAGGAAGTGACAGGCTGTCATTTCCTCCCAGCCGGCCGACATTACAGGGGCCCGATCGGGGTCTTAAAGGGCCGCAGCACTCGACAGGGCCCTGTTCGGCAGCTATGGTTATAACACCGGGGAAACATTCCGTTACACCCCTGTGTGCACGTTTGGGACACAGTTTGGGAACCGCTGGTTTAGATCTTTTACCAATGTTGACACTGCTTTTGGCAGGAAGGTGCTCTAGACAGTTGTTCCCATTTAGTCACTACCCACTCTACTTCTTGAGGTGGCCTCGTGATATTCTCTTCTTCTGTAATGCCTTCCAAATAAAATTTTTTGGATATTGAGATTATA